TCTTTCTCTCCTAATTAAGTTATTGTTACTTCCTTGGGATACTAATAACAGTAAGAAAGTAGAATGTTAAGATAAAGGAGTCCCTGTTCATAGCATCATTATTCACAATGGCTAAGATGACATAATGACTCAAATGTCCACTGATGGATGAATGGATTAGCAAAAAGTAATATTATACAATGGAAAATTATTTAGTGATATAAAGAAGGACATTCTGTCAGATCCTGCAACATGGATACATCTTGAGGACATTATGCTAAGTGAAATAATCCAGCACAACAGAACAAGTACTCTATGATCCCACATATATGAAGTGACTAGAATAGTCAAACTCAGAAGCAGGAAGTAGAATGGTTTTTGTGAGGGGCTGGGTGGAGGGGAAATAGGGAGCTGTTTTTAATGGGTGTAGAGTTTCACCTTGTAAAATAAAAACATCTGAAGATATATTGTATGACTATGTGAATGCAGTTAACACTTCTGAACTGTATTTTTAGAAATGGTAAAATGGTAAATTGTATGTTATGTGTTTTCTACCACAATTTAACAGAAAATGTAGAGGTCTCCTTTACCTCTGCCATTTGCTTCTATGTTGCATCTCCATGGATCCATGGGCTTAATTCCATAAAGCTCCTAAGTACATCTGTTCACCTCTTGAAATCTACTATAAAGATCAAGTTGTGCTTGCCACCTAAACTGGCTGTCTCTCCTGGGAATGAATTTTCCCCATGGTATCTCCATTTTAACATATAATGAAAATTAATTTCTTAAAGTTTTTTATTTTGGAGGAAAGGGAGGGAGAAAGAGTGAAAAGATACAGACTCTAAAGCCATATCTGGTACTGGATTAAAAATTGAAAGCATAGCTACTACTTTTTCCCCTAAGCTGCATATTGTAATCCATTAAAAAAGGGTTTTAAAATTTCATTATTTTTTTATTAAAATTCGTTTTTATATATTCACAGTATGTATCAGTTATCACAGTCAATTTTAGAACATTTTCATTACCCTAGAAAGGGACGTACACAGTAGCAGTTATTCCCTCATTCCCCCACCCTCCCAACCCTAGCCAACCACCTATCTACTTTCTGTATAAATTTGCCTATTCCTGACATTTCATGTAAATGGAGTCATCCAATAAGTGTTCTTATGTTATTGGCTTCTTTTGCTTAACAGAATGTTTTCAAGGTTCATCCATATTGTAACATATAAAAAGAAATTCTTCATTTCTTTTTATAGCTGAATGCTAGTCCATTGTATGGATATACCACATTTTATCCATTATCAGTTCATGGATATTTGGATTGTTTACACCTTTTGGCAGGTTATGCCTCTATGAACTGTCATGGACCAGTTTTTGTGTAGGTGTATATTTTTATTTCTTGGGTATATACTTAAAAGTGGAGTCACTGAATCCTATTGTAACTTTATGTTTAAGTGTTTAGCAAACTTCTTTTACCTACAAAACTGGGATAAGGAAATAAAGCCTGTATGGTTTTTAGGAAAACAGATGAGTATTATTTTAAATACTTGGTATAATACTTTGCACATAAATGCAATTTAGTTAATTAAGCAGATATTTATTAAGGGCCTGAAATGCTTACGCATTTGAAAAGAGTATCACAGTGCTTCCCTCCACCATGTCATTACTTTAATTTTTATGTAAGTGGATCCTTAAATATAATTTTGCTTAGGTGAGGTCAATGATAAAGGAAATTGTTGACCCAAATGTGGAAGCATCTTTCTTGTGAAATGTTTTCTTGCTTTCAATATAATGTCTTGTCTTTACCATCATTAATGTTCTGATTTCTGATTTTTAGCAACATTCTTAGAAGTATCTTAAACTCTTAGGGAACATCATGAAATGCTTTTGATGATGCATTAATTTAGTGCAAAATATCACCATCTTGTGGACTTTTTGAGATACTGATAGTAAAGTTCTTCACACCAGTTGTGTTTTCACAACTGCAGTGTTTTTTTTTTCTTTTTGGTAACAGCTATTTGGAGCTGTACTATGTTTTCACTTTATAATTGTTGTGATGGTGGGAAGATTAAAAAATTACTTCTTACTATTTTGAGAAAGTACTTTTTATAACATTAAAACTTTTTTGTTATAGGATTCCTGTTTCACAAATTGTGCTCTGTGGACCCCTAGCATTTCACTATAGACCTTACCAGGGAAGGGAATAAAGGGAATGAATACATTTTGCCCCACTTTTTATACCAGTATATAAGCATTACTTGACAAAAGGATTCTATTTTTAAAGTTGACCAGACTTGTTATTAGATATAAATATATATAGCCATCCTTTCCAGATTAATATACTTAATCCTGGCTAAAAGCAGTATGGGGTTATGAATGATTAAAATATTATTAAATAAGCCTGTAAATATGGAAAGGTGTCAAATGTCGCCTGTGATAATCTGTGACTTTTTATACATATAGGTATAGGCTATGTTTGACCAGGGCTTGGACGGCTAAGTGAGTATGCTAAGGAGCTGTGATATTTTTAGTTCCTCCAACTAGTACTTCACCCAATAATTGTTCCTGTTAATTTTTATCTCTCTGTTGGCGTAGTACCTATTTCCACTGCAGTCTTCTCTGTGTGGCACCATTGTACCTGAACATTGTTAACTGTCTGCCTTTAATAACGAGCGACCAGCACTGGCCTGGACTCTTGTTTAGATTTTGGTGACCTTGTCTCATACATATGATAGGACTTATTTTATGAACAAAATGTGCTGCCATGAAGGCTTGGGATTTTCATGCTTATTAATCAGTTCTTCACTCCATTAATAATAATGCCAGCTGATGAGTATCTTCCCAGTACAAAGTGCCATGTACTGTAATTTTGGGAAGTATCCTTATTCCCATATTACAGGTGAAGATATTGGGGAATTTGAACTGAAGCCCTAAGTTTAAAAATCTGTGATTATTCCATCATAGCAATGTATTCTGTGCCACTGCCATCTCTGACACTTGAGTAAGAAATATATTTTTAAATTTAGGTCTTCAAGCTTTGAAAATGAAGGAAAAACATTTTTTCTTTACATATTTGTATTTTATGTCTATTAAGTAAACAAAATTATACGCATTTGATTTTTCTTAATGAAACTAATTTTGAGAGTTGAGCAGTAAAAATCTTCTGTAATTAAAAACTTTCAGCCTAAGTTCTGTGCATTTTAAAAAATGTTATGGAACCTCAAGATAGATTTTTGCAAGTGTTTTTCTCCTTCACTACCTTGAGAGTAAATATGTTTTTTTAATTTGCGTTAATTTTTGTCCTTTAGGCTTAAAGAATATAAAATTTGAATATAGTTTAAAATAAACCTTCTTGTAGAAACCATTATTAATGGTTTATGTTTTAAAATTCCAGAAAGTATCCATGTATTTATATTTAAATAGAGCCATATTATCTTGTTCGTACGTTTTTAAAATATTTTGTTTTACTTAGAAGTATACTTGGGAACTATAATCCTGTCAGCACACATAGGTCTAATGCAGTATATTTAAATTATCCTTTTTAATGAACAGTTGTTTACAGTTGTTTGCTATTACCAACAATTGTATTACATACCTCTTTATGTCTTTTACAGATTAAGACTTGAAACATTTGTTTTGCTGTATTAATATTCAGATTAGAATTAAACTTATTTCATTACTCAGCATTGAATTGTATGCCACTATTTTATTTCTTAATTAAATTTATTGGGGTGACATTGGTTAATAAACTATATAGGTTTCAGGTGTACAATTCTATTATACATCATCTGTATATAGTATTGTGTGTCCTCCACCCCAAGTCAAATCATCTTCTGTCACCGTGTATTTGATTCCTTTACTCTTTGACTACTCCCTCAGCCCCCTTCCTGGTGGTAACTACCATACTGTTTCATCTGTGTCTGTGAGGGTTTTTTTTTTCTAGTTCATTTCTTGCTGCCAGTTTTATAATCCACATATGAGTGAATATGGTTCTTAACTTTTTATGTCCAATTTACTTCACTTAGTGTGACATTCTCAGGATCCATCCATGTTGTCACAAATGGTAACATTTCATCTTTTCAGTGGCTGAGTAGTATTACATTGCATATATGTACTGCTGGATTTTCTTTATCCAGTCTTCTGTGAAAGGACTCTTTGGTTGTCCGGGAAGTCTGCACTGAGGGGGCAGAGCTTGCTGAGATCTCATGGTTGAAGGGAGCTGTGCGGTTGGAGGAATGGAAATGAGCCCTTTGGGACTGGGGGGCAGGGTGATAGGTGCATCTTTCAGGGTGAGGATGGTGATGGAAGGTGAGGATGGCGACGCAGGACATTCTAAGCCATTCAGTGAGAGAAGCTGGAGCATTGCCCTGAGGTGTGTTGGTGAAAGGCAAGTCCAGTCCTATGATTGTACCTTCTGTTTGGAAAGCTCACAGGGGCATCTTCAAATGTTTTGTCATTTGCGAACTAGAAAAAGGGAAAACTGCATACATTTTTTTTTGACGAGGCAAAGAGATTAAAAGACATGCAGTTTTGCTGTCATCCCTTTTTAAAAACATATATATTTATATATATATATGAATTCATATATATATATAAATTCATATATATATGAATTTAGAAACATTAGCACTCCCATTGACCACTTTTGTCACTGTCTTTTATACTTTTATGTCCTGCATAATACTGATTTCCAGAGTTGGCTGTGCATCAATCAGTATCACCTGAGGATTGTAAATACTTTTAAGAGATATGAGAAGACTGGGTCTCACCCTAGAACTGTTGGCTCATAATTTCTAGAAGTGAGGCCCCATCTGAATCTGTATTAAGCAAAGTAAACAAAACCCTCCTGAGTGATGGTAGTGAATGTGAGCTAGTACTGGTCTCCAAATAGGTGTTAGCCCATTCCCCAGTTAGGGGGATACTCACTCCCCATTCTCTTTACATTAACAAACACTAAATATGCATTTGGTGAATTGGTAATACAAATATGCATTTATTTTTTAATGCCTTGTTCTTACCAGGTAGATGGCACAAATCTTCAGGGTTTTACCAATCAACAAGCAGTAGAGGTGTTGCGACACACAGGACAAACTGTGCACCTGACACTAATGAGGAGGGGAACGAAGCAAGAAGCTGAGCTCACGTTGAGGGAGGATGGCACGAAAGATGCAGTTTTGTCTCCTGTTAATGCCAGCACAAGCAAAGGTAGTGCCAAGTTTATCTGGTTGCCAGTTATACCCTTATATCACTTCAATTTTTTTTCTAATTCTGAAAGTATTTAAAAAATAGTTTTTAGTCCTCACTGTTTAGTGTGAATCCAGTAAAAAGGAAATTTAATGAAGTTGGGATTAACTGAGACAACAGTGTGTTCATTAAGTATAGAATGGGCATCTGAATAAAGCAGATTACTTCCTATCCTATTTATTCAGTCACCATTTCTGAGTTGGAAACATGCATAGTCATTTACCTTTCCATCCCCAGCTGACTTTTGAATGTCATCATCGTGTTTTCTCGTTAGGGGGAAACTATCTGCCTGGATTATGCATGTGAGCCCCATGATGTTCCTAACTCCTCAGCCTTTCCTTGAAGGAATTGACCTTAATTTCCCATTTTGTAATGTTATTCATAACCTACTTATACATGAGTATCTCTGGAAATTACTGAAGTCCCCGTGGAGCTCACTGGGGTAAGGCTTTATTGGTAGAAGTCAGGCTGTTGGTTTGAAAGTACTGCTTCATTTCTCCTACTGTTAACTATACTGGTATTTATGCCATAAACTACTTATTACAGTACTAGGAGACGGAGGCAGATCACAGGAGAAATTTATTACTTTTTGTTCCATTAACAGAAATTTATTACTTTTTGTTCCAAAAAACAATTTCTCATTTAGGGGTTCAAATATATATATTAGGATTTGAAAAATTCAGATGCTTGATTATATTATAAATATAACTACTAAAATATTCTTTTCTTTAAGAAAATTATGAAAAAGATGAAGATTCTTTATGTTTGAGGAGAAACACCAACATATTACCAATTCAAGAAGAAGGTAAACATCTGGAGCCAGGTTATTTTGTTCTTTATATACTTTTATAGAGAAATGATTTTTATAAACATGATTAAGCCTCTTTGGACCTATTGTAAATTACAACAAAACTTTAAAAAAAGATGTGCTTTGTACATCCTTATTTATGGATCTGATTAATCGCTCTAGTAGATTAAAATAGTTCATTTATAGCTGGCATATTTTCTTGCTGAGTCAATCTTCTATATTTTTTAACTAGGACTCTTTAGAAATCAGTCAGTTACATACATGATTTTATTTTCCCCTTATTTTTGAACAGCCCCTTATTTTTATATAGCCAACATTTGTCTACTCACTGAACAAAGCAAATATAAAATTATAAAACATTTCTAAAACAAACACAAGGAAACCTTTAAAACATAAGCTCATAGGAGTGAAACTGTCCCATTTAGAGAGGGTTTTACTTCTCAGTTTTTTAAAAGTTCTAAACTTTATTATTGGGCAGTTGATTTGGAAAGGAATTTAGATGGAAATTAAATCTTTCTGAGATTTCTTTCACTATAAACCTAGAGTCTATCAGCTGTTTAAACATTTTTTGGAGCAGCATTGTTTTAAAATGTAATTTTACCAGAATATTCTTGTGATCTTTTTAGACTGGGTGCTTTGTGCTTTCCTTACCTATCAGGTTACTATAGATACTTCTGTAACTTAACAACATCCAAGACTGATCTCCCTTCATTTGAATCCTGCCCTTCATAAAATAATTTTATTGAAGCTTTGTTGTTCTTTAAAATATCTTCTACTTCATTATTAAATTATTTGTTTTTTACTTAAGATTTTTATTTTAAACCAGTATTTGTGTTTACAAATACATCCTGGGAGTGAGATGTGTAAGCTTCACAGGTGTTGATAACATTCTACCATTTTTACACTATTAGGTGAAGAAATTCTTTAGGCTAAAGTGAGTTATTAGGACGACGGGAAAGGAAAAAAATGTTTCTGTGCACGAACCTTAAGGTAGTAAGTGGGTATGGGTGTGGGGGATTGCCTTGAAGGCTTAGACCATCTATTTTGGTCTAGTGAACGTGCCTATGTGTGTAGGAGGATAGATAGGAGAGGCTCTAGACTTAGAATCAAGGGTCCTAAATTCCTTTTTAAACAAAATTAAAAACTTCTGAGTGATTCCAATGCATCTACCCTAGTACTTGGTCCTCAGACAAGGGGGTATAAGGTATCATTGCTGCTGCCACAGAAATTTGAGTCGTCGTGCGAGCCTGGACAAGCCATTTGACTTCTCAGTAAGATCAGAAGACTGCACTTTAGGATTTTTAAAATATGCCTGAAATCCTGCCTTGGGGCAGTCAGGAGAGGAGGAGAATGGAGAGTTGTGCAAATATAGGTTGGTTATATGGAGACACATCTCTGATATTTTTTATCAGCAGCATACAGATTCCCCACTTTCTGCATTCAGAATCCCACCCTGCTTGAATTACTGCCCACCTTTGTAAGGACAACAGAATCAGAGAAAGGGGGTTTGGAAGGGGGTGGGACTCTGAGCTGACCCTCCTCTTTCTAACCCTTATCAGGTTGAAAGGGTCTGTGTAACCTTTGTTCATCCTCGCATCACAGTTCTCCTTCTCTCGACTGAATTTAATTTTGAAAAGAAAATACTCATTTGGGTGGACTACTCGCCAAATTAAATTACATATACATATATATTTTACTGTTTTCAATATCTCAAGGAGAAATCAGATCATTTTATCAATTTAAAGCAAAATTTGCAAAACAGGCTTAGAGTGAAAGCTCATTAATTCCATTAAAGAGGAGGCAGTTAATAAAAAATCTGTATCTTGGACCACTCTTCAAATTTGAAATTTGAATGCTAAAAGGGATATTAAAAATTTAATTTAGAGTATGCCTTGCAGAGATTTTTTAAAGGGCAGCCTTTATGGTCCTGGCCGGCATGGCTCAGTGGGTTGGGCTTCATACTGCAAACAAATGTTGCAGGTTCAATTACCGGTCAGGGCACATGCCTGTGTTGCACGCCAGCTCCACAGTTGTGGTTGTGTGAAAGGCAACTGAATGATGTTTCTCTCCTCTTTCTCCCTCCCTTCCCCTCTCTTTAAAAATAAATAAAATCTTTTTTTTAAAAGTACTCAGGTTAGAATAAAAAAAATAGACAACCTTTATGAATAAGAAATATGGTGAAATACTGAACTCTTTGAATATGACTTGGAAATTCCTTTTAACCAGTTTCTTGTCTTAACGAAATATTTTAATTCAGTTTTGTTTAGTGCTTTTTCTTTCTGTTTTTTTTTTTTTTTTTTTACTTTTGCCAGTTAGTGCAATTCCAGTTAATAGGGTTTTATTTTAATGTACATTCTCAGTTCTTCTTAATTTTTATTTATTTGCTCATTGTACATGGAGTCACATATATTATTTGTTAATTTGTTTTGCTTGTCTGTTTTTGCTAAGGTGTAGCATGGCCCTTCTTTACTCTGTAGAACCAAATAAAAATGAAATAGCTAGACTAACATAAAAGGCAACATGGTTTTTTCTGTAGAGTCACCAAAAGACCACCAAGGAAAACCTGGAGTGATCCAGGGTCCTCATTCTTTTAAATAAATGTTAGATATAAATGAATATTTTAACAAAAGTACAGTCAAGACTTAAAAAAGGCCTCTTAAAAGGGTATAGTGTTGGAACATGAAGATAATAGGGTTGTAAATGAAATTGTTAAAATATTTGGAGAAATAGAGTGATTCATATATAGGGTGGTGAATCAGACTTTGTATGATAGACAGGTCCTGGTCACAGTATCCCTGGTACAGAATGTTAAAATAAGGATAATTTTTGTAGTTTGTCACTAACTTAATTATTTTGATGATTTCAGGGTATCCATTACTGTTAGCTGAGACAGAAGAAATAGAAGATGCACAACAACAGGAAGCTGCCCTGATGGCAAAGTGGCAAAGGATTATGGGAATTAATTACGAAATTGTGGTAGGTTACCTTACCCTCCCTGACTTCCTTATTTGTAACTGTATTTTGGCAGGAAGTTTATGAGAGCAATAAAAATGATGATCATAAAGAGTCTTTGAAAAGTATCAAATGCACTGGGCCTTTTTTGGAGACCTAAATGTGCTGATTCAGGTATTAAAAAGAAAAACAGGTTAGAGAAAGTTGGATAGTAACCAAGGAACTGAAATGAATAGAATGAAGTTTTTAGAACTCATAATTTATTAATGTTTTAATATTTCTGGCCGTAGTATATCTTACATGGATATAAGGAGGCTTTTTTCCTGATTCTTAATCTGGGGATTTATAGGAAGAGTCATAAAAGAATAATAGAATTTATTTAAAGATTAAAGAAAAATAAATCATGACCAAAAGATAAAATTGTAAAAGGACTTTTTCCCACTCTCCATCACACTCATGAATTTACTTTCCTTAAAAGGTTTATTTCTACATCCTTCTTTTTTCCTATCACTTATACGACATTGAGTGTTTTATGTTTATTAATATGTTTTGCATAACTATTATAGAAATTGTTATCTGCTTCCTAAAAAGAGATTTAACAAAGGTGACACAAATTATCAATCTTTAGATATACAGCAAATTTCAGAAAGTTCAAAAGGAAAAATGCAGTACTAGGTTAGGTAGAATTTTTTTTATTGCTTATAATGTTGAAGTAACTCTAGATTAGAAGAGATAAAAGAAAATAGATTTCATATAATATTAATAATTAGCCTTTATTGAACACTTTGTGCCAAGCAGTGTTCTTCACGTTTCTTTTAATCTTCATGAGAGTGATTTTTTTTAAACATTCAAGATAGTTAACAGACAATTAAGAAATGAGTAAATACAGCTCTTATTACCATTTTTAATTGAGCCCAGGAAAAATATAGTAACGTCCACCTTAACAGTGGTTAATTGAACATGAAAAGAAAGTTGAGGTATTCCTCCTGTGGGGTAGGCTGACATATAACTGAGACTGTACTTCTGATGGTAATTGAATAGTCACTTTGCTACAAATGTCAGACCTGAGACTGGGAACTTTTCATGCCTTTGTGCACATTGTCTCTTAGTGGTACTTGCAGTATTACTATCTGTCAGGGGCACAAGTGTGCTGTTAAGTAAGAAAGAACTAAATTATTGGCTCTTAACAAAAATATGTTGTTTTGTCTGTAGTTGTACAGCACAAACCTAATCACAGGAACAGTGGTGCAGTAGAGAGAGGGTTTCATGGACATTACATGGGGACCTGGAGGGCTGCTCAGAGGAAGAGATGTCTAAAATGGGTTTTAAGGAGTAACAAGGATTTCATCCAGTGTTAGATTTCAAAGTTAGATGAGGTAGCTTCTGGTAATAACCGTGCACATGTTATCATTAAGATGTGAAAGAGCTCTTTTCTAATTAAGCAGCATTTTTCTCAGTCCCTCTATCCCTCAGTTTCCTTAACTGTAAAATACAGGGGATGAAGTAGATCTTCTTTAGTATATTTCTGATATTAATGTTATAATGAATGGATTCTTTATGAAAATGGGTGATTTCCTAACATTCTTCATTATTTTGTGTACAAAATAGGAAATAGGGAGATCATTTTCCTGCATTAAGCCAAAAGCAAAATTGATTTGCTTTTAAAGTCAACTGTTATCCCTCACAACAGCATAAGTGAGAGCTATGGGCTTTAGGTTCAGACTGCTTAGGTTGATAGCTCTTTTCTAGCTATTCATTGACTGTGGTTAAGGTAGTCTCTCTGAACTTCATTTTCCTAATCTTCGAAACAAGGATAGAAATTGCATGTATGAGAAGCAAATGAGATAAACTGTGTAATGGGGTTAGTACAGTCCCTGGCACATATGCCTTTTACAAATACTAAGTATGTGTTTTTGTATACTGTTGTTATTTGTAGACATGACAAATTATCTTGGATTCTTGCATCTTGCTTCTTCCTTTTGGTTTCTGTTGGTTCATGGAACTGATAGTAGTACTCTTTCAAAGGCAAGGCTCCAAAGTTTTGCAGCTTTACAGTAAGGTTTATGAAGCTTTTGTGAAAAAGTTGGCCTGTTTTGAGTAGCATAAAATGCGTACATGAGAATTTAAAAAATGAAAGAATATTAGAATTGTGATGATTTTTCTTATTTCAGGTGGCCCATGTGAGCAAGTTCAGTGAGAACAGTGGGTTGGGGATAAGTCTGGAAGCAACAGTGGGACACCATTTTATCCGATCTGTTCTACCAGAAGGTCCTGTTGGACACAGTGGGAAGCTTTTCAGTGGAGATGAGCTATTGGAAGTAAGGAGCTGTGCCATTGTACCCTCCCTCCCCAACTAAAATTCTTAAAAGGCTGCAAGTTCTTATTTTAAATTTCCCCTCTAAAGGGTACTTAAGAGAGATCTACAAATAAGATTCTACCCAAAGCAGAAAATTCAAATCCATATCTACATTGATTTTCAGACCTAATTTCATGCCAAGTTATTTGTCTGTTTTAGGTCCAGAGAACTACAAAATATTCTTTAAAATTTTTAAAACATATGTTCAACTTTTAAAATAGTTAATTCATTTACATATTTCAAAATCACAAATAATGCAGAGCTTTACAGTAAAAAGCCTCTTTTCTATCCAATTCTTTCAATTCCCATCACTCTTCAATAGCTAACTACTGTTAACATTTGTTTTTGCGCAACCTTCTGGGTATTTTTAATGCATAAATAAGAAAGTTTGTACTCTTTTGCCCCACTTAAAAAATGCTAGCATACAATACATACCATTTTCCATTTTGTTCTTTTTTCACTTAATAATAATATGTCAATTTTAAAAATAATTTTTTTTCTTTCATCTTTTGGGAAAGTTTTTGTTAACTCTTCCCAACTGCAACACTGGCAGATCAAATATGAGTGGAAGCTGGTATTTTATCTGAGAGTGCTTTAGAAGGTCCAAGTCCAATAAGATTCTAAACTTGCATGTAAATTGTCTTTCATAGTATTATTACAAGTTGACTGAGCACAGAACTATGGTAATAGTAAGATGTATATTTATTTAGTGTAAAATTGTTTTGAAAAGAATATTCATGTTATGAAATGTTCTTTCTTGGACAACTTATCTTTTTCCACAGGTGAATGGCATAACTTTGCTTGGGGAAAATCACCAAGATGTGGTGAATATTTTAAAAGAATTGCCTATAGAAGTAACCATGGTGTGCTGTCGTCGAACTGTGCCACCTGCCACCCAATCAGAATTGGATAGCCTGGACTTACATGACATTGAACTAACAGAGAAGGTATTGGAGATGCGGATATGAAATTAATCTGAGTATGTAATGAAAAGGCTAAATGGTGTTTGAAATTGTTTAATTCTCTTTTATTTGGTGTTTGATTTCCACACATTGCCATGGCTCATAAGATAGACATTGAAGTCAGACAGACCTGAGTTTGAATCAGGCTTGGCACTTACTAGCTCTGAGTCCTTGGGCAATTCACTTCATTTTTTTGAATCTCAATTTTTTCCTCTGTGCAATGTAAGTAATGATGCTTGTCTTGGAGCATTACTCTGTAGGTTAGAATAAGGTAATGTAATCATATTGGATGTTATTGCCCAGTATAAGCTTATATAATTTATTCATAGTATTCCTATGAAGTCAATACTTATATTGCTTTCATTTACAGAAGAGAAAATTGAAGTATGTAAATAGTGAGTATATAGTATATATATATATGTGTGTAAAATTATATAACTTAATGAGCTCAGGGTTATTGCTCAGTAAGTGGCTAAATATGCATGGACACATCATCTCTGCATGTATATGTCTTATCTGTACACAATTGATACTTCTAAAATATGAGAAATTCGAGCTCCTAATACTACATATCAGATAACCCTCTGGCATCCAGAAGCTCCCATTTTTCTGTTTGCTTATTCTTTTCATTCAGATCAGAATGTCAAGAAATGGATCTAACTGACTTTCCTGAACACTCACAGTAGATATATAAAGCTAAGAAAAGAAATCTTAGAGGCAGTCTTCAAGCCCAGGCCCATCTAACTTCAAATTTTGTCTTGCCCCTGTGCATTAATAAATTAATGTCATTAATTTATTAATGAAATAACCTTATGCACAAGACACAGAAGCTTAGAATCCTTGTTTGCATTGAATATGGAACTTTTATATATAGCCATTTCTTCTTCAATGGTTCTTTATCATAAGAATTATTTTTTAGTATCAGAATACCTTTATCTTCTGACTATAGAGGTGATGCAGACACTGATGAAAAAAGTGAAAATTATCCACAATCCTGCTGCTGAGGTGTTACCATTGTATATTTTTATATAAGATCTTTGAACTATACATTTTTAATGCTTCTTAAAGTTAGGTATTTCTATCTAGTCTAACACCTTTCAGTAATTATGACCTTAATCCCTAAAGGTTTCCTGATAAACTGTTGCTACTCTTATTTGAGAGTATTCTGTTCTGGAAAGAGGCTGAGAATCTACCTTTTTCTTGTTGTGTTATGTATATCTGCTAATCTAGTGCCTCTGAAATAAGAGCTGTCTGTTCTGTTACCAGCCTCATATAGATCTAGGCGAGTTCATCGGGTCTTCGGAGACAGAGGATCCTGTGCTGGAGATGACTGATGTGGGTCAGAATGCAGAGAAGGTTCAAGGACCTTTGGCCATGTGGGAGGCTGACGTTCAGCACATCGAGCTGGAGAAAGGCAGCAAAGGTCTTGGTTTTAGCATTTTAGATTATCAGGTAAATATATCCTACTTCTAACAAATTTTTAATAAAGATATATATATATATAAGTGGTATATCGTTGGTAGTAGAGAAAAAGCAGATACTATTTTAGTCATCAAAGATATTTTCTTGTTTCTAGTAAATCTTTCAAATGAGTAATTTATATGATTCATTGGTTATCATAAAGGACTTTTTTTTTTAACATTGAATTCATTGAGCTTTTTCCTATTTCAACTCTTGCAGATTTGAAGAACATACAAAATACATTTTAGGAATATTATAGAAATATTTTTTGACATTTGGGAGTTTGTCCAAAATATTTTTAATTCCATGCACTTAACTTACGGTTCATATTTTAATGGCAAGGCAGGAAGTATTAGATACTTACTGCTTTTGTCTGAAGTGAATAATAGAGTTATTATTGGATATATTTTAAGTTCTAGCATTTCTATTATTTGACTAAATTCATTATGAGTAAATTTACATTGTTCAGTGTGACCTGCATCCTTGCTTCTCATTGTGTTCTGTGCTGTGAGTAGCTAAGGAGATGCTACGGACTGTCTGACAGATGCAGCTGTTGCTTCTCATTAATTAATACTGAGCCAGACGCCATCTCTAGTGACTCCTGGAGATTCTGTTGTTCACAGGGCCTGATTCTGGAGTCTTGTGCTACTATTAACGTTCCTGTATATGTTACAGTGCTTTACCAAATCCTTTTCAGTCTCTTTTTATATTTCCTTATTTCAAAAGACGGGCCCTACCTTCAGTATACTCACATCTACTGATGTTCCAGAACACTTATATCCTACTTAACGAATGCTGATTTTAGTAATTCATATATCTGACATCTATCTAGTCTCAGATAGTTATAAAATTTCACAATTTATCAGAAGTTAAAATTCTTTTAAAGTTATATGTACTGTTTGAAAGGTTGATGTAGGAATGATAGCAAATGAGGGTTCCCTGTTTAGGGTGAACTCTTCCTAAACTCTCAAACAGAGGTAACCTTAGCCTAGACAATTCATTAGCAGTGTTAATGAAATATTTTTAAAGACACTTGAAACAGTTCCAGGGGTAGGGGCAACCTGTAAAAAATGTTTTTCCGTGTAAAATGGAACAGGCTTCTCTTTCCTTTTCCATTGTCCCAGGATCCAATTGATCCAGCAAGCACTGTGATCGTAATTCGTTCTTTGGTTCCTGGTGGTGTTGCTGAAAAGGATGGACGACTTCTTCCTGGAGATCGACTCATGTTTGTCAATGATGTTAACTTGGAAAACAGCAGTCTTGAAGAAGCTGTGCAGGCACTGAAGGGTGCACCATCAGGAATTGTGAGAATAGGAGTTGCCAAGCCCTTACCCGTAAGAATTTGGATTTTACTGATTCCTTTTTATATTTGCAAACAAAATAGCTTGTGGGCTTACTTTTAGTTTCACATGTTTTTATGATTGAATCATGACTTTTTGTACTTTTTATCAACGTGGTTATTGACTCCAAGAGAGTTAAGATTTAATTTTGATTAATATTTTTAAATGGCAAATAAAACAGGAAGTTCAGAATTTATAACATTGTTTTGTGCTTCACTTCTGACCTTTTTTATTTGATAATAATGTCATGATGATACAGAATGAAATATTTTCAAAGAAATATGCCTTAAAATATCTATACCAATATAAGTGGAGTATTAGAGAAATTAATAACATTAACAACTATTAATTTAATTAGGAATCTTTAATTAGGGTGGGATGAAGTAGAGTCTCTGTAAAGTGACTTCAGGTCCGGCATTCTATCGATTTTAACACATTTTTTGTCTTAATTACTGCAAAGCAAGAAATTGAATGTCCCAAACTGAGTTTATCAGCTTGTGGCTCTTCCTCCTGGGAGGGTATAGCCCTCATGTCATTAATTACAGCAATACTAAAAATAACTAATGACATATTACATAATATCAATATGTTTTCTAGGTATAGTGATTGCAACATAGAACTTAAGACTGAAGCGAAATGTTGGAGACATTCTCTTTGTGAAATATTTTTAGTGTATAAATATATTTCTAAGTGAAAAGGCAAATATACCTTCTCTTAAGAAAATACAAACACATGGATATATCTGCATAAACATCAAATAAAAATTTTTTGTCTTCGTGAAAGGATTTGTTCAAATAGTGGGGCGTGTTAATATGCAGGGTCTGGCACAAATAATGCCCCTTTTTATTACAAATTCTTTAATTATAAAATCATAAGCATGTAATTCTGTAATAGAATAATATCACACTCAGCCATACCATGTGACATTTTAGGTGAAATGTTCAAATTAAAACAAAAAAATTATACAAATTAAAACTTTAAGTTATTACCCTACCAACCACACTTAAGCAGGCATTACTTCTGCTGGACCCCTATATTTTGAACATTAATTAAATTTTTTGTGCTTCACTTTTTACTCAACAAAGAACTGGTAACCTATGAAGATGTATTTATGAAAACTAAAAGAGGGAGAGAGGAAGGGAAGAAAGAAAATAAGATAATCTAACTAACCTGAAATCAAATCAGGATTGTAGAAATCAGAACAGAAGAACCATACAAAAGGAATATAAGAATGAAGGTGGACCATTATGGGACTCTGCATATACAGGGTGGGGAAAAAATTGGTGTAGAGCTTTTGTATGGAAAATAATTTAAAAATTAATAAATAATTCAAGAATAAACTTTTGTGTTTTGTGTACCCATGACTGTAAACCTACTTTGCCCCACCCTGTATATTAAGATGGACCATACATTTGGTTCTGATCTTTTTGTTGACAAGAAAAAATGGCAAGCATGGCTCAATACATGTTTTTTTACTGCTGTTAGGAGAAACTATGCCAGTTATTCAGAAACAGGCCTTTTTCCCCTAACTAGTTCTAAAATAAATTTTTTTGTAAGAATATTTACTATTTCAAATTTAATGTGCTTTGCATTAATGTGATAAATATCTTTTATATAAAGTGAGGTTTACTATTAACTCAAGTGAAAAAGAAGAGAAACAGTTTTATTCTTAAAATAGCTCTTCATGTATTGATGATACAGAGTGATATAGGCATGACAATTATCTACATATGTTAGTTTATTTCATCTGAGGTTGGAATAACTGCTAAGTTTCCTGTTACTGTGATCAAGGTTACAATATTATAGCTCAAGATGCAATTTAAGTAGATGGCATACATGAATTTTTTTTTTAGGGCATACTAAATTAAGGGACTTCATTGTAGGGTTCACTAACATTCCTTGTCAAGTAAATTACATTCCTTAAAATAACATTCTAGTAAGGGATGACAGAGAGAAGTTGATCTTCTTTTATATATTTTGTATCTTCGGCAATTCTTTTTATGTCTTAATACATAAAAGTTTCCTTGTTTAGCCAGAATATTTGACAGATAAAAAATGAGTAGAAGATTAGTATAATATAAAAAATTGTTAATTCTGATAATCTTATATAAGAAGAATGAAAAAAATTAGTTCAAAGGAATTCTTATCTAACAGATGATGTTGATATTGTAATACATGTCCTCAGTGTGTCTTAACAAAGTTGTTAAATATGAATATTTATCATATTTTATGCCCATCATTCTATGTTAAAGTCATGTGGTATCATTTGAGAACTTTCCCATTTTTCCCTCTTCTCCTCTTTTTCTCCTCTCTCCCTCTCCCCTCTCTTTCTTTTTCATGATCTCATCCTCAAACACTGAGTTTCATTCTCCCTGCAGCTCTCACCAGAAGAAGGTTATGTTTCTGCTAAGGAGGATTCCTTTCTCTACCCCCCACACTCCTGCGAGGAGGAAGGGCTGGCTGACAAAGCCCTCTTCAGGGCTGACTTGGCTCTGGTTAGTGGCCACGAATTACCAAGCTTTCTTTCAAAAATCTTATGTCTTATTCTTGCCTTTCAAAATATTCTAACGTCTTACTATATTCTTTGTTCATTATGTTTTGGAAAACTAAACAGTTTCTAATCAACTCCAGGGGTTCTAGTAATGCAAAATGGGAGTAGAAACAATGATATGTGAAAACTCTTTGTTGGAATTGTGGGGAGAATGTATTTAGCAAGACATTATGTCAACAAGTAGAATTAATCTTTACATCATACCAAAAGTTTGTTGGAGCACTTGTTTGCTCTAATTTCATACTTGAGTATCTCTAGGCCTCCTTTAATTGTTTCAGTATTTAGCCAGAAATCAGCATTTTGTCTACCTTTTAATGAAGTAATAGGTCTCCATGGGCATTCTGTTAATATTACTTCAAAACAAGTTAGCTTAGAATTCTATGAACTACATTAAATACTGTGGTTTAAATGTGTTCAATAGTAGCCAACCCTAGAAAATTATTTTTGAAATATTGCAGGTCACAGATACATCATTGTCTAAAAGTGCCCCAAGAAATCATTATTTTTCCCTACAGTTACCTCCTTAAATGAATACGAATCAAAAAGATTAGTTCCACTTTCCTGTGAGTTCAACATCATATGGTAGTACATGTCCTTGGTTTTCTTCCTAACTAGCTATCTAACCTTACGTTGGTCATTCTAGTGTTCCTCTCTACAATAATTAAATGAATTGATTGTTGGGATCTCTTTTAAGATTCCGAGGCATCAATTAAAGGTATACAGATTGTTTTGAGATATTTTTCTTTAATGTCACTTAAATATCTTTCTATTGTAATCCATGACCCAAGATATAGTATAGTAACTATGTATATTATCTATGTGTATTAACTTAGTATATTATTTATGTAGATAACAGATGTTAAATATTTTCTATTTAGATTGTTGTAATAATGTACATATGTAAAGGATAAGTCTCCGCATAGTTACTCACTAGTGAATTTGAACATGTATTGAAATATACAGGGTCCGGCAGAAGTAAGGCTGCTTGAGTGTGATTGGTAAGGTACATGAACGTCTTGATGGACAGCAGTTTGAATATTTCACCTAAAATGGCATATGGGGTGCTTGAGTGTGATATTGTTATGGTACAGAATTACATACTTATAATTTTATAATAAAGGTTTTGTAATAAAAAGGCGTTATTTGTGCCGGATCCTGTACTATTTAGAGAAGTTCATTTTGAAATGGCCCATCTGTTTTCTTGTCATGTTTATGCAAGAATGTGACCTGGTATAATGTTATAATGCTTGTAACTTCTCCTGGCTAAATGTGTAAGGTGAAATCACAAAGAAATAGAACATGTGGGATTTTGTCAATAAAACAGGAAATACTGGTAATTTAGGAGAAAGGGGTAGTATTTATGTCAGTTTTACCCATTCTAAGATGTAGCAGTGAGTGAATTATAAGAACAGCTTCAAGCTTATCATGTCTTGATATTTTCATTTGATTTTTCCACAGAAGATAGTAATAAGGTTTTTAGATAATACATAGTAAAATTCTCTACCTCCCTCTACATGAGTTGTCAAACAGTAGCAGTTTATAACATAATTTTACCACAACTAGACCATAATTAAGCACCTTGTTTGTTAGTGTAATTTCAGTGTGAAATGACACATTTTTCTCTTTAGTTTCTGATGATCACCATCAAGTTCCAAGTCTGTAACTTGAGTGGTTTTTAAATCCAGCTTAAGATAATTTAAACAAAATATATTGTCTTAGATTTAGAAAGAGATGACTGCCTAGTTGTGCTATTGAAGAAGTTTATTTTAGTTGAATAGGAAAAGTATTATTTAAAGATAATGTGAACTGGAAAAAAAGCACATATTTTCCTTAATTTATGAAACTGTTCAATCTTAGAATTGATCCAGGTCCTTTATTAATTTTTACCTTTAGCCTTTTATTGATGGAATAAAATAACCTCTGAGTCAGCACCCTTTGCTGCAGGCGGGCAGTTCATTCTTCTATTGCATTAGTCAGTCTCTGGTGCAGTGAAGAGGGTGAAGAAGTCATGTAGAAAACAGCATAAAGGAATGATTTCAATATGCCTTTTAGTCTCACGTGAAGACTTTGTCATATATATAATAGAATAGAGTTTTCAACTGATATTTATTGCTTTTATTCCTAGGTGGACACAAATGACGCTGACCTAGCAGATGAATCTGCATTTGAGTCTCAGTACTCTCCTGATAATGACAGTATCTACTCTACTCAAGCCTCTATTTTATCTTTTCATGGCAGTGCTTGTAGTGATGGCCTTAACTATGGTCCCTCCCTTCCATCTTCTCCTCCCAAGGTACAAATGAAATGTTATCTCATTTATGGGAGAACCTTGTATGTTATTTTCCAGAGATCTTTGTTTATGGGGAGGTGAGCTGTAGGAGTAGCATATCAGAGACATTATGCTTCTCAAGTCATGGATTCATTATCAGGTTAAAGTTCAGTTTCCTTTAGGTAGTGTTGATTGGGTAACTCTTAGACTTGTAGGGACTATTTAATTCTAGGGTCTGGATACAGAGTGATAGACACAAAGTTTCAAAGCTTTGATTAGGATTTTACAAAAATGATGAAATGTACTTCTCAAATTGTGTTTTTTAGCTGGTCTGTTTTGGAAAAGTTATAGTTATTTCCTTAATGGTTTTTAAAACTAACTTTCATGAAAACTTGGATAATAAAATATTTCTTGCATTAATTTAAAATTTACTCGCTAAGTTAAACTTAGTGCTGTCATATGTTTTTATATAAAGTGATGCCAAAGAATACATAAAAATCATGCTGAATGACAAAGTATATTTAAGTCACTGGATGTGAATGAAGAATTAAGTTACTTTTTGACACACCTGTGACATTTGCCTTTGAGAAATAGATTATTGCCATTAATGCTCCAACTCTGTTTTCTTGGTAACATGTTATACAGTCATTAATAAGTAATATTTTAAAACCCAGCCAATATTTTTGGTGTGAAATGGTATCTTCTTATTTTAGTTAGGGGTTCCTGATTGCTTCTAGTGAGGTTGAACTCTTTTTTAATATATTGGCCATTTGTGTTTCACTTCATCAATGGCTTCTTCATATTTTTGACTGTTTTTATAATGGGTGATTTGTTGGCATTGTTTATGTTTTTGCTATACAAAGCAATTCAGTGTATTTTTATGAGTATGTGTATGTGTATATGTATTTAAAAAACTAAAAGCATGCGATTGTTACTTTTCAATTTCAGGAAAGAAGTTACTCTCAGAGAAAAAAAGGAAACATAGGAATTTAGCTTAATACATTATATCATTTTAACCAGAAAGAGATTGAAGAAAATACGGCAAAATGTTAATATCTATAAATCTGAGCAAAGAGTTCATATGTGGATATATTTTATTTTTCTATGTTGGAAATATCCCACAAATAACAATAAAAATTAAGATAAAAAACTGGACAGTAATCCTTTCTTAGATATGTGAAATATATATTTTCCACAAAAATTCAGTGGGAAGGGAATTTGAGTCTATGAATAAGGTGGAAAGTAGAATTTTCTAGGTTTAGCAGTTTCCATTCTTTCCTGAATTAACAAGTTTTTGTTTTGTTTATATTTTGTCCAGAACATTCAAGGATTTTCTTTTATGTTCAAGGTACACCTGTTATCCTTGCAAATGATGCTGGGCAATCTTTTTGCATTGGTTTACAAGGTATAATCTTGAATGGAGCAGCTGCTCCTCTCTCACCACACCTGAGACTGTCTATCTGACTGCATCCTGTCTGGACCCTGTTCAGTCTTTCCTTGCCTCAGGGCTGGAAGCTGAGTTCATCTCCTAATGGAAATCTCCTAATCCACAGCATAGCACAATTCTTGCCAATGGGACAGATTGCTTTGTTTAACTTTGTAATTGTTACTTAAAGGTATCGCGCAATCTGCGTACTGAGAAGCACATATATTTTACAGGGCAAATGCTGGTTGTATGCAGCACAGCATATTGGCTTACTGAAGTCTGTGTGCCTCCCCTTTTTTTTTTTTTTTAAATTCCCAAAGAGTTTACTCTTTTGTTGAAGCAAATTTTGGCAAGCTGGCTTATCAACTGAAATATTTAAACTACACAAAACAACAAAGAAGACATTAATGAGTGTATTTTAAAACAGATTGTGAAACTCTTGTGTGCTTTAGTTTTCTTTGAAAGTAGGACTGTTCCTACAGTGCAGTAAATCTCTTTTTTTAAATTCTGTTGTTGTTTTCTGTGGCATCTTTTAGCATCTAGATATATACTAGAAAATTGTGTGTAAATAAATAAAAAGTTAGATGATCATTCATCTTTCTCTTTCTTTGCACTAAATTTACTTTAAAAAGACAGAATGTCAATTTGTTATAGAATTTAGAATTGATCATTTTTCTTAAAGAAAAGTGAACTCACATTAGGACTTTTTAATTGATAAAATAAGGTTGTACAGCAAATGATATTTAAGTAAAACAAAGAAGCCTGTATATACTGATGTGAAGAATGATGAAATAGAACATGAGGATCTCAGTGATTCCTCAAGTTTTTTCTTTATTATATATGTAATAATCTTGTAACCTTAAATAGTGTCTGGAAGTGCACAAGTAATTTTACTTTTCTCCTTACACTGATGAGAGGTCTTTCACTTTGGTCAGGTATGCTAGAAGACGTTGTAGAAGCTGGTCACCCAGAGCAGGAGCTCATTCTGAAGGAGGACTTCCTCATTGCAGAGCCTGGGCGCTGACCGCAGCTCAGAGCCTGGAGGACTGCATCCCCAGCAGCTCCTCTCCCGTCAAGGCACCCATTCTGCTCTTTTTTCTTTTTAAAGGAATTTGCTTAATTTGATTAATCATCATTGAAGGATTTATGAGAAATGACCATTACTCAAAAATCTGAAAAATATAGCTACTTTCATGCATTTGGATAAATAAAGACAGGCCATTGAAAGGTGGATTTTGAAGGAAAAAAGCCAGGGAGTTTTTTTCCTTTCTTACTGTTGTAGGTTTTAATTTTATTATTAATCTTTTTATCCCCTTTTCTTGTCCCCTCCAAAGACACAACAAATGCAGAAGTAATTCTTTTCAAATTTAAATGCTTGTAGATTTTTGTTTAAAGCTCAAAGTATTTGAGGGCAGAGGATGCTTTCATTTATTTTTTCCTATTTTGGCTTAAAAATATACCCAATAAAGACTTAATAGCTGGGTAATGAGTCTCCCTTTCTCCTAATCCTCTCCGGCAGGCCACACCCTTCCTGGTGTGCTTGCGGTCTCACTGTTGCTCCACACGGGATCACCAGTTTGGTGCATGTCCTTCATGTCTAAGCTGTGGTACATATAGGAAATGCTATTGATTCTAGTAGAATTTGAACTTCATGTTTGTTAAGAGAGAAACTCCTTTTTGCATCTTGTACACCAAACACAGCTAATGGAGTCTATGATATATATATATATAAAGATCTGTTACTATAGCAGCTAGGAATGAGTAGCCAGAGGGGAAATAAAGGCAGAGCCCTCACCATTGCAGTCTAACAAAGAACTTAATACAGGAGGCTAAAAGCAAAGGAATATGTCTCACCCATTGACTCTGTAGTGCAGAGCCTGGCTCAATAAGACCGCCAGGCATTCTGAACAGCAAGCAAAACTGTGATGGTGTGGGGGAGGGAAGAGAGCCCTTGAAAGTCTGTGTGCATCATCTCCACTAGCTGGGGAAAGGAAAACTCTGACAATGATTATTCATTCCAAGGCCCGGACAGGGAAGGGAGGGATCTGCAATGCCCAAAGAAAAAGCCCATAAAACAGCTTTGGTTAACTGCCTGCCCCCCCGCCCCCGCCCCCCCGTCACATATGCAAAATGAACAAATAAGAGTCTAGAGCAAGATAAGGATTCAGGCTAACAGACCCCCATGCATACCTATGTTTCGGTAGTGTTTAAGTAGTCGTGTCTCCCCTGGGGAAAGCTGGCATGACCTTTACCCATCAGTCAATATGTAACTCCCTCACCCAATTCTGCAAACTATGTAAGTCCTCCGAAGAAAGGACTCATTCTCTTGGCCCTTTCTTGCCACATGGGGTGCCCCTGGCTAGCTGGCCTCTGGCCGGGGGGCAGGCTCTGGCCACCTCGGGTGCTGATCGCCAGGCCTGTTGCCACCCTTGCTTTTGCTTTCCCATTAGAACTTAGCACTAATAAACCTTGCTTGCATGCTGCTAGGCTGGCTGATGTGTAATTTACTGCATCGGCAAGAACTGAGTTTCTGGGAGTTCCTTCTGCAACAAACCAATCTTCACCTGTCATTCTACAACACAAAATATCACTGACTTTATATCCATGTTTAAAATATGCCCCCCCCCCCTTTTTTTTTTTTAAAGAAGAGGGCTTGTATAAACTAATTTAATCACTCTGGTCAGATGATGAGAGTGATTGTGATAATCTTAGTGACAAAAATGCAAGTTCTCAAAGATATAAAAGATGTTGCCTTTTTGCTCAGTATTGTCAGCATATAAACAATAAAGGAAGTATACCCTATTTCAGAAAGAGAGGAGGAACAATGTAAGTTGGAATAGCTGTGCTTATAGTATATTTTTGAAAAATATTAAGAAGACTTCTGTGGTAGACTGCTTATTGAAGAAAAGCAGGTTGTATCCAGTGAATGTTTAAGTATGGAACTAGTCTATATAAATATGTTATCTGGGTAAATAATGTGCTCAAGTACAACCTTAACTTATTCACTACATTTAAGAAATAGACCTACTTTCAAGTAAATTTGATGTCTTTTTTTTTTTTTATTGTTCAAATACATTTGTCTGCATTTTCCCACAACTATTTTCCCCTGCCCCACCCACCCCCACCTCCCACCCTTACTCCTTCCCCACTTGGCTTTGTCCATGGGTCCTTTATACATGTTCCTTGATCTGACCCTTCCCCTTCTTTTCCCCATTATCCCCCTCCCTCCTTCTTTCTCATTACTGTTGGTTTGTTTTTCCCTTCAAAGTTGCTGATTATGTTTTTCTTGCTTGTTTGTTTTGTTGATTAGGTTCCACTTTTAGGTGATATCATATGGTATTTGTCCTTCACTCCCTGGCTTATTTTGCTTAGCATTTTAACCTCTCCTCCATTTTTTTTTTCTTGGAGAACAAGACTATGTCAAGTGAAAGCACATATTAGGGTGAATGTTTGATATCTCAGTTTCATTTAGATACCAGGTTGCACTGGGAAATGGAAGAGTTGTTTTTGGACATATGTGGGGGAAGAACTACTTTTCTTTTTTTCCCCTTTGATTTAATCTTTATTGTATTTTTTCTATTACTATTTAGTTTCCTTATATCCCCCTCCCCCTAACAATCACCATAAGACTTTTAAAAATAAAACTCGATTGTTCAGCAACCAGCAACATTTCTTAAGTAGGCTTATGTTGTCTGCTGTGTTGATTAGCTCTTTCTTGTCTGTATCTGTGTTAAATCCTTCATGAATAATGCATGGAAATTTGTTACACGATTTACAGTAAACCCCACCTAACAAGGGCAGCTTGACCTCTTTCTGATGAAAAGTAGTTTTTATTATTTTCTTCTTTTTGGAGTGGGAGAGATGACTTACTGCTAATTATAATTAATTTAGTAATACAGAAGCTAACCAATTTCTTTAGTAAGTACACTGTTATTTTTAGTGGGACTAAAATCAGCAAAGTTGGATGTATAAGCTAGCATGTTATTGTCTGGGTTCTAGGAGTGTAAAGGATGATACTTTCCTATCATTTTTTTTCCTGAGGACTCTAAAGATGATATTTGCTTGTTTGATATTCCGACTTTTCTCATTTCCTTGTACCATCAATATGTTAATTCCAGAGAGATGAAAACTTTATTGAGGGAAAGTAATTGTGCTGGAGCAACTGATTACCCACTTAGATAAAGTGAAAAGAGATCCCTGCATCTCACACCACATCCTGAAATAGATTCTAGATGGGTTAAAACTGAATCTGAAAAGAAAGCAATTATGAAACAGAAGAAAAGTAGTAAAAAGTATTTCATTCACTTGGTACAGAGGAAGGACTTCTGAACAGCATATAAAACCCAGAAGCACAAAACATTTGACGAAATTACATAAATAGTTCTTGATTACTTATGCAGTTGAACTTATGCAGGTATAGAGCATATACAAACTTAGAAGTAACAAGCTGGGAAAATATTACCAGTACATATCACAATGACTTTATATTCAGAGAATGTCAATGATGACAGTAAGCAAAGGCCATCTGATAGGATCTTTGATAAAGTATATGTAAAGAGTGTTCACAGGAGACATACAAATGGCATGTCCTCACTAATTGTCAGGGACACATGTATTAAAACACTAATGCATATATTTTTTACAAATCAAATTGCCAAGCTAATTTACAGTTGTCAAGATTAGTTAATAGGCATTCTCACATTCTCTTTTTGTGAGAGGAAATTGATAGGCCATTTGGCAATATATACCAGCATTTTAAGTGCACATACCATTTGAAAAACAGCTCTAATTGTAGGAGTTCATACTAAAGAAATTTTCACAGGTTCACAAAGATGTGCAATAAAAATAACAGCAATGACTAACAATTATTGGGCATTTTCTGTTAAATCAGGTATGTTTTTAGTGTTTTGTAGTATTAACTCTGTCCTCCCAACAGTCTATCCAGGTCCTATTATTTTCCCTAGTTAGTACACCAGGGAACCAAGGCACAGTATATTTAAGTAACTTGTCAAAGCTCAAAGAACTAACTGGTAATGGAGTCAGCACCTGAACTGAGCAGCCAGGCTCCAGTCCGCACTCCAGTCCTTTCATACTTAGGAGTATTTTGTAACCATAAAAATATTGAAGTTGACTTTTATTCACTGACATGGGAATCTCTTATATAAAGATACTTCAAAAAAACAAGTAAAAACCTACTGTGTAATGTATGGTTCAGTTTAGGTTTTAAAAATGAAGTATATGTGCTTGAATATGTGAGTGTGCACAATTGGAATTATATATAACAAATGAATTTTTAAAATGTGATCAATAAACACACAACTGAAGCCAGCTAGTTTTTACTGGGGAAAGGACCAGAGGTAGGAGCCGTAAAATAAAACTTTAATATAGTGTACATACACACTATACACTTGAATGGCTTTACTCTTTTCCAATGATAATATATTCATGAACTACTTTAAAAATATCAGCGAAAGAATTGGAGAATTGATAAGTTTATTCTACAGTAGAGTTCATGGAGTAACTGCTTACCCAAAGCACATAAGTGATAAAATATATATGTTGTAAGTAGTTATGTACAAGTAGAACTATAGAATTTAGAGTTTAAGGAATTTTAGTAATTAATATAAAGCCAAGAGAGGTTCTGTGATATACAGATTGTTAAGGAGACAGCCTGGGTTAGAATGTACATCTTATAATAACCATTCTTAGTATTTCTTCTGTTGTATCTTACAGAATACTATGAAAAGTTTCCCTACACTAATATGAAGTGTGGCTTTCTCTTCTTTCCCTAAATACATATAAATATCAAAATAATTTTCTCTTGAAGGTTCTTGTTAATCTGAATCAATTAATGTCATTCTCTGTCTGCTTTTGGTCTTGTAATACATAGGAACCCAAGCTGATTGGAAATGAATGGTTCTTTCAATAAGATTTGGAAATAAATTACTTGCTTTCCCCTGTAGATTGAACTTGATGATTTTATATGTGAACAAAACATACATTTGTATCTAAATAATCTCATATACAGTGTATTGTACAAATATAACTCAGTAGAACATGAGATGTATGATTGCAGGAAATGCATTGAAAAGCATTTATAAAAATAAAGGTATGCGTATATCAGCTAAGTGAAGAATTTGTATGTTTGCTAATTTTTTTTAAATACTGAACACTTCGTGGGGTTTTTTTCCCCCCAGTAAATCTTTCATTAAAAAGGATCTTAAAAAATACACTGATGTAATTCTGGCCATAATTTTTTATTTTTCTCTTTAATCATCAGGATGTTCCTGAAAATTCTTCAGATCCAGTACTTGATCTACACACGTCCCTGGAGGAATTGTACACCCAGAACCTCCTACAAAGACAGGATGAATGTCCTCCTTCAGTGGACTTGAGCATGGGACCTCTTTCTGGCTTTGCTGTAAATGATTATTCACCTGCAAATGCTATTGAACAGCAGTATGAACATGAAAACACAAGAGTGTGGACTGAGTCCCACCTCCCAAATGAAGTTATGCCAAGTGCAGAACTTACTTCTTCTCTGCTACCTGATTCAACTGGAAAGGTAATATTTTAAAGATATGGTTTGTGTATAACGATGAGTGAAGTTCTCTGGCTAATCTCCCCATTTGGAGCTAGTGCTCTCCTGACGTGGAGATTTTTCAGAAGCCAACCTATAAACGTGTTTTTGTTATAGATTCTTGTTGAATAAGGTACAGTCAGTTAGAGAATATGTTTGATGTTGAAATCATACTCCAAAGTCTAGTTTCCCTTTTCACGTGACTTATTTTTTCTCTCCGTCAGGGATCTGAGTTCTTAAATCAACAGAGCTCTCTGGACTCTGCTGCTGAGCGTGTCATGCTTCAAAATATATCCAAAGAATCTTTTGAGAGGACTATTATTATAGCAAAAGGCAATTCTAGCCTAGGTAAGTTCCTTATTTTCCACACAGACCTTCCCAACCAACCTTCTCGCAGAGACCTCCTTAACAAATTTAACCTAGTTTTTATATTTTGGGCTGTAGGTAAGAAAATAGGTGTTATGAATGTTCCTGTAGTTATTATGGTTTCTCTTTTGATGTGCTCATTATTTTTCCCTAAATGATTAACAGATTTGTTTAGTTCGGACTAGCTTAAATCCCTCACTCTCTTAATTATTGAAAAGTATTCAGTAGTCTCATTTACATTCAAGTAAAAGATATACAAATTGTTTGTGTATGAAACAGAAAATGAGAAAAGGAATTCTTAGAAAATGAAAAGTCAGCAATTTGGAGTTCTAAATTCTTTGGAAAAGCAAATTATTAGTTTCTTTGAATGTTACCAGTTATGCATAAGTCAGTTTGTATTTAATTTCTTTCATTCACTGAAAGAAAGACTAAAAAGACAGCCAGGTGTGCCACCACCAAAATAAAAATGCAAGTTATAATAGTCCTTCCCAGGTGGCAGGATTTTTGTGTCCTTTCTTACCCATAAAAGGTTGCAGCTAGCTAATAATCATAAAGCCTTCAGAGTTGGGCAAAGCAGACTTCCTATAGAAATAAAATCCTAATTATAATAACTAAAGTTATATTGAGGCAGAGCACATTTGTTCTTTTTCTTTTGAGTGAAGCAGTCATGTGACTCAGCACTGTCCCTAGTAATCTGTGATGATAAGTAGGGTGTTAGAGCATTTGCTCTGAATGCAGAACGTAGTCCAAGACTCTGGTTAGTTCTGCATTGGAGATTCTGCTCCTTCTATGATGGAACCAACCAATAGCCTTTACATTGATATCTTATTTCATTTGGTGGTGGCTGGGTACTGCCAACAGCAGCTAAACAGAATTAGAGCAAAGAAATTCTACTTAGTTATACTGTTCCTTATATATTACATTTAATAAAATTATATAAAACAAGCTATAGAACTTTCTATAATTCACTAATTATGAGGCAGGTATTGTAGCTATCAAAGCATGTCTGAAATATTTCATCTGTTAATACTTCTGAAAGCATGTCACTTAAAATAGTAGTTCTATAGGCTGTAAATAGGAGTTATAAGTGGGTTCCAAGTTTAAAGTTTGAAATGTGATGAATTTAAAGTTTGAAATGTAAGGAGACAGGTTTCTGTTTGTACTACATCTCAGTATCTTTAATATTCAGATGTGCATGTGAACCTTTAAGAGGAGGTTATAGTGCAGCATTTCTTATGTTTAATTGGCCATAGAACCTATTTTTTTGACCAACTCATAAAACAGATTTTGTAAAGCCCATATGAGAAACCCTATTGCAGTCTACCTACTCAGCGGTCAAACATTCATTTTTTTTCCTCTATATTCTAGCCACTATGTATAAACTCACGTTCTATGAGTTTAAGAAAATTAGCTAATTAATACATAAAGTCCTAAATGCGTTACTTATTATGATAGATACTCATACATAGAACATTGAAGCTTAAAAGAGGGAATGGCTGATACCTACTCTTGGAGTGAGAGGAGAAGTTTGCACAGGTTTCAAAGAGGAGAAGATACTTGATTTAGTTGTTGAAAGAGGAGTAGATTTTTACCATGTAGTTGAGGAACTGGGAGATGCTGGAATCAACTAGCGCTAAGGCAGAGAACTGTGAAGTATTACTGAATGTTGTTTGGTATGGATGAAGTGCGGTGGGGTGGTGGGCACAGTGAGAACTGGAGTTACGGGAAGGCTGGGTGGTAGACAGCTGCTGCGTGGGTCGGTGTGCAGGACACAGGACTTCTGCTGTAACACCCTCCCAGCTCAAAGTCCTGTGGACAGTGGGAGCCAAGGGCAGAAGAGCGACTTGATGGGATTTGTATTTTAGGAAAATCACTCCGGCATAGACGGTGAATTAGATTCAAAACAGCTGATAGGCTCTTGTAAGAGCCATGATTTGAGTACATCTGATTTTATAATCTGACCTCAGAAAAAGTTTTTATACATACTGTTATAATTTTATGTTTCCTTATCTGGTTTAATTAAAGGAACGTTTAGCGTGTGATGTTAAGTGAATTAATATTATGTAAAGTGTTAACATAATTTACTTTCTGAAATCATGTTTATTCTATTACAGTTGACTCAGTTTTCCCCCCTTTGTCCTCCCCCACCCATTCCGCACCCCCTAGTCAATTCCCACTCTGTTGTCCGTGTCCATGGGTCATTCATACATGTTCTTTGTCTAGTTCCTTCCCCTTCTTTCCACTATTGCCCTCCTTCTCCATGCCCCCTGGTCACTTTCAGTCTGCTCCATGTTTCCATGCCTGTGGTTTATTTTGTTTGTTAGTTTATTTTGTTGAATAGATTCCACTTATATGATCATATGATATTTGTCTTTCACTGACTGGCTTATTTCACTTAGCATAATATTCTCCAGTTCCATCCATGTTGTGGCAAAAGATAGGAGTTCCTTCTTTCTCTTTTTTTCTTAAATGAAGATTGATTTTATTTATTTTTTCAAATGTCAAAATCCATTATATTAAAAAATTTAAATCCATTATAAAGTCTCAGCAATTAAAACAACATGACACCAATACAGAAAGAATCAAGTAGATTAATGAAATAAAAAGAGCATTCTAGAAACAAGCATATATATCTAACATGTAATATATGTTATATGAAATAAGTTGATATTTCACATCAATGGAGAAAATAAGGCTTGTTCAACAAATAAGGTACATAGACCACTATTACTTGAAATAAAGCAAATATAGAGTCCTGTTTCACTCATTATACAAAAAATATTCAGGTGAGTTAAAAATCAGTATGTAACACCTAAGGAGTTTTAGGAGAAAATACAAACTAATATTTCTCTTACTCTGCAGTAACATATTCAAACCCAGAATCTATAAAGTAAAATATTGACAATATGACTATATTAAACATTTAAGACTATACAGTAATATACATATACATATAAAAAAGTTAAAGGACAAGTAATAGAATAGGAAAGTATTTGCAACACATCTAAAAAAGGGTTAATAGGGTTTTGAGAAAACATTCTATAAACATTTACTCAAAAAATGGATAAAGAGTACCAAAAAGTCATTTAAAGCTTTTTAAAAATAATAGAACTAGGCAAGAAATATACACAGACAAGTTTAGTTTCAACAAATAATAAAGGAACAATTAAAATGACACATCATTGTCACAACCAGATTAATAAGTATTTAAAATATTGGTAATATCAAGTATTGGTGACTGTGAAAGGAACTGGGCATTCATAGACTCTTTTTCTTCATCTTCTTAAAAACAGTTGCTTTAGCATAGCTTACAATGCTGGTTTGGTGGAGGTGTATTCTTCTAGCCTTCTTATGTCTGGGACACTCTTTATTTTGCCTTCCATTTTCATTGAGAGCCTTGCTGGCTAGAGTAATCTTAGTTGCAGGCCTTTGCTTTTCTGGATTTGGAATATTTCTTGCCATTCTCTTCTGGCTTGTAGTGTTTCTGTTGAGAAGTCAGCTGCTAGCCGTACCAGCGCTCCCTTATATGTTACTATCTCTTTTTCCCTTGCTACCTTTAGGATTCTCTGTTTGTCTTTGATATTTGCCATTTAATGATGTGCCTTGGAGTGGGCCTCATTGGGTTCTTCTTGAATGGTACCCTCTGTGCTTCCTGGACCTGTATGACTTTTTTCTCCTTTTTCTTTCCTCCAATTAGGGAAGTTTTCCATCATTACTTTTTCAAACAGGTTCTCTATCCCTTGTTCCTCCTCTTCTCCTTCTGGTATCCCTGTTATACAGATATGATTACTTTTCTGGTTGTCCTGCATTTCCCTCACTGCCTCTTCATTCTTTTTGAGTCTTTTTTCATTTCCTTGCTCTTTCTGGGAGCTTTCTTCTACTTTATCCTATAGCTCGTTGATTCGATCCTCTGCTTAATCTAGCCTGCTTTGGATTCCTTCTACTGTGTTCTTCAATTCAAAAATTGTATTCTTCATTTCTTCTCATCTCTTATTGATAGTTTCTATGTCCTTTTTTCATGCTGATACAGTTTGCAGTAAGTTCCTCAGTTTCCCTATAGTTTTTTGTAATTCTCTCTGAGCTCACTGATCTTGTTGAGCTTCCTTAGGAACATTGTTTAGAACTCAATATCTGCTAGTTTACTTCTATTTCATTTAGTTCTCTTTCTGAGGATTCCTCCTTTCCCTTCGGCTGGGAGGGGGGAGTGTTTCTTTGTCTTCACATTATTCGTGAAACTCTTCTTTTTTACTTCTGCTTCTTAAATTGATCTGTCTTGACTTCCTGACTTTGTGGTGTGAACTTGTATGGTAGGAGACCACTGTTTATTTCGTTCTGGATCTGCCTCTGATGATGCCAGACATTGACCATTTCTGACCTTAGGCATGTCTGCTGGAGACTTCCAAGAATCTATTGTCTGCGGCTCTCTCCTTCAGCTGTTAATCTAGTCACTCTGCACTCAGCAGTCAGGCTTAAACAGCACAGAGTGGAGCAGAGTCTCTCCTGGGGGTGAGGTTATTGTGTCTTCTCATGCTGCTATGGCTCAGGGGAGTGGTCTGCCTGAGTCAGATGACTGCTGCAGTATGGGAGAGGAATAAGCACCAGGATCCTGCCGGCTACTCTCTCAGTTCTCTCCCCAAAGCCTCCTTCCCCAGTCTCTCCTCAGATGTTTCTAGCCCACTCTGCCCCTACCTTTGCGGGAGACCATGGTAATGGCTGCAGAAAAAAAATTTATTTGTTGACCCTGTAAAAGTCTCTTTGTGTCTCCAACCTCCTGTCTCTGTCAGAAAGCAACCCTGCCACTTTTCACAGGTAGTTGTTATCTGTGTACTTTTTGGGCACTGGTGCTGTAGGCTGCAGATCCCTTCCTATGGTTTAGATCCTGCTCCTCTCAGGGGGATCCCGCATGGCCATTTGTATATCCTTCTGGTATTGCCACCCGTGGGCGCTCCCCCGTATCCCCTCCCCACTTTCTGAAGTTTCTACCACACTCCTTACCAGTTAGGTTTTGCTAAAGGTGATTCTTCTGTCTGTCCGAGTTTATAAGGCTCCTCTCACTATTGTTCAGTTGTTTGTTCTGGGTTATTTCTCCAGTTTACTTGTAATTCCAGATTGGTCCTGGGAGAAGGTCAGTGTGACTTGCATTCACTCCTCCACCATCTTGATTTTTCTGTTAATGTAATTTGAAAGGTTTTTATGTTTTTGAAGGAATAGATTGAGGGTAGGATAAGAGGGGAACATTAATTTAGGGGAGGTTAGATGTGAATGCCTTTTTGAGGAAGTGATATTGAAGCATGAGGAGCTAGCTCTGCAAGAGCTACTGAAAGAAGCCATCAGTCTGAATAGGGAGAGGCTAGGTGAATTCTGAAACGCAGTTGCTGGAGCACAGGGAGCCAAAGAAGCCATTGTATTGTACAAGTAAGGGCGCGTGTTGAGAGGGCCCTATAGACTGTGCTGAGTATTGTAGGAGTGCTGTATATTATCACAAGAGGAGGTTTTTAAAGTGTCTTCAGCAAGGGAGGGATGTGATGTGATTTGTCTCTTTTAAATGATCCCTCTGTCTGCTGTGAGAAGAATGCATTGGAAACCAGGAGACCAGTTAGGAGGCTCATTTGAAAAGTGAGGCAAAAGAAGGTGCTAGCTTAGTCTAGGCTTAGTAAGGAAATGGAGAAAGACAAATGGATTTAAGGTAAGTTTTGGAGATAGAAATAACAGGACTTGGTGATGGATTAAATATAAGAGGTGAGAAAGAGGTAGTAATTAAGAGTGTCTTCAATATGTCTGCCTTGAGTAATGGAGAATAGTATTGTGGTATCAGCACCAAAAAGGGGAAGACAAATGGAGAAATAAGGGGAGGTAGAAACTTGGAAATTCAACTTTATACATACTAAAGTTTTATTTCTTATTAATCACCCAGGGAATGTGTCAGAAGGACAATTAAATATCCAGATATGGAGATTATAGAAGTTCAGATTTGAAGATAAAATGAGAATAAATTAGAATTAAATTCATATTAGTTTAGTTCAACAGACTACTGTACATTTAGGCACTGTGATAGGCACTGAGGATAAGACTTTGATACAAACTTCTTGATGTTAGTAATTCTGTTATGCTTTTTTATCTCAAGCCAGCAGTGTAGCATTTGGCCCACAGTAAGCACATAATAAGTCTATACTGAATGAACAAATGATATGGGAATAAAGTAGTAATACAGAGTTTCTTAACTTATTGAACTAATTTTCCATCCATAGTCCTGTTTTTTTATTCTTTTATACATATAAGAGATGAACTCCTATTATAAAATTCATTTGATATTGTCAAAATATTCTCTATGACAGAGCTTTCTGTGTAAGGGATAACACCTCAAATAGCCAAAGTTACATTCACTCCAGTGTAGATCTGTTGAAACACTACTGATTCAACATGTAGTGTCTTTGTCTAGACACAATTTCACACTTTAAAATGTTTTTTTTGTTAGAAACTTTTTCTTTGATTTTGACTGTTTATTATTGGCTAAAAAGTTAGCCCTTCCCTGGCAGGTTGCTCAGCTGGCTGGAGCATTCTCCTATATACAAAAAAAGCTGAGGGTTTGATTCCCAGTCAGGGCACATACCTATGTATGGTAGGAAACCAATTGATATTTCTCTCTCTGTCTCTCTGTCTCTTTGTCTCTCTCTCACACACACTCTCAGTCCTTTCCCCTTTCCTCTCTCTAAAATCAGGAATAAAATACCCTCCGGTGAGGATGAAAAAAATGGTTACTATTAATTCATAGGGATTATTAATTTTAAGTCAAATTAAAATGAATTTGAAAGTCACAAAGCTAATCCATATCGATGTTTCTCCATTACAATAGGGATGACAGTAAGTGCGAATAAAGATGGCTTGGGGATGATTGTTCGAAGCATTATTCATGGAGGTGCCATTAGTCGAGATGGCCGGATTGCCGTTGGGGACTGCATCTTATCTATTAATGAAGAATCTACTATCAGTTTAACCAATGCCCAGGCACGAGCCATGCTGAGAAGACATTCTCTCATTGGGCCTGACATAAAGTAAGTATCATTTGGACCCTGGTTTTTCTTGGGAAATTCAGGAATTTCAGTTCATTAATCAGAGTCTTTTTTTCAGAATATACTTCTGTTTGGTATATAAAATTACATATTTATTTAATGTAAGTCACTTAAGAATTTGACTATTCCTGAGTAGTTCTTGATTTTAGATAGTCTCTTTGAGATAACAGTGTTGAAATATGTTAGGACTGCGCATGTGCACCTCATACTCTCCACCCCCAGATGGGATGGCTGTTTGCAGGAGTATGTTGTCTGTTCCTGTGAGGGTGGCTGTTGGGATAAAACACAGTGCTGTGTATGACAGCTGCAGGCGGACAGCTAAGTGTAAAGGTGGCATGTGAGGGGCTGCAGTTCAGACCAAAGGGGAAGTTCCCAAGAGGACATGCAGTGGTCTTAATGAAAGACAGACATGGGTAGCAATAGGATGCTATTGGAGGGCAATCCCCAGAGCAGCCACTTGCTGTACATGTTCCATGGGGAAGCTGCAGCAGCAGCACAGAGGTGGGTTCCCCATGTTCAAGCACATTCCCATATCTGAGAGCAGCTTCAACCAGATCAGCAAAAGGAAGGTGATAGATGTGAACAACAGTGTGCAAATGGTTACTCTGGGTATCACATACGGCAACCCCGACCTCACAATACCCGATGTCATGCTGCAGCATGACCAGCTGTCAGTTGTGCAGTCAGTGCCAACATGACTGACACACCCAGTAAGCCATGACTGACTGGCTTCTCAAGTCAGAGAACGGCTTGGAGCTGACCAGGCTGCTCCCTTTGAAGGTAGCAAAGTTGTCCATCTACAGTTATGAGAAAAACAGTTCCACTTGAAGCTTGCCACTGGCAACTGTTTTTACCTACAGTCATGCCTCCCGTCAGATGCAAGAGAAGATCTCTTTGCATACTTGGAAGACCTGGTGTGCTCCCTGAGACCCTGCAGGGGAGGCTTACACCATTACCCAGTGCTGTAGTCACTTATGACATGATGGATGTTCCTGTGTTGGAGACACAGGACCAGAAGAGCCCAGCAGCCATGTAGCTCCATGAAGAAGGTGACCAAGACCAGGTCAGCATCAAGAGCCTTCCCATGGTCACTGAGATGTTTGCGATGGCCTCTCTTGCTTATGCTGGTGGCGAAGAAGCCCAAAAATATGCTTCACTCAAGTACTATGTGCTTAGAGACACATTCTCTTTTCTAACCTTGGCACCAGCAGCGTCTGGCCAGAGCGCAGTCCCAGGGGCAGCAGCAGTAACACCCTGGGGCAACGTGAGTGTGGTTGCAGGAGGGGAGATGACCAGCAAACCTGTTTTGGAGACCTTGGAAGGTCAAGGAGCTGAACCCATCGTCTCATTATGGAAGATTAAAGATAATATGAGTGAACAGAATGGAGACAGAAAGTCTTCAAACACCAGGCTGAAGCCCCTAGGAAAAGAAAGGAAAAGGAGAAAACTCCCACCAAAAGGCCTTCCCATTCTGGTGGGAAGTGGGAGGACACAGAAATCCTAAGTTCCCATGGAACCACTTAGGGAGAACAACAGAAGAAGGACTAGAGCAGCCCAGAGGGCCAAGGACATGGCTCCTTATCCCAGGAATACAGAGGCCCCAGTGTCACTGAAAAGGGGTCTACATCATCTCAAAAAACCAAGGAAGAGCTGATCCAGAACTAGTTCGGTGGAGAGGGGCGCATAATTCAGAGATCTGTTCCCTCATCCTTCCCCCATTCTGCAGCTCTCCGGAGCCGAGGTGGGGACACTGGCCATTCATGGAACTTGTGCATATCAGCTAGAGTGGATCTCCAGGGTTGTGATCCAAACTCCCGTTTCAGGATGGGGAAACTTAGCTTTTCTGAAGTGGGTCAGTTCTTACATTTCTTGAAACAAATAAATGCCTGCTATTAAAAAAATGTTTTAAAACAATGTTGCTTTTCTCTTTAATTTTAATTTTCAAGTGATTTTTGCAAAAACCTTAAATGTGAGATACATGATTTCTCTCACAGAGCATGAGGGTCCACTCTTAGGATCTTACAAATAAATTTTGGTTGGCCCCCAGTATAAAGAATTGTGCACTACTTATTTGGCTTGTATGGATCCTAGAACTAAACCAGTCATTTAAGGGCCAGTAATGGTAAATATCATATAGAAGAGTGCCAGGCTGAGCAATAATTTACCTCTGTTAAACCTCATGATCCAAGAGAATTTATCAGTATGTTGATATAGTCTGAGTGTAGGTCATGTCGGATATTTTGTGGGGGGAGTGCTTAAACTGTCCCTTAATCCTGTCGTGTGCCTACAGCACATTATATATGGTTTGGTTTTTAAGGCACTAAGCATTTCTTGAGCCAATATAAAAATTAGTTCATGATTTTATTGTCACACCTTATCGATGTAATAGTTTGGCTCTTCCCTATAGCATTAACCATTGAGTGTTTGTTTTTATTGAATAAGAGGTAAAATAATAAGAGCTCAGGATAGATTGTTGACCTTAAATTAATGCAATGATCACTAGTATGGGGGACTTTTTTGTAGTAATGCTACTTTATTGACTGCATTCTGTATTATTCTTTTGCAAAGTACATATTGCTAGAGCTTAGTTACAAAAAACAGTATCTGCAATTGGTTTTTATTCTGCCTTCAATAAAACGTAGAAAATATATACTATTTAGAGTGGATTCTTCTCATTTAAAAAGTCTTATTTTGAGGAAGAACTTTACTAATGAACTTTTACATTTTTGCATGTCTTTTGACTTTTATTTTATAATGGAACAAATCATCAGATCTTGTGACAGTCCCTTAATTAAGAGTAATGTGAGTAGAAGTGAACATCATTAAAAATATCAGTGTCTATACTAAGAGAAAAGAGAAACTTTAAGTGCTTTTCTCATTACTTGTGCTCCAGTGTCCATTTCTTTTGCTTAGAAGATGAATGTTAGATGAGGTCTGTCCAGAAGGTATCCAGCCATGTAATATGAAAAATAGAGTCATTTACTGAAGAACATAAAAGATAGAAGAAACATTGTACATAGGACCATGACACCTCAGTGCCCTTCAAAGTATGCACTCTGGGACCTCATACAGTTCTTCCAGTTGCCATCAGCTGTCCCATCATATTTTCCTGAATCTCATCAAAGGTCTGAAATTTCTTCCCTTTCAAAGGTGGTTTTAGTTTTGGGAAAACCAGAAAATGTAAGACACCAAATCTTGGCTCTAGGGGGGCTGAGTCACCTGGGTGACTTGATGTTTTACCAAAAAAGTCTGCACGAAATGTGATGCATATGTGGGCTCGTTTTTGTGATGAAGCTGCCAATCACCAGTTGCCCATAGCTGCAGCCTTCTGACTCATCTGAATAGTTTCAATGGAGGAATGTTCAAGCTTAATGCAAAATTTAAATGCAGATTCATTGCTCTACTCACTCAGTCATTTTGAATGTAACAGCCAAACAGTACACATGCTCACTTAATGGAATCTATGTCTCCAGTGACTAGTGCAGTGAAGTTACCATTGTTCACACATGTGCATTCAGTCCACTCTCCTTGGCTGCCAGGTTGCATCGATGTTGCACAAACTGTTCTCATTATATTAACAGTGGCTGGACTTTTTCTGGACAGATGTTGTACATACCTGTGGAGACTGTTTATGGGACTGTGTTTAGCCTACAGTTTATATGCAGAATATAATGCAGGTGGCTTAGTAACTGATCATTTGATTTATTGTGTGATAATGCCTTCTTAAGCTATGAGCACTGATGCAGGTCTCTGAGTGCCATAATTGGTGCTTGGTTCTAGCCTTATTCCTTGGTTATAATTTACTGAAGATCTTAAAAGATAACCAAAAAATAAGACCATTGTGACATTGATTTGACATAAGTCATGCATCTAGCCTGCTCCAAAAGTTTTGTCATGTATGTTTTCAAGCTCTAAAAGTCTTCTCCTTTTCTCATTTGTATTGCTCCTGTTTGTTTTCACTTAGTTTTATTCTTGTTTGTTGTTCTCCCACTCTCTGATTCAATCCCAGAATTTACCCTTGCATGTGAACAGCAGCTTTATTATGATCTTTAAGGGTGTCTAGAGAGATAGCTTCATAAATAATTGCTTTAGGATAGCTTCAGAAATAATTACCCCAGGAGACAAAAATGCACTGTGGTATCTTTCAATTAAGAAGAAGAATGTAAGAAAAATTGTACAACTTTCCCTTCTCTGGAAATCAGTCAGTAAATCAATTAGTGAATTGATATCTTTTTCACACTCTGGCGTGTTTGCATGCACATACACAGTCACAAACATACCAACATAATGCTTTGATTTTTTTCTCAAGTGTCCTACCATAGCTGTGATTCAGGTGGTTATGGTTTGACTCATTGGGTACATTGGTAGAAAGAAATTGGAATCATATAATATTTTACAGAAAAAAAACGCGTTAAGTGATAAAACAAATAATGATTACATTGGCCAGGGCTGAGCAGCATGTTCCATACATTTTGCATAAAGTGTTTTTGGCCCTGTGCCTTCCAGATCACTTGCTTTTGTGAAGCTAAAAGTTTAGAATTACCATGAAAGCTATGTGAGTAATCCTCCCAGAAGGCCTCCATTATTCCAAATGGAACCATGCATTGCCTCGGGCTAATTAGGCTTTGTAGTCACTGCCTGGATTTAGGTTCCATCCATGTTTCTTCCCTTTTATTTCTTGTTATGATCCCAGCTTCATCTGGGGTGGTGGTAGAGAAGTGTATTGGGGGGACTTAAAAAAAAAAAAAGGCCTAATGGACCAGTTACATAACCGATTGGTTTTAAGAAAAGCATTGCTTGTTGAGACAACACACTGGATTTCTTTTTTGCCTTTCACCATAGATAGCAAGGAACTTGGTGAGTGTGTGTTCATGCATGCCTGGGTAGGTAATTTGAGTTTCAAGAGTTCAAGAACAGCCAGTTTAAGTTCCAGGTTTCATTATTTTCTGTGGAAAACCAGATGTGAAGCCTCACCAGAATGCATTCTGTTTCACTTCTCACTCCACCTTGCCAGGAGCTCTTATATTTCTGTAATAACAGAAAGGGCTTTGCGCTTAGCAGCAGCTGCTTGTAACATCTGCCAGATAATTACTGAGCTGAATCAGAATTCACCTGCCTTAACCTAAAGTGTGGGATGAATTCCTGATCAAGGAATAAAAGATTGATTGCAGTTACATTTTTCCATGCTTGTTAATAATCATTGCTATAGACACCAGTAAAGAGCAGATGCTTTTCTGGGGGAGGTGTAGAAGGGAGGGAGGTGGAAAGGGGGAAAAAACAACCAGGAGCACCCACTTTTAACTACATATGTGTGCATCTCATATTCAGCACAAGACAGTGACATTTGTTAACACCATTGTAAAAAGATGCCACGGCGTATGCTTCACATTCTAGATTTTCTACAGCACCTGCTGATGATCGAGCCCCATTTATGTGTGAGTATTGGTGATTCAAAAAGCTCATTATGGCTGTGTGTTACAACTTGTCTGTGAAAACCGTTTCATGCTTTTGTAACATTCTGATGCAGCGATAGTTTCAGATATAGATTGAGTGTATAGATTTTAGCTTTTTTGCATTAATATAGAAACGTAAGTTCCAACAAAGCCATCAGATTGTTACATTTTCATATTGCACTAATAATGATTGTGAACCTATTTGAAAATCATGTTTTTCAACTACTAAGCTCTTAGGCTCCTTTGTCGGGGAACGATCCTGTCTGCGTGTGCAGGCACAGGCCCTGGATTAAGAGCCGTATCACATTTCGGCATCACTGATGTTATTTTTTTTTCTTTTACTCCATGTCTAACCAAAGGTTAGTTTACATTTAAGAATTTTTTAACACAGCTCTGAAATAAGCAATTTCAATGTGTTTGTATAGTTTATAATGTACTTTTGCTCTTCTTGGTAATTTGGAAGTTTTGTGTGGCTGTGTGAGCAGACATTTGTGGGGATTGCTCTGTATGTGCTATTGCATTATGGGATGCTGGTTCTAATAACTGTGCTGTGCATATCAGGCTAAGTATTTGTGAAAGCTGCCTTCTTTAGCCTTTCTTACTGTTACTTAAAACATCAGAAAAATATTTGTAAAGCTCCCCTTCCCTTACCCTTTGCTCAAAAGAAAACCATCTTTGAACAAATATAGAGGAAAATTCCTTTAAACATTATTTGGTATAGAAATATTCCTTCCTTCTCAAGCCAGTTAAAATATCAAATACTTTGAACTGATTATCATTATTTTCACTACCATGTTCTAGCATCACCCCCACACTTCTTCCTGGCTTTTTTTCTTAAAGTTTTACTTATCTGTGTTTGACCACATTGAATTTTCAGAGATAGTAACAGGTTTCTTGAATAGGCTCGTCAGCTTGGGTTTTTCTGTTTATCTTAATTTTTTGTGTAAAATACAATCAGTCTTATTTTCCAGTATCATGTGTTATATATTTTGACTCATTAGTTTTAAGGGGTAAATATAAATTTACTATTCAGTATACCGGGTCCAGAAAAATAATGCTCCTTTTTTATTACAAAATCTCTTATTATAAAATCATAAGCATGTAATTCTATAACATAACAATATCACACTATTGCATGCCATATGACATTTTAGGTGAAATGTTTTACATTAAAACTATAAATTATTACAGCCATATTATTACCCTACCAACCACACTCAAGCAGGTATTACTTCTACTGGACCCTGTATTTTAATATCATGGAAAAGGTGTTTTATCGATGAATAGATTAAGTAAGGTCCGAATTATACTTCAGTACTCTCACCCAGCCTAGTTCTAAATCCACTGAGCTGTGGTTCCCACTTCATTTTTTAAACCTTTGGGTAAAAATGTTATGAATTGATTCCCAAGAGTCCTTGGGTTTTGCCAGGGTGATCAGCTGTAACAAGTCTAGCTGATGCCCTGTCAGAACACTTGTATTATATTTCTCCAGTTTACAATAGCCTCATAAAAAGTGATGTTTTTTTGCGATTGAGTGGTGGTGATCCACCCTCCCATCACGCTCCTGATGAGTAACAGAATGTGTCTTCTGATTCCAAATCTAAGTGACTTCACAGAATAAATGCTTTTTATAGAATAACCAGTATACTGAAATTATATGTCTTCCTCACTCAATAAATTATGGCATCAGCGTAATTCTTATTTTATTATAACATAAAAGACAATCCTTTCATCCTTGCACCCCAGTGCGAAGGTTTTAATAGTTATTGTCCATAAAGTAAGTTATGGATAGCTGGTTTCATAGTCTTTATGATTTTTACATTGTGCATTTTTATATGTATTTCTTTTTTTAGTTGTGCAAACATGCTGAACTGGCTTCAAATGCAGTATATCTCTTGCCTTTTCATTAATTTGATCATCTTGGAATCTCCCACTGAAACAAGTGTATCAACTATAAAGTCTTATAGGACAGCCCTAAACTTGAATTTTCAAATGTCATTTTCTAAACACTATAGTTGTAGTCAGCATCTAACTCAGTGCCTTCCACATTAAGGGCATTCAGCCAAGTACTTGTTGAATTAGTAAGTGACCATTCAAGTGTAAACAATAGGCTTTTTTCTGAAACCAAAATGAACTTATAAGAAGTTGTTACAAATTAGTAAAAGCATTTTTCCATAAACTTCAACAGCTTAACTTGAAGCTTGGAATGTTCATAACTTAATAGAACTAATGTTTAATTATTGATAATGCTTATTAACATCCATCATTATGTATTGTAGAAGACTGTAAAGTTATTTACACAAAATAACATAAAAACTCAGTGTTTTAATAGTGTATGCCTAATTTGTTCCTGCTAAGGAAACCAAGACTCTTTGGATGAAATCAGTGTTATTAACTAACAGTTATTTTCCTAAGAATTTATAGATCTTTCTAATTACAAAAAGTTGTTTTACCCTTCTCATTTGGAAATAAAAATAATATTGTTTTCCTCCCCCATGTAATTATTGGTAAATGCATAGTTTATCAACAGCATTTTAAATTTTAACTTCTGTTATTCTTACTATAGGATACTTCATTTTGTTGAAGTTTAGATTCTCTGATGAATAAGCTGATTTAAAGAGTTGTGTGAAACAATAGAGATGAAGGGATGATATAATTTATTTCTGTATTTTGGAAGCTTTTCCTAACAGCCAAAGCTTTGCTTCCCTTTGCTTTCATGGAGTATGTTCTCTTCCAGAATTACTTATGTGCCTGCAGAGCATTTGGAAGATTTTAGAATAAGCTTGGGACAACCTGGAGGAATAATGGCACTGGATATTTTTTCTTCATACACTGGCAGGTAAATAAAACAGTAAATCTACTACAATGAATGAATGGTATAGTAGGTTATAAAGAAGAGTTTTGAATCTACAATCAAGAAGAACTATCAAGGAAAGAAATTTCCTTTCCTTTTTCAACATAAAAAAAAAATATTTTCACCTTCCCCCTGACCTTAAGTAAATATGACATAGTGTGGAAAATATATAAAAATTCAAATCCAAACGCAAAAGTTATCTCTAATTATACCACTGAATATAGCACTTTAACATATTGAGTTCGGAGAAATTCACCCTAGGTATGAATATTATTTGTCAATTCCTTGGAAGCTACAGTTTTTGTAGTATTTAATCATGCTTTTTCTTCTTTGTAAGTATTTTCAAGGATCTTCAGATTTTATTTATTCCTTTTTTAACATACATACAGATTGAGAAATATTTTTAATGGTTTTTTTTTAGTTTTTTGGAGAATGTTGATCTGAACATCTTCATATATAAATATATATATATACACACACATATGTGTGTTAGGAAGCAGAATGTGTGCCTTTTAAATGCTCTTGGTACACAATGTATTAAGAACAGGAAAAAGTTGTGATTTTTTCCCTTAGGAAAGGCAGGAACTATGTTTTGATGCTGCTGCGGAGTTTAACACAGGGAGAAAAATAATGTTAAATTTCTTTTCCAGGTAAAATGTACCATTTTACACTCTCAGCTATGGGCCTGTTGTTTTATTTTTTCAGTTGCATTGGCAACAGAGTGCCAAATTTCTCCTTAAGCAGGTTGTAGAGCAGAAATGGCTTTGTAAATACTCTGAGACCTCAGAAGAGTTCTATGGCTTCTCAGAGATTGTTAGAACATCCCAAACACTTTGGTGACCAGTGACTCTGGGGGCATCACAATATGATGTCACTGTTTCCTCTGCAAATTGCACATGACCACAGTAATGCAGAAAGTGTTAGGGAAGGGAAGGTGTGTGTTTAATAAAGGGAAGAAATGTCATGGCCCTTGGGGCCTAATGAATTTTCTGGGAAAAGGAGTATTCACTCTCCTCTGTTTGTACAAAGCTCAGCCACACTCCACTCTAGAATGTCCTTCTCAGGGTTAATGCCATGAATTGATTAGAGCTTCCTGATGCTTTCTGTCAGAATACTAAAAGCAGTTATTCCACTCTCCCTCTGAAATGCCATTTCAAATGGCTTAATTAAAGAATATCCCAAAGTAACATCATACTCCTTTTAAGCACCGAGGCCTTAAATTTACTCAAAATGTATTAGAGAGAAAGAGAGCCACATGCAGCACTATGCCTCCCCCAGCAGACAGGACAATGGCCTAGGAGGTACAGTGCTGTGAGTGGTTGCTTCACTGCAGAGGAAGTATATTTGCTACTAACATACGGGCACTCTAAACAAAACAATCTGCATTTTATAGAGGAGGAGTCTGCAGCAGAGAGAGGTTAACTACCTTGCCCAAGTTTCATAGTTAATAAGTGGCAGAGCCAAGATTGGAATGTAAATAGTCAGGCTCTATATTTTGAACCATTGGATCCAAAGAAAGAATTGCCCAAGCCTGGGATAAAAATACAGGCAGCATGGCATGGAGGTTAAGAGCTCAGGTTTTTATAGCAAAGTGGTGTCACTTAAAAGGTCACTTCCGCTTTATTGTGTGACCTTGTCAATCCCTGGCACCTAGATGCACACATAAAGGGAATTTTTATAATTGACAGAAATGTCATTGGTATTCAACAACACTCTTGGCTGAATGAGTACAGGAGGAAGAAGAGAATTGGTCCATTCTCTTCTTTGGAACACAGGACACTTGAGTCCCGCAAACTCTCTAGGATGCATAAAGGATAATCAAGACATTTATAGGAGCATATCTCAGGTAGTGAAAGGATTCAAGACTGCAGAGTCATTTGAAGAGAATGAGGTTTCTGTATCAGAGGGTCCAGGATACTAGTCTCCTTACAACTAAAGAGGTGTGAGTACGTGAGACACTCGAGTGTTTCTCCGTAGCCCCATAGCTGAGAGTCCAGGAGTGAGGACCTCCTCCCACCTCAGGGCTGTCACTGAATGTTTTAAAAACTCTGAGTTCTCCTTCTTGTCTGCCTTCCATGCCTGCTTGTTTCTACAATATTCTCTCCAGTTAGGTTTCCAGAGGGTTAGTCCTAGTTTTCATCTTTCTGCCTTGTATCATTTGGGTAACAGCCTCACTCAGATTCTTTCATTTTTAGCCAGTGTCTTAGCATCACTTTTAAAACCCCCTCTTTTGTGACTCCATTCCCAACAGCCTTACCCCACTGTCTGCCTTAGACTCTTAGAACCCTAGTCTCATGCACAGCCTTGTTACTCAGTTTGCACAGGAAGGGGCTTCAAACACACAACCAATGGGCAGGACCCATAGGCAGGTAGACTTCCTTTTAATAGTTGAAAACAAAAGAACTAACAATCAGGTCAGAGAAAAAAAGTGAGAAATTCAAGTAGAGCCTGGACATCTACTTGCCAAAAATGTTGCGAAACACATTCAAACACAGGTGGATTATTGGATTAATAACTTCTGACCTCAAAGTTGAAAGATGGTATCATTTGACAGAGTTAAACATTCTTGCCAATGGAGAATGGATAAAATTTGAGCATGTACTTTCTTTAGAGTTTTCAGTTTCTGTAAAAATCAACTGAAAACCACTTTTGAATCAAAATTTTTATAGCCGCCTCTGCTTTCAAATGAATATATGAACATTTCTCTAGAAATTGAATTTTTCCTAACAGCATAAGATACTATCATTGATTTAACCATCTTGTGTGTTTCCCTTATATGTTGCTTGACTGGACACATTTTGTTATATGCCTGGCATTTGGCAAAATCTAAACTACTACAGAAATTGAAAAGTGACCTTGAACATAGGTGCAGTGTAAACTGCTTCCTGTATGGAGTGTTCTGTGTCTGGCCCCTCTGGGTACTCTGGATAGGTTGGAGGTGAACCATAGTCATCTTTTTCATCTTTCTTCAAAAGTTGAAGGGAATGAATTGGTCCAATCTTAGGAAGCAGAGATGTTAAATTCCTGGCTTATTTAATAATATGTTCTTTAGGACAAGGATTGTCAGCCAGGGCTGTACAGGCTTATAACTCATATGGTGCTTCTATCTTCTTGCACATGGTAGGTATGTAAAAAATATATGTTGCATAGTTTTTATTTAAAATTCTGTATTTATCCCCTTCTCTTTTCCTTTATTTTCCTGTTTCATTAGGAAAGAGACTAGACAAGATTCTTAGTGTTCAGCTGTATCTTTAGACTAAGTTATGGTAGATTGATTCTAATGTAAGGTTTTTATTTTGTTTGATTAGCTTTTTTATTTTCCCCTCAATGTAAAATTTTATATACTTACTGGCTAACTATGTAGAAAATATAAAGCAGTTAGGCCTTTTTAGCCAAATCAATAAAGAACGTATAGGACAGTCTTGCACTGGGTTACTAGGATTTGGGGGTACTCACTGTATAATTCTTTAACAGAGACATTCCAGAATTGCCAGAGCGAGAAGAAGGAGAGGGAGAAGAAAGTGAACTTCAAAATGCGGCATACAGCAATTGGAATCAGCCCAGGCGGTAAGGAGTGTTTCTGTCTTCAGCCTACTCAGTGTTTAAAAATAGGAAGGCGTGGTTTCAAATGCTGGATTACAACTTGATACTGTGACATTGGGCAGGTTGTTTAATATACCTCTATTTCTTTATGTGTAGAGAGAAGATAGTATATATCACACAGGGTTAAAACTAACATGTATACAAGGGTTTGGCATGTAGTAGGGAATAAATAAAATTAGAGAAAATTATGCATTGGTAGTTGGAATGGATATTTTCTGTAGAGTTTAATCTTAGGTATACCATCAAATGTTATTTTAAAATTTCTCTAGCATTTGTAGAAATGATATTCAAAATGTGTGTGTCGTACGATCGTGTGTTAGTAAGCATCTTGTTATCACAGGCTGCCATTATTCAGACCCATGTTTTTTCTAAAACCAATTTCATATACAACAGAAAAGATGACTTTCTTAAATATGCTCAGATATATCATTGTGCATTGCTAAGGCAAATTTTGTGTTCATGCTAAATAAAATCAAACTCACTTTAATAGAAATTCATTGAGTTCTGATTATGGACCCAGACAAGAAGCAGATGATTTTGCCATAACAGGGAAGTATAAGACATAAATCTTGCCTTCAAAGAAATTGTAATGTACTTGGGTAGGCGACATATAGATATGCACAATGTAATTAAATAAAAATAATAAGATATTTGCATTAAGTATAAAATATAAGTAATCATTGGACACTCCCTCTAAGGAGATATAAAAGTGACTATCACATTAGTTCCTCACACTTAGTAGAGACTTATATATATTTTATAACAAATAAGTAAAATGCTCGAGAGTAATTTATAGTTTTCAGAGATGAAGTACAGTTTCATGCTTTTTCTTGCTCACACAAGAATATGAAGCAGCAGCCATCACATTTTCTAGGTTGAGTCACATTCAAAGTATAGAAAATGTACCATGCTTTCACCAAAAAAGAACAAACCTGTAAGCATTTCTGACCGTTCAAAATGACTTCTTGATTTGAATTCTTTAAAAGCTGTTTAGCCTGCTTAAAGAAATCACAGTGTCTTCGTTACCCATATTGAGAACAGAATATAAATGCTAGATCTGCGGCGCAAAAAAAAAAAAATATATATATATATATATGGTAAGATGTTAAGTTTCTTATTTAAGGATGGAAGCAAAATTCTCAGATGAAATTATTTTGTAGCTGGTGACCGTAGTGATAAGCTTGAATTTTGTTGGAGGACAGTAATCATAGGGAAAGAAGATAGGGTGGCTGGATTTAATAACATTGTGGGAGGAAAAGTCGTGTTTGGAAGGCACTCTGCAAAATGTTTGAAGTCAGTAAGAGCTACATTTGAATTCTAACTTTGACACTAAGATGAGTGCCTGAATCTCTGCCAGATCTCAGTTCTTCCATCTATAAAATGGGATTAATAATAGATCCTTCTAAATTGGGGGAGGGAACAATTTAGTGTGATAACTCATGTAAAATTCTTAGCGCAGCGCCTGGTCCAGGATGAGCGCACGGTCAGTGGCCGGCCTTGTCGACCACCACCACGACCGCCATCCCCGTCACAATCCCCGTCACTGACAACTAAGCAAATAGAAGGTGTTGAACACAGAAATCATTATGAAAAATTCTTATGAGAAAGAATGAATGTAACTTCTAGATAGGAATATTTTCTATTTTTATCCTAAATTTTAACCTTCATGGTGGCCTAGGAGATGTCTCTAAAGGTGGTAATTAACTTTAGAAAGAATATGTCTTGAGCTTTCATAAGTCTTAAAAATGGTACTCTACACCCTTCTATGTAGAAGCACTAAGGTATTTTTAGGGAAAATTTCATTGAGTATTATGTTCATAGAATATTATGAGGAAGCTTACCAAAATAATCACGTCTTTTAGTAAATGAAGAGCAAGGGTTATGAATATTCTTTATATCTTTGGAGATGTGGTAGGAAATTTATTCATGCATTCAAAAAAGTTTTACTTTGTGTGGAAATAGGGAACACTTTTTAGCAAAGTGTAAATTTTAAAATTGCAAATAAGCTGTGTTACTCTTGTTTTGCATGTGATTTTGATTTAAAAAATTGTTTCATGTGTCATTTTCCAGCTTGCTTACTTTTCTCTCAATCCAGTATTTTAAAGATCTATTATGATTCCTAAAGATCTAATTAATTCAATTTAGTTGTTGTAGTGCATTTCAGTATATGAATATACCACAGTTTATTCCCAGATTGAATTTTGAGTATTTAAGAGTTATTCACTATTATAATAGCTCTGTGCAGGAAATACATCAATTTCCTTATATTTATGTAGGAGAATTTATCTACGTATAGACCCAAAAGTGAAATTGCTGGTTCATAGATTTAATGTATTACTCACTTTCTTAAAAGTCGTCAACTTGTTTTATAAGATGGCTATAACAGTTTTTCCTTCTTTTTCTAATATATGAGAGTTCCATTTTCCTCACATCCTTGTTACTTCATCATAGGATCATTTTTAAAAGAAGGTTTTTGTCAGTCCGATGACAAAAATGGTACCGTGTCTTAATTAGCAACATGTAAGTGTAACAGGATTGAGGTGGTGGAGCTCACATTTGCCCATTTGTCATATGAATTAAATTTTGTATGTTGCTTAATCACATTATTTCGGTAGTTATAATCATAAAAAGAGTAATAGTAGATTTACTGGTTGTTTACTATATGCCAAAGCTTTGTTTTGCACTTCACATGTTTTCATTAATTTAATAATTACAGCAACTCTCTGATGTAGAGACTCTTATTGCCTTCATTTCACAGATGAGGAAAGCAAAAGAGAGACTACATAGGTTGCAGAGGGTCACGCTATTAACAAGTAGCAGAAGAGCAGGACTCCAACCCAAGGACTTGGTTCAGAGCTTACACAGCCTGGCCTCAGAGCTCTGTTTCCCTTTTGCTTTTCTGAATTTCATTCTTCTTAAATCTCTGTGTAGGTCTAAGAAAGGCTGCCATTTTTACATAACACTGACTTCATACACGATCCATAAGATTTTTCTTTTATGGGTCTTCTTTTTCTTTCCATGGAATATTTGCCATGTTCCAGTCAGTGAATAATGAGTCTGGTTCCTCAGCACTGTTCTCATTTTGGCAGTCCATCTTTGGCTGTCTTCTCCAATGTTTTAAGTGGTTACAGCCTTTTTTCTAGGGACTATATTTGAAAACACTGCTATCTGTGCCAAAACCTGTGTGAGTATATGGTACTATTATCCAAAAGTTGTTTAACTCCTCAGTGCCTCTTCCCTTCTTTGTAAGATGGGTCTAACAAGAGTATCCACCTCATAAGGATGTTGTGAGAATTAAATGAAAGCGTGTAAAACAGATAATAAAGCTCAGCATGTGATCAGCCTTAATAAGTGTTTGCTGCTGCTATTATTTTTAATCAAGAAGTAATAAGACTCACTTTTTAATTGATACCAACCACAAAACACCCTAGGAGATACTTTCTTATATTCTTTCTTTTCTTTTATATTTTTTATGTCTTAAGAAAATTAAGGAGTCCCACACATGTATTCTGGCTTCTTAAATATTAATACAATGACTAATTTTACTGACTTATTTACTTTGCCGTTTTACTTTAGAAACTGCTTTAAGAGACAAGGAAGGTTGTTGGTTTTTGTCTTTCACAGAATTCCTAGGGAGAAAGTGATGAGTAGGATTTTAAGAGTTGAAACTGTTCACATAAATTTTATAAGATTAAAGATCATGGTAAGATGTTTTTAAACAGGAAGGATCTCTAGGATTATAGATTTCTAATAAAGAGTTCGGATCAAAGAAGTGTCTCATCATCTGACTTGATCTGACCAGTAGCTGACCTCTCACTCCCCCAGGAGAGCTTGTTTATCCCCATCCTTTTCTTACTAGGACCTCCCTCCTTGCCCTGGAGCCTGACTCCAACCTTTCCTCTCCCCTGCAAGCACCTCAAATGTCAAGGTTGAGCGCATGTTGGGACCATGCGTTCTTCTCCCGTTGAATGCCCCACATTGTCTCCCTGCAGCATGGAGCAAGTTGCAGTCTCACTGTCTCAGAGTTTCTGCTTCGTGTCTTTTTTTCCTCCAGTTCCCTAAGCTGCTCCCTCATCTTAGTCAAACCCCTCACTGCAAATCAGCTTATTCTTATATCCCAACCTTTTCACAAGATGTGTACTTTCAGTTCACCCATAGTTCCTCTAGATATTTGGAATTATTATAAATGAGTTCATGTGTTTTTATGTGTTTAGGGGAAGTGTATGCAAAATAGAAGAAGTAGCAAGTGCCAAGGCCCCAAGGCAGGAGTACATGTCTCTTGAACTTAAGGAAAAGCAAGAAGATGGTGTAGCAGCTGGCATGGAGCAAGGAAAGCGGAGAGGCATTGGGAGATGCTGTTATGGAGATGGTAGGGGGATCAGATCGTGTAGGATCTTGTCAGCCACTGACTGTTAGTTACCAGATCTGCACCGGCAAGAAAGACTTGGACATACATCAGCTTCTAACGTCTTGTGTGTAGGAATGTTCTTTCTCTTGATTGGGTTGCTAAGTTTAAAATTGTCTTTTCAGGCATAACTGAATTTCTTGATTACTTAGTGTCTACAATAATAGAGCTCTTTAAAAAGGATATTTTTAACACTGGTCTGTGCTTAGCCTGGGGTGCCTAAGTCCAGTATTTACTTTTAACAAATCAGCTTCAGAAATACATGAGTATTTATCAGAATGTATAAAACACATAATTGGGAAGTATTTAAAATGATCTTGTTTTACTAGTGAAACTTCAATAAATTGAGCAAGTAATATTTGAAAAGTTAACACATAGAGACATTTTATTGACTTAATTTAAAATATTAACATTTTTAACAATTTGAGTCCTTTTTAAGTGTGCAGATCAGTGACAAATATATTCATATTGCTGTGTAACCATTACCACCATCATCTCTAGATCTTTTCTCATCTTGTAAAATTGAAACTTTAACCTCATTTGATAACACCTCATTTCTTCCTCATCCCAACTTCTAGCAACCACCCTTTTAGTTATGTCTCTATGGATGCGACTATTCTAGGTACATCACATAAGTGAAATCATAAAATATTTTTGCTTTATTTCACTTAGCTGGCTTATTTAACTTAGCATAATGTTCTCATGGTTAATCTATGTTGTAGAATGTGTCATAATATACTTTTTAAAAAAATTATCGTTCAATTACAGTTTCTTCTTAAGGCTGAATATTATTCCATTACTTGTATATACTATTTTCCTTACCTATTCATCTGTAGATGGATACTTGGGTTGCTTCTACCTTTTAGTTATTGTGACTAATATTCTATGAACATGGTTGTACAAATATATCTTCAAGACCATGCTTTGAAATCTTTTGGGTCTCTACCCAGAAGTGAAATTGCTGGACCATATGGTAATTTTATTTTTAATTTTTTGAGGAGCTTCCATACTGTTTTCCATAGTGGCTAAAATATTATATATTGCTGCCAACAGTGCAAAGTGGTTTAAATTTCTTCACAGTTTCTCTCATTTCTCCTTGGCAACATTTATTTTCTGTTGTTGTTGTCTGATAATAGCCATCTTAATGGTTGTGAGGTGGTATCTCATTGTATTGCAGTTTTGGTTTGCATTTCCCTAATGATTAGTTGTGTTAAGCATCTTTACATGTGCTAGCAGGCCCTTTGTTTGTCTTCTTTGGAGAAATTTCTATTTAATTTCTTTGTCCATTTTTAATTAGGTTGTTTGTTGTTGTTGAGTTGTAGGGGTTTTCTATAAATTCGAAGCCTTATCAGATATGATATTTTCAATAATTTCTCCAATCTGTAGGTTGCCATTTTACTCTAATGATAATATTTTCTGATGAACGAAGATTTTGTTTTTGTTGGTGTCCAATTTGGCTATTCTTTTGTTGTCTGTGCTTTTAGTGTCATTTCTTTCTTTCTTTTTTTTTTTAAAAGGCCAGATCCGTTGTCATGAACTTTTCCCTTGTTTTCTTATGAGTTTAACATTTTATTTATTTTTTTACAGGGTTGAACTTTGGAGAGAACCAAGCAAATCCTTGGGCATCAGCATTGTTGGTGGACGAGGAATGGGGAGTCGTCTAAGCAACGGTGAAGTGATGAGGGGCATTTTCATCAAACATGTTCTTGAAGATAGTCCAGCTGGGAAGAATGGAACCTTGAAACCTGGAGATAGAATAGTAGAGGTACTCTCCACTGAGCTTTCTGTGCTAAAATTCTTCACCTGTTGCATCCTCTTTACCAAGGGAATCTCCATCTTTACCCTGGTTGCTCATCTGAACATTAGAGTAAAATATGTTTGTGGTTAAAACATTTTGTTTTTTTAATTTTTAAAATTTTTTTAATTCTCACCCAAGGATAGACCCATTGATTTTAGAGAGAGAGGAAGGGGAAGAGGGTGGGGAGAGAGAGAAAAACATTGATGTGAGAGAGAAAAACATTGATCAGTTGTCTCTAGAAGTACCCCAACCAGGAATCGAACCTGCAGGTATTTGGTGTACGGGGCAACTCTCCAACCAACTTAGCCATTCGGCCAGGGCAAAGCATTTCTTATTTGTTTCTTTTTATCTTTAATTGTTGTTTTCAGTATATGCTGACAGATTATATATCTTGATGTTTGGGAGTATAACCAACCATTTTTAAAAACACTGGCTCTGAGAGAAAGTAAGTTCTTGTTAAAAGAGCAAAGCAAATTTCTTGGGAAAATAATTCTTTAATAGTGTACATTCATATGTAAAATATGTCCATCATAATTAAGTTGAAATTGAGATTTCATTTAAAAAATATTTCACAATTGTCATTTCATTGTAAACCTTGTTGGATGAGATTTTTTTTTTCCAAGTGAGGTGTTTTTATAAAATCTTTTATGTAAGGGCCTGATTACCTTTCGTATAAATACTCCCAGCCCCAGTCCAAACTCAGATTTTCCTTCTTCTCAGCACTGTGCCCATTCATCACTCAAGGGTGCATGTGTGTTTGCCACATATGTGTGTACACATGTATTTTGTTATATATGAGAGAAAAGAATTTAGTCAAATTGTACCTACATCCTTAATTCAAAGCAAAGTTTAATAGTTTAAATAGACTCTTCCCTCAGGAATCACTCGCTCATTTACTTAACAAATATCTGTGGAACAGCTGTTGCATTCCAGGTGCTCTAGCATGCACTGGGCATCCCGCAGGAGACAGGCACCCTGCCTGCCTGTCAAGTGGGACAGACTTGACAAGCAATCAAGTCACTTCAGAGCAGTGTGATAAATTATTTGATCATGATAAGCATAGTTTTACTGCAGTTAAGAGGGTAAAGAGATACCTGACCCAGATTTGCTGAGTTGTCATGATTTGTAAAGTAGACTAAAAGAGACAACTTCCAAATAGAAACTCATCAGTTTCTTACTATGATGACCATTCTATTTATTGTATGCGTGATTGTCTCTCATTTTCTAAAACCATAGAATTCACACACTAAAATGACTTAATTGTTCAGAAGAAGGTTATCACTTGGTCATTATTTTAAAATTAGCATTTGGAGGATTGATTGATCGATTGATGATTACTGAGAGCTGAAGAAGGAAGAAGATTGAGAGTGTAGAAAAAGCAAGGGCCATGTATGTTTTATTTTCCATCCGACTAGTTACAAAAAAGAATGGTGTTACTCTCTCCTGCACACTTACCTATCTTTAGATGAAATCGTAGCCCCCTTTTAAAGAATTCTATCTAAAATTTACATTTTGATGATCACAAGACAGTTTATTTTTGGGGTACTTCACTACTAAATACCGTTGATATAAGTAGAAAAAGTAAGAAATGCTTATAATTATTTCTGGAAAGGGTTGGTCATAGTTTGCACCAAAACGTTGTTTAAATGTATTAAAGAATGTTAAAACATCCCTATCCAATTGAAAATGATTTTGTGTGTGTGTGGTAAAGTACTGTATGCTGTTTAGCAGTGATTTGTTGAATTCTGTTATGTGTGGGGGCTTTTCTCATAGATAAGGAAGCCCTAGGCCTCTGTAATCCTGAGGGTTCTATGGCATATTCCTGCTAAGAGTTTCTGAAAATGTTTATAGACTAGATGAGTAGAGACCTGCAAATGATTTCTTTCTAAGTATAGAGTTCTTTGGATGTGAGCAAAAAATATTTAATGTCCTCTTATATTTTCCCACTAATGGAATATATAGTACACGTGAATACTAACTTTTATTCTACAAAGTTAGAAGTCATTTTTAATATGCACTGAAAGAGATGTTGTTAAATATCACTGAAGTATCAATCTGAGTTTTTCAATTACATGTATATACTTATGTATATACTTTTTAAAGGAGATAATCTTCTATGCAGAGATCAAGTAATTTTCTTTTCCAGAATTGTGTCCCCTCTATGTTTGCTATTTTGTTGTATGTACCATATTGTGGTAATTGGAAATGATAAAATGATATAGTATCCTATGGTTTTCTGACAGGATTAGCATTTGGCCTTTCAAACTATTTTCCTTCCTATTCATGTAGTGCATCAACTGAGCTCATCATCACCGAGGCAAGCCATGCTGTACAAAGGTTACAAAATAACTTTCATTTCCAAGCTACTTATATCAGAACTACTAACAAGTAAGCACAACTTCTTGGCTTCCTGCTCCTGTCATGTCTACTGCAAAGATTCTTTGCAAAGCTAACCTTACCATAACCTGTTACTTCTGAATGTCAGAGTTTTGTTTTCAACTTTCCCTGTACAGAGAAAAATACACAATTCCATCACCCATCCGCTCCCCAAAGCACTCTTAATGAATTGGAAAAAAAATTTCCACAATGACTTTCATGATGAAGACAGTGCTACTAGGCAGTTCCCTTACATTATTTCTTTAATTATGATGATTTATTTTAAAGGAGCAATGAAGCAGCATAAGGGAAGCAGAAGCAGAACTTTCATTCTAATTGATTATTATTTCAGTTGATTAGTAGAGACAGAAATCAGTGTCCAAAAGAAGGGACCACAGTCTGCTGACCAGGTTAAAAGTTCTGAAGCCTCACAACATTCTCAATTATTTTGGATTCTGAAACTGATTTTCCCAGGAGCCTCCTCCAAGGATCTTCAGAACTCCAGATCCATAAATTGTTCTGTTGTTCTATAGCTTCTTGAAATGTTAAGCTGAGGCCTTCCATTGCAGGTGGATGGCATGGACCTCAGAGATGCAAGCCACGAACAAGCTGTGGAAGCCATTCGGAAAGCAGGCAACCCTGTAGTCTTTATGGTACAGAGCATTATAAACAGACCAAGGGTAAGCAAACACAGAGGGCAAGGTAGGCATATCCAAACAGTGTTCAACTTGGAATCTAATTGCATCCAGAGCCAAGTTGTCTCTAGAAGCAAAGATACTAAGTCTTGGAATCTTAGAAGACTTGTTAAAAGTTTGTTTTGCTTGTTTTTCTTAATTGATTTATCCTGAAAGTCCCTTCTACCATGTTTAATAAACACTTGAAGTTTGTTTTAAACTTACAGAGGTAGGTTTCGTTGGTGGACAGTGATGGAAAATTATTAATATTCATTATAGACATAAAGTATGTAAGTTGTTAAGAGAAATGTGGTGTAGTTTTTCAGGTTAGTAGTCTCTGACCTTTAGTGGAGTCCCTTAGAAGCCAGTGAGATGACATTTTCTTTATAAATTCATTTTCTTAGAATTTTCAGTTTATAAAATCCCATGATCACGTGCAAATGATCTTAATGTATTTGTCTATCCCACTAAACACTAAGTTTACACATGGTGGATTTTATTCAAACTATATGTCTCTATACTAGTTATTTCATAACTGCTGTTTCCCAGCTTAATCACTGCATAGCTCTTCATTGCTGATTAGTCCCTAGTAGACAGAAACCTACAAACCCGTTTTACCATAGTCATCACAGGTAGAATGGCTTCAAAATTATTTTTAAATATATAAGTGCATTTAGTGACTGTTGTGGATGGAGAAGATACTAATGAGGCTCTATATATTTGAGATGCTCTAATATTGCTGAAGATGAAAATGGTACCAATTGTTTAAAACTATTTTTCTATTCCTTCTTTATGCCTCAGTAAAAAGAAAATTATTTTAATGTGCAGCAGTTCTTAAATATATTTGGGCCGCACAGCCTTTAGAAAGTTCATCAGAAACACACATATGCACTGAAAAGTTTGCACATTATTGCCAGAGTTTCCTGGGTATCCTGAAGTTTATAGAGAGGCTCACTTCCAGATTTAAGCTAAGAATCCCTGGCATGCTGATTCTCTTTGAGATACCTGCTTATTAGCTATTAGGGTTGGTTGTCTTTAAAAGGAAAAGGTAAACATATGTGAAGGAAGTTAAAAGAATTATCTAAAATTTAAAATATGTAATTTTATATAAAATACATTTAACTTTTAAAATTAAGAATTTAAGATATCAATGCCCAAATCATGGTAGGAAAGTAGCAAACAGCTCTGTAGATGAGATCAAAGTAATTTGTCAAAATCTGTGCCATTGAATAAAAGTGACTAGATTTATCTTATTGGTCCTTCCTTTTGTTGTCAAGACAGGTGTAGCTCTGCTCTGGGTTTACTGTAAGGAATGAATTTAGTAGTTCTTAATGTAAGCATTTATCTTCACATCTGCAGTTTTTAATCATTCAGTTGTTTTTTTTGTTAGGTAATAATTATTCATTCAGATGAGAAAATCTGCCAAATGGTAGAGCTGCATCATACTGCAATCTTTTCAAATGCTATTCAGTTTGTTTAAATAACTACAAATCCTTCTACATTTGTTTCCATTTGTTGTGTTAAACATAGACACAGCATGATAATGTTGGTAAATGGCTGTTTAAGTTAAAGCTATTTTTTTGTGTGTGGGTGGGTATTGTGTATTTTCTCGTTTTATTTTTAATTTCAAACTTTTATATCATTTAGGACTATACTATAAACTGCTGAATAGGATTCTCAGTACTACTTTTTGAAAACTTAAACTAGAAATATTTCAATGCCACATTTTCTAATGAGCTGGGAAGATTTTTTTTCACGCACCTGGAAAATATTTCTATTTTATTATCTGAGTTATAATGATGCCTGATTTTATAACAATTATTCCAGGATAAATGTTGCTCAAGTAAGGTTCCAGGACATGCCACCCCAAAGTATGGCACTTTGGATATTGAATATTTTAAGCTAAAGGAATTTGAGAAAAGACAGGTACTAAAAGGACTCTGACCTCCGCTTTTTACCCTGAAGCAGGTTGTAAGATCCTCCTGTGAGAGATGCCCTTCCTATACCTGGAAAGAAGAGATGGAGGGATGCTGAGAGGAAACTAGATGAACAGACTTTACTATGTTCCCCCTGGTTTACTCTGCTTAGCTCATATTCTTTTGTCCTGTGAGACTTTCCACTACTACTAACTGTTCATCCAACCTAGTATAAAAATGCTCAGATTTAACTGTTTTTTCAGGTCTTTATTTCCTTATGAAGGCTCCATGTCATATAAAACTTACATTAAATCAATATGTAACTTTTCTCTTGTTAATCTGTTTCTTATTACAGAGATCCAGCTGAGAACCTAAGATGGATACAGGAATTTTTTTCCTTTTCTTTAGGAAATTATAATTAATTTTGAACTGAAAATGAGATACATTTTGTATTCAATTATTTACTTCCCTATGGAAATAAATTGAGTCTACTATAATCTAAAGGGAAAAAAATCACAAGTAACTAAGTTTCTTAATGGTAAATGTTTTGTTTGTGGGTGTAATAAAGCTTTAAGAAAAATTTATACATAGGCTCTTAGACTGTTCAAGAACTAGAACGTCCCAGAACTAGCCCTGATTATTCCACCAGTGTGACAGTTCACAGAATTTAGTCTGACTGCATCATCATAGGAAAGGGTAGGCCCTTTTAATACGGCCAGAGAATGTTTTTGTCTTCCCTATGCTGTTTCTTATTTAATAAGATTTCTATTTTTATCAGCCATTGGAACTATGAACAAAAGTTTCGTCATTGATTTTTTTAATAAAAAATATAATGTTTCTATAAATCTTTCTTTAATAATAGTGATCTACCACTTCCCTTGCTGTGTTCATGCTGTACTTTTATATTCTGTTCTCAGGGCCAAATTCTAATCCTGTAAGAGCTGCAAATAAAAAAAAAAGAAAAAGGAAGGAAGACAAGAAAGCAAAACAAAAAACTAGAACTCTTTTTAAATACTATATTTCTTACCATTATAGTTTTATTTTATATTATTCTACAGAATTATAAAGGAAATGTAAAATAGAAAAATTCCATGTATGAGGATTAGAAATAATCTCTACCTTCCATAGCACTGAGGTGTTTTTTTTTTTTAATTTTTTTTTTTGCCTAGGATATGTTTTTAATCTCTGCCTAGTCATTTCTTCCATCGTGATGCATGGTCACATTCCTTGGCATTTGTGATCTTCTTTTTTGTAAAGCAGGAGTTGACATTTAAAACTGAAAAGCAGAGCAAACGTTCAGATGAGCAGAAATGTCATTGTGCCCATTTCTTTTTTCTATCTTCTCTCTGTAGGAAAAACATTGCGGAAGAGCAGATTGAAAGGGTAATGTGGCGTGAACTTCAGTACAGGCGTACTGAGTGAGGGTAGTCTTTGCAGAGTGTTCTCCCATGCAGGGTGGTGTCACGTGACAGTCTCTCCCTACTCTTGATCTTGCCAGTAAAAATTTTTTATAGCGAGAAGTAACACAAACATTTAATTGGAGCCAAAATGAATTTTAAATGTCTGCAGTTTCCCCTGAAAGATGTAGTCAATAAAAGAAAAAGATAGCGGGTATGAAGAGAAGAAGAATTTATTGTGCTAAGGAAATTACTTTTTTTCCTCCCCTTAAACTATGAAAATGCTAAATTCTATCTGGCAGTCATCCTGCCTTTAATATGTATATTCAAATTCAGAAGTCCTAGCTCCATGTATCACACACAGGTAAGCCACAAAACCTATGAGAAAAACTCTAGGGCAGGACTTCAAATATTATTCAAAACAATTGCCCAATATAGAAAAATGTGGGAATTTTTATAGAGAACTTTAAAAAAATATATATATATAGTATTCCTACTTACAAAAAAAGTGGGCAGAAATGGAGACTACCACTGTAAAGTCACTTTTTTAATTGTTGATACCTTTTTTTAACTAAATTATTGACTTTAAGCAACCTTAATATCTAGTCAAAGTATGAAAATTTCCTTACTGGCAAATGAGATAGAAGATTAATGAAGGTACCAGGGCATTAGCAGGCAAACATTTAATTTGCATACTGAAACACATAGACTGTTCTTTGCTTTAAAAAAAAAGCATAATTTGCCTTTAAATATACGTTTTAAAAACTTACTATTTTAGTTTTGAAACATGTTTAGTATATAAAGCAGGCAAATATATATACATCTGTTTGATAGTGAAGACATTTAGCAAAAGTAAAATAATTTAGGGATCCATTTGACAGACTCATTTCCCTGTGTGGTTTGTGGCCAGATTTAGATAGAAGCGTAGATTCAGGTCACTAGAGGTAAACATTTAGTTTTAGACTGCCTAATAAGATGTCATTATTAATAGTAGATCTCACAGTCTGACAGGATCTCTAGTTCTGCACAGTTTTTGAAATCTGTAAGTACTTGGTTTTTAAAACTGAGTTGTTTGGAATACATTTCTTTGCGCTCAGCGCCTGTTATGTTTCTTTTTAGAAACCCCCCTTGCCTTCCTTGCCGCACAACCTTTACCCTAAGTACAGCTTCAGCAGCACTAACCCATTTGCTGATTCTCTGCAGTTCATCGCTGACAAGGTTGGAGAATGCCCATTGTCTTGCCATTGCCTTTTGCAGATGTTTTGTTCTTTGTTACTATTGTGCCTTGTCCCAGTTCACTGCTTACTTAATTTGGGCAGGGGGAAAAAAAAACAAAAAACTGTGTGTTTGGAGTGGGCATGTAAATCCTTTCTTAAGCACATTTTTCTCGCCAGAGAGTATTCATTTTTGTAGCTGAAATTAGATGGTCCTTCTGAAGGGTAAGGGAGAATTGTGAGTGCAGTGCCTTTTCTGTGTTTTGGTGTGAGTTAAATGTTCTGATATTTAAGTTTTTGTTAGTTGCCAAATATATGAAATACTGTCACATATCATATTTTTAAAACCCTGTAATGGTTTAAGTCTTTAGTAAACTTACACAAGGTGGTCCTAAAATCCCTCCTGTGAGTTAATTATACCACAGAAAATCATGTATTTACAGGAGTCCATTGAATATTCATACAGCACGTCCATTTAAATGCCTGAACCAGGAACCATGTAACTGTTGCAACACTTGTAAATCCGGACTTGGATATTCTCATATTCTGATGAAATTATAAATCCAAAATTGAAACAAAAACTTAAAAGATCTAATAGACTATAATTTGATCATGAAAAGGAAGAAAGCTGTGAACAATTTCAGGAAGCATTTTATGAATATTCATTGGAATTTCATGTTACTATAATGAATAAAACCAAAGATGATTTATCTGAAGGAATATATTTTCTGTTACTGTAGGAATTACAGAATTCAAGTAGAGTTACCTTCCGTTGTTCCCCAACTAACCCTTTTACTCCCACACCATATAAGGTTTGTCTTAGTGTGAAATTTTCATGAGTAAGTGGTGTGTTACCGTGTGCTGTGTGTGTACATTATACTGTGTGCATACATAGCATGGAGTGATTTCAAGTGCACTTTATATCTTTGCCAATGAACACTGAATGATCTTTGTTAAAGAGATATATTCTTATTAATAAATTATAAGTGTTAGCAACAAGCCAACTTTATGATCTCAGTTTAGAATGAGGGCTTTATGAGTAGTAAAATAGAACACCTAATTGCCTTGAATAAAGGCTTGTATTAGTTTTATGATTCATTAGCTATGTTAGGACACCATTTTCATTTACTCATAGTGTAAAGATGTACCTAAGATCCTCAATAGTTTATAGACAGGTTTATTTGTTTGTTAAGGAAAATACCAGCTCAGAAAAGTTATGAAGCAATTAATATCTAAAAATTAGTACTCATAAACTTAATAAAATTATAGGAAATTTAAATTAAATTTTGTTCTAATTTTCAAAAATGAAAATGGGCTTAATTCATGCTTGATAACATTTTTTGTCATTACAGAGAAGTAATTTTTTTTTTATTTTAACCAGAAAAAATTTAAATTACATATTCCTCCCCAACTTAATATGTATAATGAACTTTGACTGGGTCTGTTTATTTTTTATTTGTAAATTGTTAGTTTGAGAGTTTTATGGCCCAGTACTTGGGAAGATAACAAAGGTGTAGTTTGCACTATAATTCTTGTGTGTTTGACCAATGGCGTGTAAATAGAACATTTTAATACAGTGCATTCTGTAACTTGAAAATCTATTGTTCCGTAAGTCTCTATCAATCAGCTTTCCTGTGCTTTGCCAGGAAAATTGTAATTCATGTTTATTATGATCATTGTGAGGTAACTTAGAATTCTGAAGTTTTTCTGAATCATCAAGGAAAGATTACATTCAGTGCCATATAGTTTTAGTATTAGGTATAGTTGGTGGTATTCTGATTCTTGATACCAATTAGTAATCCCCAAGTATTTGTGCTTGCCTAACCCTTAGTGTGTTCTGTAAAAGTCTTTTGTTTTTAAATCACATTTTTTTCCCAAATAACACATGTAAAATAAAACGAGATATATTAGAGGGATTTTTATGTAGAATGAAAGGTGAAATAAAGAAGGATAAGAAAATATAGGTTCCAGGCATCAGAGATACTGTCATACCAACATTAGAACTTTAGCTGGGTGACTCTGACTCTTGAATTAGGTACTGCCTTACTATGGAAATTGGAGACAACCTGGTGTAATAGAACGTGCATTGCCCTGGGTTAGGAATTAAGCAAAAAGAACTCTAGTAGCATTGTGTGATTTTGAACAAAACCTTTCACTTTTCATAGCCTCGGGTTATTAATCTGCAAAGTGAACTCAGTGATTTAACGTCCTTTTAAATTTAACACTCTGTTTGATAATCTATAACTTGATGAAGCCACGTCCTTATTTTGGATAAGGATCTATGTGACAGCAAGTATACCATACTTTCGGTTTGTACAAAGTATTCTCCCATGTTTCCCGTTTACCTTGCAAGCTACCTTGGCAAGGGAACACTGGTGTTGTCCCTGAAAAGGAGCCCCTCAGATCCAAGTCTGTAAGCTCTGTACTAACAGCCTAGCTTCATGGGAGATGAACGTGCATGTGTAATGCTCCTTTTCATGGATTTGTTGACACAGTCATTTGGAGAGAGGATTCAGGTAGCAATAAAAAATTATTTATATGTAGTCTCACTAGCAAGCTTTGAATTTCTTTGATTGTTTGATTAACATCTTTATTTTTTTCTAGTTTTTTGGAAGCCTTTCCTAGACCCCTCCCAAATCTTGCCTAGACCCCAGGACATTTATGATAACCTATGAATGAAAATTTCCAAAAGGGGAAGTTTACATCATTTTTTATCTTAGGCTATTAAGCCTTAAAATTGAATAGTTCATCACTTTAAAATACCAAATAATAATTTAATGAATTGTTCTGTGAACATACCACTTTATTTTTGTAAACTTCACCTGAATCCTGTCTGCCATTTTATTTATAAATGTATTTATATTTCCCATTATTTATGTGTCAGATATTTTAAAGCCATTTTTTTTTTGTTTTTGACATTATTGTCTCATTTCTTTTCCTTAACTTTTTTCCCCTTAAGCTGCACTTACCCACTGCATTCCTCTTGTTCCCACAGGCACCCAGTCAGTTGGAAACAGAGCCAGAAAAGGCTCCATTGTGCAGTGTGCCTCCGCCCCTTCCTTCTGCATTTGCAGACATGAGCGCTGATCCTTCCTCATCATCTGCAAGCAAAATCTCAGAAGTGGACAAAGAGGATGAGTTTGGGTATAGCTGGAGTAAGTTCTCTTTTTGTAATGCATTTAATTATAAGAGGTATTAAAAGAGATCTGTGGTTCTCAAGGCTTATGTCCTAAATGAAAAGGGATGTTTCAGCTTTAGTTATAAATACTGCAGTTTTGTGTGGGAAAAAAATGCTGTTTGTTTTTTCTTGAATACAGCACGCATTCCCAAGGCATGAAATCATATTCCTTCTTTTATTCAAGTCCACATTTCTATTAAGGCTCACTTTGCCATTTCTATAAGAATTAGAAAGGACAGGACACTCGCTCAGGAGCTATTACTACATCAACGACCTGTGGTCTAGAACAGGTCATCGCCCCTCTCTAGGCTTCAGATTCCTCCAATTGTTGTTGATACTACTCCTTGAAATGTGGTGTTTTCTCTACTTGAATGGTAATGTAGTACAATTATTGAGATAAAAACTTTGGGCATTTGACAAATTGTTTAACCACCTCTAAGTTTTAGCTTAGTGGTTTATTCCTCTTTTAAAATGCACTTTTTATCTCCATTTGCTCACTTCAAATTAGATAATGTCTGAGGGGTGCTGAGTACAATGCCTGATGTACCGGAAGCATTCAAAGGCAGCTGTTAGTAGGATCATTGGGGTGTCTCTGTTTTCTAAGGAAAGAAACCATTTTACAGGAAAACATTAAAAATTCACCCAAGAGTTATAAATGTGTCAGTGCTTTAAAAAGTTTCATTTTAAAAATAGAATTATTTCCTTTAAGAAACCTATGGCATATGCTATTCAGAAGTACAGAATGTAAAAGTTATGTTGCTAGATTCTAGAAGGATTCAGGAAATGGCAGTTTATGAAATTACCCAGTTAAGAATCAATATAGAATACATGTCAGCCATATAGTAACATTTTTTAAGAGAGGATTTGTAAAATTTACAGTTCTCAGTCTGTTTTCAATGAAATTAGAGCATATTGCCAATCCACCAAGGTGGCCAGAATACATTCTGAGGAAAGCGTTAAATGGAATGTTTCAGTTACCTATTATCATATCACTGGCTGCCCCCAACTTTAATGGCTTGAGAAAACAGTTTATTATTATTGATCTGTGAAGGTCCTGTGGTAGACTGCATTCACTTGGGCTGGGCCTCCAAGATGGCTCAGTCACATGCCTGTCAGTTAGTGTTGCTCCTGGCTGATTCCTTATCTGGGCCTGTGACACAGGGCACCTACATTTGGTTCTAACTCTTGAACATGTGGGATGGAAGATATGAGGGGTCTCATCTACTTAGGACATGTGTCTGAAAGGTGGGACAGGTACACTCATGTGTCCTGACTCTGTGCAATAACAAAATTCATTCCCTTTACTCTAGATATATGGGCCAAGTAACTGCCCAACATGCTATGACATGCAGGAGAAAAGCTTCTACTGACCAATCATGATGAATATTCTAGATTTTTTTGTTCTCTTCTGCAAATGATAAATTTCTATTTTAATCATAGTCTGAGTTTGTTAATATGAATCACTCTTGGAACTGACCACCCCAGGTAAACCAACTGATCAGATACTGGGTACTCTCTGCACCCTGGATGCAAAGAAATTCCTCAAAGTTTGAGCATTCCAGGAAATCAGTCTTAGTGCCCTGGTGGCCAGTCTACTTAGATTTTCTTAACTGCCAAGCATCTTTTGGTACAAATAATGCCCTTTTGAGGCTATTCTAAGCAGCTTTCTATAGGAAAACATTTGACTGAATTAACTCTCAGTACCTGTAATTTTGTTGTTATTGTTGTTGTTGTGTGTAGAAAATATCAGAGAACGTTATGGAACTCTCACAGGAGAGCTACATATGATTGAACTGGAGAAAGGTCGTAGTGGTTTGGGTCTAAGTCTTGCTGGGAACAAAGACCGATCCAGAATGAGTGTCTTTATAGTGGGGATTGATCCAAATGGAGCAGCTGGAAAAGATGGTCGATTGAAGATTGCAGATGAGCTTCTAGAGGTAATTTCTTGTGGAAAATGCTGAATATACTTTGTGGAATCAGTGCAGTGGAATCATCAGTTTCTAGAAAATTCACCTGGGCCTCATATGGAGATGGGGAAAACTGTCGCTTACCTAATAAAATAGATGCACTGCAGCAAATTTAGCACTAAACCAAGTCTCTACTAAGTAGAGTCTATGTTCCCATTAACTTCCATTTAAAGGTCATGACTGTGTAGCACCAGAAACAGTTTTTGCCCCAAGACAGTAATAAAGATTACACTTCAAAAAACCTTTTTTTGTGTGTGCTGCATTTATTAGTAGCTTTTGAAAAGCCAAATGACCAATCATTCCTCAGTAATGAGACTGACCCATTAGACATTCTGTAAGTTGAATCCCTAATGGTAGAGTGATGGATGTTGGGTACATTGGGGTCGAGGTTAAGGCTAAATAACTAAAACAGTAACTCAGCCTGCCACACACAATAAATTTGTGGATCATGCTTTATAGTGTTTAGAATTGCATTTGCTTGTTTTGTTTCTCCTTGCTTCCTGTAGGCTGGGATCCACATATTTTTATATTGTCTTAATACCCTTCCCTGTACGTTTTATATTTCTAATGGCTCAGTCAGCAATAGCTAAATGGCTAGAAGACTGGAATTTTCCATCAGGGACTTTGCTACATAGACACAGTGTCCTGCCCAAATCCTGAATCTGTGGGCATTGCTTCTCCCAGTGGCCTACACCCAGAGCTTGAGTTTTGAGTATAACTAGAAATGACAGTAGGGGACTGACTTCTCAGGATGTTCTGTGCAGGTCACAAGTGCTTCCACAGAGCCCTTGCTTTATACAAAGCATGCTCAAGCCCAGTGCCTGCCAAGAAGTTCACTGTCTGCTCTCCTACAGTCAGTCCAAGCGCTGCCTCTTTTGTCCAGGGAGATAAGACTATATGACATCTTTTTAATGCTGGCTTTTAATATGAGCTTTTTCAAAGTCAGGTTCATGTTCTGGGAAAGAGATTATATATATGCATGTATATATAAACATATGTATATAAAATATTTTAAAGGAAGAAATAAATATGATTTTCATGAGCTAGGTAGAATAAAAATTTACAAAATTAAAATTCCAGGCTCAGTTAATGATATTTATTTCCCATAGATCAATGGTCAAATTTTATATGGACGAAGTCATCAGAATGCTTCATCAATCATTAAATGTGCCCCTTCTAAAGTGAAAATAATTTTTATCAGGTGAGCATTTTCTTACTCTGATTTACTGAATACATTGTTAGCCTTTTCAATTCTAAGATCTTTTGAATGAAAATAAGACATTTATAAGTTCCAGGTCTTTGGAATTTCAGAGTTTTCTCTAGTAATCTTTCTGAGTCTCAAAGTAAAAGACTGAAAATAATATGAATCATTGTGATTTGATAAGTAGGTCAATGTATTTTCTTTTAGGAATAAAGATGCAGTGAGTCAGATGGCCGTATGTCCTGGAAATACAGTAGAACCTTTGTCTTCGAACTCAGAGAATCTTCAAAATAAGGAGGTATGCAGCTTAAGTGTGCTTCTCTGGGAAGATATAATTGATACACAACTTACTAATTCTGCTAACAAATATAGAACACTTACAGACTATCAAAGATAAGTAAGTCCTAGCCTTGGCCACCATGAAGTTTACAGCCTAGTACAAGAAGCACTTGAGTAAATAAGCTTACCGCTTACATGAAGGCTAGTAGTAGAGTTTACATAGAGGATAATGAAGGTAGAAGAGGAGGTGTCAATTCCACCCCTGGAGAGAGAGTGAGAATAAGACTTTAGAGGGGGAATTACTTGTAGGTTGGAAGTAGAAGACTTGGGGGCAAAAACATTGCAAGCAGAGGGCATGGACTGTGGAGGCTCTGGAAAATGCAGACCGTTGAAAACTTCAGGGCATCCTGAACCATGAGAGGCAGGGAACGCAAGCTGTGAGGGTCACTTAAAAGGGAGGGAGGGTCAGATCATGAGAATGTGATGAAAACTTTGTCTTTGAAGCCATGTGGTTGGGTACTCAAAGAATGAGAATTGTGTTTTTCAAAACTCCTTTGGAAATGGTGCAGAGGAAAATCAAAGGTTGCAGGGAAGGGAAGTTAAATTAAAGGGAGTAAGGAAATTATCAGAGTAGTTCAGGAGAAAGATAACAAGGTCCTGAATTAATGTAAAAAAAAAAAAGGAAATGGTTACATCATATACACCATATGAATAAGACCTATCTAAATATTTCATCTGCAGCTAAATGTACTAATTGAGGAGAGATGAATGGTTTTGAATTTATTTTCAACAAATATTTATTGGGTATCCACCCTGTATAGGTGCTCTTCTTTGAGCAGGGAATAGGCTGGTAAATGAAATAAGATGTACAAGACTTCCAGGTGTCTGACTTAGTGACTTTATGGATGGCTGATATTTACAAAAAAAAAACAAAAAAAAAAAACTTTAAAGGAACAAATATTTGTAAAAATAAAACTCATGTATTTGAGGCAGCTTAAGATTGAAGTACAGTGTATATTTGGTCTAGTGTTTAGAGATGGATTACCTGAGGTGCAGATTTGGTGTGAAAGCTTAGGTTCTTGCCTATAGAGAATGTTTAGAAGAGGACCAAGCACAGGCTTATGTATGACCATCAATAAGGAATAAGGCTAACACAGAGTGGTCATAGATGATGAAAAAGAACCAGATGAACATATTGCATAACAGCTGAGGAGAGCACATTAGAAGAAGCGGAGTATATTCTACAACTCTGATTGCTGCAGAGAGGTCAAGTAAGAAGATGAATAAAGAAAGTCCATTAGACTCGGCAAGTAGGAAATTGTTAGTGAGTTCTGAGAAAGCAAAAAAAATGGGTAAGAAGTTAGGAAAAAGAAGGCAGTGGCTAGGGGGTAACAAAAAAATTCAAAGTGTTATGGTGGATGTTCTGTTTTTATTTGTTAAAGCTTTGGGTATGTGTTTTAGATGAATAGAAGGCTATAATAGAAAAAGGAAAGTTTAAAATTAGAAGAGCCATAATGCGTATCAATGAGAGAAGGTGTAGGAAAGGAAACACTATTCCCTAAATAAACATATAAACATGAAGCTTTATCTATGCATAAGATAGATGCACGACCTATTGTCTCATTTAGGTGAACAGAGTTGTTTCTCATAATGGTGAACTGCGTGAAGTGATTTTTTATGATTATAAAGGAGAAAATTTTATTTTCACATGGGTTGTACCAAATATATCCCTTATTGAAATGGAGTATTTTAATAATTTTCAGGTAAAACATTTAATAGCTTCTAAAATCACTTGATGACTAACACAGTAAAAAAGAGCAAATGGTACCTCTGCTGGTGTTCTATGTTTGGTAGCTGGAGTGCTAGTAGATTTCATTATAGAGTCAATCCAGGCAGTTTGAAAACCATATTGTGTGTCTCTGTGCTCTAAAATAATTGCTGTCTAAGCACACCTTGTTAGTATTTTGAAGAGGATATTCTGTTCATAAATGTCATAAAATGTTAAAATAGTAATAATTAATTACAATACATGAAATAACTTTGAATAAGTGGCCCTTATATTTAAACAAACAAAAACACATAACACTCACTTGCTGTTTTTGCCATTTCTTTCCCTCTGTCAGGCTGAACCAAGTGTTACAACTTCCGTTGCAACTGTGGACCTCAGTTCATTTAAAAATGTACAACATCTGGAGCTTCCCAAGGTAAATCTGCTTTGAATTAGAGTGAAATGATAAAGAGTCCCTTCACACCACTGTTCTAATCTACTGGTTCTCTAAAGTGTGGTCTCCAGACCAGCAGCAACAGTATTACCTGGGATCTTGTTAGAAATGCAGATGTTTGGGGCCACTCAGACCTACTGAATGAGTAACTCTGGGGTGGGCCTCCTACTCTGTGTTTCAATAAGCCTTCTCGATGATTTCAATGAAAACTAAAGTGTGAGAACTACTCTGCTAATTGAAATTTTAGCAGGGACCCCACTTTTCCTCTTTTATGGTCTAAAATTTCACAGTCCCTCCTTCGATTTATTTACAGAGGATCTGCAGTGAGGGAAAGTAAAGAATAAAGAAAGTTATAGTTCCTTTTCCTTCACAAAACTGAAAGCTTACATTACCAAAAGTCTCACTGATAGACACCAGTGAGGTATTTGCTTTTGAAAAGATCTGAACCTTAGGTTCAAATGACAGTTTTAAAGAAGTGACTTGCTGAATAGAAACCTGTAAACGCTTTCAGGTGCTGTAGGCTCATGCTGGACGGCAAGTGGACAGGATGAGTGAGAGTATGAGCAGAAAACAGTAAAGTACTGAGGGAGAAGAGGAAGGAAGAAGGTGGAAGGGGGATAGGACGATATTTGCGTAAAGTGCTGCCACTCTCCAGCCATGAGGCCATGCAGCATTATGTCACAGTACCTGAGCTTTAGCAACAGTCAGTCTGTCAGGATAGAATCCATTCTTTATCAGGTATACAAGGGTTGTCCGGAAAAAGTCAAGCCACTGTTAATACAACCAGTATGGTTTGTGCGACAGCATTGCAATTTGGCAGGCAAGATGAGTAGACTGGAATGTGCATGCATTAACAGCGACAACTTCACTGTACTAGGCAGTGGGAGTGCTAGATGCTGTTGAGTGAGCATGTGTACTGTGTGGTTGTTGCATTCAAAAATCACTGAACAAGTAGAGCAACAAATCTGCCTCAAATTTTGCATTAAGCTTACACATTCCTCCATGGAATTATCCATGATTCAGAAGGCTGCAGCTATGGGCAGCTGGTGATTGGCAGCTTTATCACAACAATATACCCACACATGCATCACATCTTATACAGAGCTTTTTTTGTGAAACATCACATCACCCAGGTGACTCAGCCCCTCTACATCTGAGATTTGACTGTGACTTCTGGCTTTCCCCAAAACTAAAATCATCTTTGAAAGGGCACAGATTTCAAACCTTTGATGAAATTCAAGAAAATTTTCAGGGGCAGCTGATGACAATTAGGAGAATTGTGTGAGGTCTCAAAGTGCCTATTTTGAAGGGTTCTGAGGAATCATTGTCCTATGTACAATGTTTCTTGTATCTTGTATTTTTTTCAATAAATGTCTCTATTTTTCATATCACATGGCTGGATACCTTCTGGAAAGACCTCGTTTACTTGGCACATTGTGTGATCGACATTTGCTTCAGTTTTCCCACCTGTAAATAGGAGATGACAATATGATCTTTGATGTAGGTAATTGTAAATATTAAATGAGTTCTTTATAAAGTGGTTGGCATAATGCCTAGCACATGGTCAGAACCTATTTTTTCTCCCTACTTGAGAGAAAAAAAATACTGTGACTTTATTGCTTTCTTTTTTATAATAGATAACCCTGCCTATACATTTAAAAGGAGTCCTTCTAAATGGGCAATTCATGGTGTAGGTGGAGCGAAAAGAAAAGTCTTTAAAGCCTCTTTGTTTTCTACCACCGAAGTCTATGCACTTAAGAATCCCTCCTTCTGTTGCCATTTAAGAGAGCAAATTAATACCTTCCTCTTTCCCCTGCTGATTTCAGGGTTGCATTACCTTTCTCAGCTCCCTTATAATATCCCCTGCTTCATTTAAACTAACTTGACTCAAGGGCCCATGGAGATTTTTTTAAGAATTCATCCCACCTTGTCTTTTCTTGTATTGGGATGTCCATCTTATTATTTTTTTTTAGTTTAGTTTATCTAAATCCTATATAACTCAAGATCTAGCTTGAAATATTTTGAAATAATTTTCAAATATTCTGAAATATTTCTTCAGTTTTCTGGCCTATATAATGGTTATTATTAAAGTCTTCATTTATTTGTCATTTAGCTATGCACAAGAGCATATCTCTTATGCTAAACTTCCATGTGGGTATATTTTCTATACATCTAAATTGTGTTTTGAGAAAAATAACTCTTAAACTTTCTCTCCCATTATCTTACATAGAATGGTGTACCATAGTTCCTACTAAGCATTTGTAAGGGAAAAATGATGAATGCTTATGAAGAGCATGTGCACAAGGGAAAAGATGTCAAGATGGGAGAGTCAGGAAGGAGAGAATAGTTTTTGTACTATTTCAAAGTGGGAGCTAATGTGACAGGTCATATTGAGTTCTATTTTGACTCCTTAGAAACTCTCTTAACAGGTCGATTATCTTTTTTTTCTTCTAATTATTTTTATAAGTGGGAAAATAGAAGTATAAACAAAAAGTTCATAACGTATATGCGTTCATAAATGAACACTCAGTGGCTGACTGAAATGCTAGTTCATTTAAGAAACCAATACCTTTGGTTAAAGATTTATTTTTAGCTCATTTTGCTGTAGGAAAGTACATATGCATCAAACCAAGTAACAAACTTACATGATTGCCAGATATGTTTCATACCCATTCAATTTTATATGGTAAAAGTCTTCAAATACAATTAAAAGTTTTTCTTCTTCTAAATTTTAGGATATCCTCCAACCTCAAAGAAGTTCTCCTGATAATGAAGCATGTGTAGTTTTGTTCTTTTAATTCCTATTTACTCATTTTTAGCTCTTTAATTATACAACTGTTCCTTTATAAATATATTTCCTTAATTTGTTTCACATTCCCTTTATGGTGGTGTTTTTATAACTAGCTCAAAACAATGCTTCTCAGATCTTTTTTTTTATAAAGAACTAAATGTACTGTGGCAGAAGTGATGTGGAAAGTTGAACAGCTAGAAAAGAAGTTGCACACTCACACCCTGTCATCCTTATTTATATGTCATCCTGCCTTGAGATCAATAAATTGTCTGTAGCTGTGTATATATTTGCTTTTGTAATATTCTAAGTGGGATTGGGGAATGTTTATACATGTAGATGTGTATCTAGTTTATTGTTCCTTTTAGGACAGGCTGTTGAAAATTACAGAAAAACATACTCCTTCACTCTTAAAGAAGGAGATTGATGGGCTCAAGAGAGTTGATCTTGTGGATCTACAGGGTCGTCAGAACCAGTGCTTCCCTTCCCCTGCACTATTAGCAGAAGGAATAGCTATCCACAGTGTCAGCTTGATCCCAAGGCAGGTCTTCCTCAGTTTTAAACGGTTACGAACCATAATTGGGGTCATGTGGTACTTCTTTCACGTATAATTGGTGGTTGGAGGAGAGAAGGTCCCGAAATTCTGAACAGAAGTCCTGAGATTCATCTTAATTGAGCCAGTTCATATTATATACCTACTCCTGAGCTGAGGACTAGCACCATGGAATAAAATTGTGCAGTTGACTTAAAATTCATCCTTGGAGCTATTTTTTCTATTGCTACATAACAAATTACCTTAAAATTAGCAACTTAATAGATATTTATTATTCTCGCAGTTTCTGTGGTTCATGAATTTGGGAGCAGTTCAGCTGGATGGTCTGGTTCAGACTCTCTCATACAGTTGCCAGCAAACTTCCAGCTAGAGCTGCAAATCACCTGAAGGCTTGACCAGGGCTAGAGGGTCCACATCCAATCACGATGGGTTGGTCAGATGGCTGTTGTCGAGAGTCCTTATTTCCTTTGCACAGGGTGGCTGGAGTGTCCTCATGACATGACATCTGGCTTCTCTCTGAGTAAATGACCCAAGAGAAGGAGCAAGGAAGAGACTCTTAGGCCCTTTTTGACCTCATTGTGCAATGGCACATTAGCACTTCTGCTTTATCCTGTTTATTAATCAGGTCACCAAGTCCAGCTCACAGTTAGGAATCCCTTTTTGAAGGGGAAAATATCAAACAGTTTATGAACATGTTTGAACATCACCACTGAAAACATAGGCAAAGAGAGAAGGAGAGAGTATGCATGTTGTTTGAGGCAGCAGGGGAAGGGGGACTGGATATTCTAATGAAAATCTGTGAGTTTGTACAAAGGAGAAAGATGAGAATGAGAGCTAGGTAAACAACCAGCAAATGCCCACTGAATACAGTTAAGTGAATATACAATAATAGAATCAAATCTCAGAATTGAGTATATACAGTTATTGTAGATACAGAGTAATGCTTATCCAAACAAGTGTATCTTTGTAATAATAGGAAAGACCTTTTTGTGGAAAATCCCAAGTAGAGGTTAACTAAGTTATTTACATTTAGCATTGGCATTGTGATTTTGTCAGTGTGTAGAACATTGACCTTCCTATTTCTTAAGCCTTATTCTTTGACTACTAGATCAGATTTCAAAGTTTCAAAATACTAACACGTTTAAACAATTTGTCTGAAGTAAGTTTGAGTATATCCTATAGAACTATTAGCAGAAGGAATATATTAATAATAACAACACTTGTATAATACATCAACTTTTGAAGCTCTTTCTTATTACATTTGTTCCTCATAGCAACCTTGCTATTGGGCAAGTATTATTATTCCTTCTTTTGTTTGTTCTTAAGTAAGAAAATTGAGATTTAGAGATTGAAGTGGCGTATCCAAATTTTTACAGTCAGGCAGGAAGTAAATTAGAACCAAGCTCTGTTCACTCTAAAAGTGCAGCTCTGTGTCATACACATGACTCATTGCCTGGAAAGAGAGTGGTGGCAGAGAGATGCACAGTGACAGTCTGGGAGTTGTCGAGCATTAATAATCTACCTCAGAAAATCCAGTACTGATGCTCTTTAAAACGCTGGTGAAGCCTTCCCTGAATGTCATGGTCGTGACCTGAAACGCCCGATGGCTGGCTTTGGCTGCCATGTCAACTTGCCAGATGGAAGATGTAGAGGTTCCCTTTTATCTTGTTGCTTCATGTTTCCGTGGGTGGCGACTGTAGTAGCAGAGGATCTCAGCTCAAACTAGAACAAAAATGTTCAAAACCCTATTTTAATTTTATGAACATAAATATTAAAGAAAGGTAAAAGCTAGTATTATTGAACATTTGGTTTTGATAAAAGCAAATGTGGAAAATACAAAGTAGATATCACTGTCTAGCCCTGCCAGGTTTTCAGTACAGGTCTTTGGGCTCAGGGTTGAGAGTGTTTTCATTCTGCACCCAATCAAAACACAGATCCCTGGAGAAACCTCTCTAGGTACTGAGCCCCAGCAAGGACAGAGCATACAGCAGTTATTGCAGCCCAGCTGCTAAAGAAAGACAGGTGCTGAGGGGATGAAGGAGCCAGTCTTGCTTGTTATTTGTAAGCTGAGGCCAGAAGAGAAAGCAGGGGCATACTTTGATTGACTTAGCCAGTTACACCCAATTAAATTCTCAAGCATTGTATGTTCACTGAATTATTGAATGCTTTTTTGTTTCCATTCTGCTAAATGTCCTAGAGATATGTTGCTGGATATATATGCTAAAAATACTAGAAAAGCAGGCATATGGGAGAAATGAAAATAGGGTGCGGGGCAGAAGTAGACTTACAGTTGTGAGTGTGCAAAACACAATTTATTCTTGTATTATTTGCTAATTATTGCATTATTTTCCATATGAACAGCTATAAACCTGCTTTTGCCCCCAGCCTGTATTTGAATATTTAATGAAGGATAATTTATTCCTATTTAAAAAATGTGAAAGTTTGCATAAGAAATTTCTATTAGAAATCTCTTCTTTTCATATGCAAAGACATTAGAACAGTTTAAATTTCTTTTTTACTCCTGGGTAGAAGACGACATTCAGAATGTACGACACGTTTCTTTCCATTTGGATAAATTTCATTTTTCAAATTTTCTGAGTGGTCTTGTTTTTATTTCTCTAGGATCAAGGGGGCTTGGGCATCGCTATCAGTGAGGAGGATACAGTCAGTGGAGTCATCATAAAAAGTTTAACAGAGCATGGGGTAGCAGCCAAGGTGAGGCTTTACCTTTCTCATGTCCGAAAATGGGAGAGAGGAAAGTTACTTCTGCAAAATCCCTCAAATCTTTTATGTTTCTATTTAGGATGGACGGCTCAAAGTTGGAGATCAGATCTTGGCTATAGATGATGAAGTTGTTGTTGGCTATCCTGTTGAAAAGGTACTTTTTATCTTTAAAAAAAAAAGAAGCAAACTGTGCTGTGAAACCATCCTTGGGCATGGCTCAAGTGTGTCTGTGTGTATGTGTGTCTGTGTCTGTGTGTATCTGTGTGGCTGGTCATAGGGAATCAGAGCTGTATAGTTATATTAGACAAACATCCTGTGGAAGAGAAAAGAGTATTTGGAAGTTCTTCAGTTTTTATTTTCTATTTTCCAATCAAGGCAATATTGAGCTATTTGCTGTTATCTGGTAAATTCAGTATTCAGTGGACATTTACATAAATATCATTTCCTATCATTTCATTTTTCCCTTAGGAAAAGTTTAAATTTCCAAACCAAGATTAACTTAATGTTAAGACCAAAGGAATGTTTTTATGAATGTTTGTTCCCATAACTAGCTAGCCACTATGTATATTGCTTTATAAACAGATTTTAGCCCTCAGCCATTAAATGAAATAAAGCTAGCTGAAGTTGGTTCAGAGAAATGTATAACTTTAATTGGGGTTAACAGTTATTTGTACCTGAGTTTCTTCCTCATCAAAAGTCTTCATAATCCTTAGAAATCTTGCTTGAGGTCTTTCACAGAGAAGTGCTAGGGAAAGCACTATGTTTCTCTTGAGATTTGGTGTGCAAATGTTTCCATTTCTACACTGGCCAGCAAGAAGCTTAAATCTTTTTTTTTCATTCAGTTTTAATAATTGTATAGGTTGACCCTTTAATTCGGGCATCAATGTTCTAACTTTGTATTTGGTTTGATTCTTCTGTTGCATAATTTTCCTTATCCTGCTTTTAACATAAGGTTTTCCATTTTATTAAAAGTGTTTGTGTAAGCTACTTCAGATTCTCTGTAGAATCAAGATAGGGGTAAAATGCCCCGTATGTATTCTAAGGTTGTAGTGATCCAAAGAAATGGATGAAACTAATTGAAAATTTAAAATGTTGAAATCCCTATACTTACATAAGGAAGAGAAGTGAGAACTAGACTTACAAATAGAAGTTAATTATGGCCTTAATCAATATTAGACAATTAAAGAAACTAGAAAGAAAGTATAACCATTCTATCTTGACCCCCTCAAGTCTTGACAAGAAAAGAATTTGCCTCTGAGTTTTCTTTCAGTTGTAGAGAGTTTTAGATCCCAACTGTAATAGTGACTTATTTGTATAAGTATACTAATTTGTCTTTGAATTTTGTTTTCCCTCCACACTAACCCCCTGCCAGTTTATAAGCCTTTTGAAAACAGCAAAGACAACAGTGAAACTTACCGTTCATTCTGAGAATCCGGATTCCCAGGCTCTTGCTTCAGCAGCTGGTATAACCAATGGAGAAAAAAAGAACAGTTCCCAGTCTCCAGTGGTCCCACGATCTGGCTCCCCGGAACCAGAGCCCATCCGCGGTAAGGGCTGGTCGTGTGAGTCCTAAAATGTGGTGCGCTCAGACTTTACTTAAGAGCCAGCTGCCTGCCTGGAGCTCAGTGTTTAAAAGACTATAGTCAGGGAACCCTTTGGTGAAAGGATAGTATAAAGAAAAGAAGGAGTTCTGACCATTAGGCAGATGATCTGTGTGCTATCCAGTAATCAGCCTTAAGAAACCTGTCCTCCCTCTGTGAGTCTCAGCTTCTCCATCTCTAAAACAAAGGAATGGTGTACTCTGCTCTCCAAGGGTCATTTGCTAAGGTACCTTGATTCCGGGTTTCTGACTGATGAATTGAATACATTATTTTGTACATTTCTTTTTATTTTTATACTGAGCAAGTAATTTAACTTCTCTAGGCCTCAGTTTTCTAAATGGATATAGTATAAATGGTTACAGTGATACCAATTCACCAGTGGAATGGTGCCTGGTACTACAACAAGCTCTTAAAAAATGCTAGTCATTGTCATAGGTATTTGTGGTCAATCTAAGTTCTGTCACTTGGATGTCATAGTAGATCTTATCAAATGAAATGGTTATATGTGAACCATGGGACAACACTTTCATATCATTAAAACACCGGTCTAATATGTTGAGACACAAATTATAACTTCCAGTTATTTTTTAAGAAAAATTACACTCATATTTAATAAAACAATAAATTTCAAGCTTTGCAATACTGAAGAAAAATGCTTAAACACATAACTTTTTCTGAAGTTGGGGAAAATCTCTTTGGATAACATTCACTTATTTTGACAGGTTTTTAAGGAAACAGCAGTTTAAAACATTCGTAATATAGTTGGACAAAAAAGTCTTAATACATATTTGACAAAAATGATTATTTAGAAAGACTGGATAGGTCAATAAATTGTTAGGAGAAACTTAGTGGAAATTTTCTCATTTTTAATTTTGTATTGATCCCTAAATAGCATTGCCTATAAAAATATGAAATGTTAAAAGAAAATGTAACATAAAAAAAATATCTTACACATGCTCTTACCACTTCAGAAGCCAGAAACCAGTCTGTCTCTGATTTCCCAAAAAGAGAGCGTCTTGTCTAAAGCTACTTTACCAAGTGTCCCGCTTGCCCAAAATGTGCTATTTGCTGTATGCTCTTTCATAAATCAGAGGATATGAAGACTATAAAACAATGAGGTATAAACTTATATTCACCTCGGTTTTTCATAATCTATTCTGATCTCTTCAATTCTGAGCATATATGTACCAATATGTATTATATGAGTTTATAAAACATCATGTAAGACACAGGAAAGATATTGCAAGTGATCTCACTTGATTATAAACTCAGATATTAAATGCAGCTAAAGCCCTGCCTGGTGTGGCTCAGGGGACTGAGTGCCGGCCTGTGAACCTAGGGGTCACTGGTTCAATTTCCATTCGGGGCACATGCCTAGGTTGAGGGCCAGGTCCCCAGTTGGGGATGTGCGCAAGGCAATGGCACGCCAATGTTTCTCTCCCTCTTTCTCCCGTCCCCTCTCTCTAAAAATAAATGAATAAAATCTTTTTTTAAAAAATCTATTAAGTGCAGCTCCATAATGCTCACTTTTGGTTACCTGAGAAGAGATACTGCACAATAACCAGAAAAGGAGAACAAAAACAGAAAAGCCCTGAAAGGCAGGCACCATCACAAAAATTATTCATGTTCTGTGCGTTTTGTGGTCTTCCCTGACTGTGTTTTGGGCCCTGCCACACATCTCACTTCTGAGCTTTTCAAATCATGATTTCATAAGAAGTTTATTTGGCTCCAGTGAAATGCAAAATAGTGAAACTAGAGGTTCAATTCAACTCTCTGTTCTCGTTCCTTAAATATATCATCTGTAGCAACTTAAAAAAATACAGAAATAGTGCAAAAAATAACTTAACAGGTAATTTTGTGCCTACCACTCTAAATTAACAATGAGAACTTAATCATATTTGTTTGGTAGTTTAAAATAATCACTAAAAGATTAAGGTGAGTTTGAAGTCTTCCTTGTCACCAGTCTTGGGCCCATTTTCCTGCTTCATCTCCCAGAGACCACCAGTGTGGCAAGTTTACTGTATGTGCCTTCTAATCAATTTTATTTGTATTTTATTTCATTTTAATTTGTTTTTAGGTACAAGCAGGTCATCAACACCAGCAGTCTTTGCTTCTGATCCTGCAACCTGCCCCATTATCCCAGGCTGTGAAACGACAATTGAGATTTCCAAGGGGCGAACAGGGCTGGGCCTGAGCATTGTCGGCGGGTCTGACACACTGCTGGTGAGAACACACCCAGGGGTCATTCTCAGGGAGCTTTCTGTCAGTTTTATTAAATGACATACAAAGGTTTGCAAAAATATACAATTCTTGTTTTAATTTACAGGGCAAATATTTAACTGGGTGGGTTCTTGGATTTTTATTTTGAGCAAGCCAATTCTGACTCAGTAATTTTCTGTTGACTTGGGGTGGTAAACACACCATGCAATATACAGATAATGTATCATAAATGTACACCTGAAACCTATATAATTTTATTAATCAATGTTGCCCTAATAAATTCAATTTAAAAAGAAAACGAAAACAAAAGAAGGTTCTGTGATACAGCTTGTAATTTCGACCTTTAGGTTCAAAATATTTCTATCAGTTCACTAGTCCTTGCTGTACTTTAATTTCCTTTTTAGTGACTTCGTATGGTTAGGTTAGACCTATATTGAGAGGAGTCTATGAATAATTTATAGGCAAAATTTTCTAAATGTCAAAAATGCTTCCTCATTTCATATGTGACACGAAAGATGATGTATATCTATAATATATGTGTGTAATTTATATATTTTATCATTTTTAAGCCTCTCTATTATTAGGAAGAAGTATAAGCTTCTTTGAGCCTTTCTAGCAAAAATTATATTATTTGTTTTTGAATTTTGATGTTAGTCATATTTTGATCTAGTGAGTGTATAACCGTTATCACTGCCTAAAAAGGGCAGAGTGTTTTGGCTTCATTTCTGCTCATCATTCCTAGGGAAAATGGAATAAAATATAAGTATGATTTTCTGGGTCCTTAGGGTGCCATTATTATCCATGAAGTTTATGAAGAAGGAGCAGCATGTAAAGATGGAAGACTCTGGGCCGGAGATCAGATTTTAGAGGTACAAATGCCATGGGTTTGACCTTCACAGCTAACAAAGAAAAGGCTGCTCTGGGGAGGGTGGTCCTATTATGTTTCTTTTTTTTCTCCATCCCTCCCACCTGACCCCCACTTTCTTCATTTCCATTAACTCGCCTAGTTCTGTGTCCTACTTCTGTACAGGTGAATGGAATTGACTTGAGAAAGGCCACTCATGATGAAGCAATAAATGTCCTAAGACAGACACCACAAAGAGTGCGCCTGACACTCTACAGGGATGAGGCCCCGTACAAAGAGGAGGATGTGTGTGACACCCTCACTGTTGAGCTGCAGAAGAAGCCCGGAAAAGGCCTGGGGTTAAGTATTGTTGGTAAAAGGTAAGACTGAAAAGGGCACACCCAATGACCTTTTGGAAATTAATGAATTTAAGGTCTTTTAAAGAATACTAGCAGCAGTAGATGTTTACCAACAGCTAGTGTTCTGTAAGTAGCTATTGTCAGCGCAGTCAGTATGGAACATCAAGAGACAAATTGGTTTTGAACCTTTACAGCCAGTATTTTGAGAGCTTTTGAAGGTACCAGACAGAAAGCCATTTGTTACTTTTGAGTATCTGTTGTATGCTGGGAAACATATTAGGCTCTGGGAAACAGAGTTAAATACGAGTAAAACATGGTTCCTGACCCAGAAAACTCACAGTTTGGTACATGAGAATTAAGTCTGTCCTTGCAACAAAGGAACCTGTTGGTGAGTGACAGAAATGTATTGTAGGGATCCATGGAAGCAAAGGAGAAATGGACCAAACAATCCTATTTAAGGAAAGTAGGTTTGGAAAACTTCTTTAAAAAGAGGTGCCTAGGTTGAAGCGAAAAGTGATAAATGATGGTTGGTTCGTGGAAGGGAATGGGGAACATTCTAGGGAAGGATCAGCTTGAACAGAGCATGTCCTCAGAAAGGAACAAGCTGTGTAAAGATAGAAGTAGGCATGGTAGGTTGGTGAATATACGTAAATTCAGTATCAAGTTTATTTATATATATGTATAGGAAATATTAACAAATATATAATATATTAAGCTCTAACACTTTTATTCTAAAGATGAGAAAGCAGATGATCATATGGTGAAATGGCTTGAGGTTGAGGTCACCACCTCAGCAAGAAGTGACAAAATTCACCTTTCACTAAACATTGCTAATTACAGTTACCTTTGTGTCTCAACAAGAAGTTGTTGGTTTATTTATAGTTTTTTGAATGAAAGATTGGAAATAGATTCGCATTTGTTCATTATGCATAAATTTTCTCTTGATTGGAAATTAGATTTGTAATGATTTAAAATAAAAGACAGCACAGCAAGGAGGTACTTAAGTTTTGGGTAATAAATGGTTTTGTTTGAAATACACACTTGCTATTCACTTTCAATAATGTTAATGGTGTTGATGATAATAGCAACATATTTTTATGGGCACAGGTCAATACCCATTTAAGGCTTAATTATGGTGTAGAAAGAACAACAGATTTAACTTCCAAGGACTGACTCTTACATCTCATTTTTCCCATTTGGTAGCCGTATGACCCATATAATGATTATAATAGTAGCCACTTCTGTTCACAGTATATAATTGTTAAATAAATATGCTTATGAAAGATAAGTTTAATCATCTGAAATGTAAGACATAAGCTATTCCTTTTAAGGTCACATACCAGTCCCCTGGCAGTCATCGCACTGTTGTCCATGTCTGTGAGTTTTTTCTCTTTTATTTCTTTGTTGCTCAGTTCCCCCAGTCCCCCACCCAACCCTCCCCCTGCCACTGATAGGTGTCAACCTGCTCTCTTATCTATGAATTTGTCTCTATTTTGCTGCTTGTTCATTTTGTTCATTAGATTCTACATATAAGTGAAATCCTATGGTATTTATCGTTCTTTGACTGGCTTATTTCACTTAGCATAATGTTCTCCAAGTCCATCCTTGCTGTCACAAAGGGTAAAATTTTCTTCTTTTTTTACAGCCGAGTAATATTCCATTGTGTAAATGCACCACAGCTGTTTTGTCCAGTCATCTTCTAATAGACACTTCGGCTGCTTCCAAATCTTGGCAGTTGTAAATGACACTTCAATGAACATAAGGATGCATATATTCTTTCAAATTACTGTTTTAGGTTTCTTCGGATAACTTCCCAGAAGTGGAATCACTGGGTCATAAGTTCCATTTTTTAAATTTTTGAGGTAACACATAGTGTAGACATAAGCTATTATTTACCACAAAAAATAATTCTAATAATATTGCCCCAGTGTTGCTTTAAAAGCAATAAATCTTGTGAAGTCATAAAAATAGGGTAAACATTTTAGTTAAGAAAGTCAGTTTTTTATTAAACATTGAGTTACAGTAGAGAAAAAGTAATAATGTTGAAAATCAAAATTATGTTCAAATTACGTTTGCAGAAATGACACTGGAGTGTTTGTGTCAGACATTGTCAAAGGAGGAATTGCAGATGCTGATGGAAGACTGATGCAGGGAGATCAGATATTAATGGTGAATGGAGAAGATGTTCGTAATGCCACTCAGGAAGCTGTTGCTGCTTTGCTAAAGGTAAAAACCCAATGCTAAAAATGATTGTGTGCCATAATATAAAGCAGGGAAATTTGACATTGAGCTATCACAGTGAAATAAGCACTGACTCCTCTTTATTTAGAATGTTCTCTCAAGTGAGATATAAGCAAGAAACCATATTTCTCTGATAAATAATCTCCAATACACAAAATCTTCATGCTGCACACAAGGTTCACTGTAATGTTATTTGTAATAGGAAAACTGGAAGTCGACGTTACTGCACAGATTTTGGTAAATATAGCAAAGGTGAATGGCAAACATCTGTTTAAAATCATGCTCAGGAAAATTATGATAACTAATATGAAAAAACAGTAGCAGAGAATGTGAAACAAAATTGTATTCACAGTGTAGAAACATCTGTGTAAAATAAAATCTTATAAGTCCTTTAACAATAATTACAAAAGGATCACTGGAACCATGGAATCTTTGGTTTTCCTTCATTTTATTTTCAGATGTTTCTATTGAGGATGAATTGCTTTTATAACAGAAAAATTGACTTTAAAAGTTTTTATAATAATAGATACCCTTGAGTTTTTACAAGAGATATACTATAAATAGATGAATTATAAATTTATACATTAACTAATTAATGTATAGAATGTGTTAATCTCTGCAGTTATATAAGCTAGAAATATAATGGGTCCAAGAAGGGTTTAATTAAATTTCTACTCCCCCGCCCCAAAACAAACAAAGAAACCAAAACAATTTATGGATTTTGCATGTCCAGTTTTGACCTTTCAAAATTTGATTCATGATCAACATGTTTGAAAGTAAAACATCTCTTGTAACCCCTATCAGAAGCAGCATAATATCAGTGCCCAGTAGTTATGGAAGTGCTCCTTTGCACTAGACACTGTCATAAACATTATATTTGGGATTATCGCATCACAACAACCTGTAATGGTCTCTATCTTAAAAATGCCCAGACTAAATTTATCAACCTAGTCATCTATTAAGACCATCCAGCTAGTAAATCACATAGTGTGATTTAAAAGAGTCTGACTGTCGAAGCCCAACATCTCAAACACCTCCTTGTGCTATTTCCACATGAGACTACATAGCGCCTTCAGTCCTTGTTTTGTGTTGATAGCAGAATGGCTTTAAATTTAACTATTGTTTATTTGGGTACAGTGTAACAATAGAAAGTTTACTCATATATCTGCGTGTCTCTGCTGTTAAGAACAAAACAAGTTGTTTTATTGTTTCTGTTTTGTTTTTTAAACCTGAGTTATTTAGTTCATTTTGCCTACCTAAATCAGTGTGTTTCCTGAAATAATTGCCCAATTTTCATGTTCTTCTTACCTGTCAGAAAGAGTATCCATGTAAATTATGAAGTTATTCATAAGACTGACACTTGATGTTGCTCTTGCTGTTTGTTGTTACTATTTTGGCTAGTTTTGTTTTAATAAAACTCTTTCTACAAAACATTGGGGGTATCCTTGCCTATGGAAGTGCCAAAAGGAATATGCCTTTTAAAAACTCAGTTTTGAAGGATGAAATGTGCTGCTAAAGATGACTGTGGCATTTTATTTAAACATTTCCATGAAACAACTGCTCCCCCAGTGTTCCCTAGGTACAGTAACCTTGGAAGTAGGAAGAATCAAAGCTGGACCATTCCATTCAGAAAGGAGGCCCTCTCAGAGCAGCCAGGTGGGTACCTGTGGGATTCATCAGGGGTAATACAGTCCACATGCCAAAAGGAACTCAAAAGTAGTTTTGACTGTGGGTCTGTCCAGGGCCGTGGACACAGGCCTGGCTCTCTGGCAGCCTGGCAGAGTGGGATACAGAGTTTGCGAAAGGGAAGAAGAACAAGAACTGAAAGTGAACAGGTAAGCAAGGTGTAGTTCTTGAGTAGTTTGTAAGAATTTGAAGGAACGTAATGAATTTTCTGACATACTCTTTTCATAATCTCATAGCAATTAATGTATGAATGCCTACCAAGATAATGTATTTTTAAAGCACATTATAACAATCACTTATCAATCAGTATTCAACTGAAAAAAATCCCATGTAGGTAAACTGCAGATGCTCGCCACATGTATTAAAAAATACAATGTTACTACAGTTCAAGTCTCTTGACAAGCCCTCCTCAGTCTTGTCTTCTGAAGATAAAAGCCCATTTTCATCAACCTGTCCTTGAAGACCCCTTATTCACCTCTTAATGATCGCCATCAGTTTCCTGGTGACTGGTCCCAATTCTACTGTTTTTAAGTCCCTATCTATGTATAAACATCAGTTTAAATTTAGAGAGGATTTCCTTGAATTAGATTGTGAAAATCCACTAAGTCTTTAGGTACCTTAGAATCAGTTTCATCCATCCTGTTAGCTTCAGTTTATTTAGGTTGCTGCAAATTCTTCCTTAAAAAAATCAGTAGAAACTGTTTTAAGTGTCTGTCAAATTATCAAATGCCAGTATTAAGTAATAGGTATTCATCTCTAAATGCATGAAAATAATTGAATTCTGAAATATGTGGCATTTAAGGGGTATGATCTAAAGTAATTGTTTTGTATTCGTAGATGAGCGAATGCAGCCTGTCATCGTTCACTTTTCCGCTTTCTGGATCCAGTGCATCTGAGTCACTGGAAAGTAGCTCAAAGAAGAATGCATGTAAGACTGGTTTGATATTTAACTGTGATTTACTGGTTTGAATTTTGGCCTTCAACACAGATTGTCTTCCCTGTTTTAATTTACCTCTGAGCTCTCTTTCCCTCCAAATCATTCCATATACTAATATTGGTAGAAAGATATGTGTTGGCAAAAATCCTGAACAACGTGAAGCTGTGCCTATCGCTGCCTTTCACTGCATGTTTACCCTGAAAGATACACCACACATTAGAATCACGATTCTGTAATTTTTTATTACTAAGACTATTGGTTATATTTGATTTTTTTCCCTTTCTCTGTTTAATGTAACATCAGTAAATCAGAAGAGGTCATTAAGCAAAGTCTTTTTTCCATGAGGGTCGCAAAAATTCTGATTGAGAAAATTAATATGATCCTCCTGTGTTTTAATTACATGAAATCATGTTGCAGAGAGTTTTTTGGCTTGAAGCATCCGTTGAAAGTTGTTCAAATTGAAGAAACTAACCATATGGCATTCTCTGTTTGCAATATGACTAATATTCTAGAAATTTAGGCACTTACGTCCATGAATTCTTTTTAATGCACCCATGACTTTATTCCTCTCAGCTGTGCACATGTGTCTTTCTATCCAAAACACATTCTGTCCTTTGTCTCACTCAGAGTGGATTATACACTTATATAATCATGTTTAAAATTAGAAGGACGACATGGGATGGTGTGTGCATTTTTCCAACTGGAGAAATAAAGGGTTCTTCTGGGGGACAGATGTAATCATGTGTACTAGTCACTGTGAGAACCCTTTCAAAAAATTTTGGGTATGCCATTTAGTCCCATCCAGCTCCAGACATTGACTAAAATTTAAATGAATATACAAAATGCTTTAATAACCATATTTTATCTTTTTCATCTTTATAGTAGCATCTGAAATACAGGGATTAAGAACAGTTGAAATAAAAAAGGTAACTTGGGGACTTGGGGAAAAGAAAACAATGCAAACTGCGTTGACTTTAGAGGCATCTGCATACTTGTTTTTCTATAAGCCATCTTACTTTTTTCTAGTTCCATCTGAAAAATTATGTATGAAACACAGTAAGAATAGCACAATGCAGTCTTTGCTGGATTTTCTGACTATAGTACCTTGTTTGAAAAGTCATTGTTGTCATGTTCTGCATTGTCAAGAATTGCATCAGCTCAGCCCCACACAAAGTATGCCCGACCTCATACTAATAAGTAAGTCTTTGCCTTTGACAGATACTTCCTGTTTTCCTGAGGCAGATTACGCTGACAGCTGTGCACAACAGAGGCAGTAAAAGCAACTACAACTTACTGAGCCTTTACTGTGAGCTGTCCTCTCGTGTAGACACTCCGTGCTGCCACCATCTCATTTAATGCTCACTGCAGTGCTCTGTGAGAGGCACTGTAATCTCCACTAGATCAGTGAAGACCTAGTGATTCACTGGGTGGAATGGGCTTGTTCCAGGTCCCAGTGTTTATAAGTGGGGGTTCCTGGCTTTGAACACAGGTCCCTCCGATTTTAAAAATTATGCCCTTTTCACTTTATCAGCTTACCTGCTGTTCATCAGTCCCATAACAAGGTTTGCACTTAACGTGTATGATTTCTTCTATAGATGCTTATTTTCCTACATCACACTAAAGACCTGTGTCAAATAAAATAATGCAATTTTTTGAGTGTCATTTTCCACCCTCACACCTAGGGGGTCAGAGATAACTACAGAATATTGTGCCAAAGAAACCAAAAGTCAATGAAAAATACCACATTGACCAAAATCTCTCTCTTCCATGGCAGGGGCCTTCTGATTCATTGGGAATCAGCATTGCTGGAGGAGTGGGCAGCCCACTTGGCGATGTTCCTATATTTATTGCAATGATGCACCCGAATGGAGTGGCAGCCCAGACCCAGAAACTCAGAGTAAGTTTAAATAATTCCCTGGTAGCCCTAGCAGATTTGGCAAACTTTGATCGACCTTTTGAATCAGACCACATGTTGCAGATCGTTTTAAATGTTTTTATCTGCTTTTAAATCAGCTAATCCAGCCACAGTATGGCTTGCTTTGAGTAAAAGGTGAAAACTTTTAGAAGAGAGGAGAATTTGCTGTTGTATGCAGATTTACAAGCAAATGAAATGAGAAGATTCACTGTTGTTCCCTTTTGTTATTACTCGTTTGAAACTCTGTAGTAGAAGTTAAAAGAAAACAGCAAGTGTTTCAGAACAACAGTATGAGGTGAAAAAAATTTTTACCCATTTTTTATTTGTTTAAATGCTGATTTAACTTTATGAAGTTGAAAATGATTATGTATGTTGCACTGGATTATCAATTTTGCAGACGTTCAACATATAGGCATGGACAAAAATAGGTTTACAGTTGTAATACAAATAAATAGTGCAATGATTAATAAATAATAATACAAGAATAAATTGTGTTTCATATACTCAAAACCGTAAAACTTGTTTTGCTCCACCCTGTAAATGTAACATAAATTTTTAAACTATGCAAAACTTGCTTCAAAGTTGAGGGATTATTCAAATATAGAACACTATGGTAGAATTTATGCTAACAAGAAACTAACTAGTTTTCTAGAAAATAAAATCTGTGTGACCTCATATCAAATTGATCTCAAAACATAGCCATTTCTTAGTTTATTTTTTAAAATTTGTATCATATTTTTCCATTACCATTTAACCCTCTTATATGCCCCTCATCCTGCAATCCCCACACTGTTATCCATGTCCACGAGTCCTTTTTCCTTTTTGTTCGATCGCGCCACCCCCTGACTTCCCCCGCTATCAGTAGCTGTCATCCTGTTCTCTATCTATGGGTTTGTCTTTATGTTGCTTGTTAGTTCAGTTCATTAGATTCCACATATGAGTGAAATCATATGGTATTTGTCTTTCTCTGACTAGCTTATTTCACTTAGTTTAAATAGTCTCTAAATTGGGAATAGTTCAGTCTCCTTTGATATCTAAACATATGACTGACACTTAAAAATTGATTGTTACACAGCACAGGGATAGGAAAACTTTTCTGTGATAGACCAAATGGTGACTGTTTTCTGGACATATGGTTCTCTGTTACAACTACTTAGCTCTGCCCCATGAATGCAACCAAATAAGCATAGCAGACTTTATTCACCAAAAGAAGCAGTGGACCAGACTTGGCCTTTGGACCTTGGTTTGCACACCCCTGACTTAGAGTCACATATAATGTGTATAATAATAATGTCTAGAGAAATTCTGGTTTCCAAATGACATCAGGTGTCCTCTTTTAGTAGAAAGCAGTGTCTTACCCAGGAGAAATGAAGAATGATTTTTCCCCTCCCCCCTAGAGACTATAGAACTAAGTCATTATGTGTAACTTCTTTTTACTATTGTTGCTTCATGGGAATTTGTGGTTTCCTTGGGTAGATTTCCATTGCTGATAGCGCTATATATGTGATAAGCAAGGTAGAAAAGGAAATGATTATTCAGTTTTCAATGTCCCTCTCTCCATGGCTGCTTTAGCAGATGGCTGTTTCTTTCTCTCCTTGCAGGTTGGGGATAGGATTGTCACTATTGCTGGCACATCCACTGAGGGGATGACTCACACCCAAGCAGTTAACTTACTGAAAAATACCTCTGGCTCCATTGAAATGCAGGTAAGATTTTTCTCCCAAGCGCTATTCAGAATACAGGTAGCTTGAAGACACATGAGCTTTGATGTTAAACTAGTAAAAATTCTTAAATCTCCTGCTATTTTTTCATTTAATATTTCCCTTGAACATAAGTGATTACTTTGAGAGTTCCAAGAGAGTAGATAAGAAACACATTCTGTCACATTTATCCCAATGCAGTTATTTCACACTTGAAGGGGGAAAAAAATACAAGCTCCAAACAGTAAATGATCAATTGCTGGAATTTAAGTGGTGTGAGTGACTTGTATTCTAAAGATCTTTAAAAATTAATTGCATGTGAGACCATGTCTGAAAACCATCAGAGAACTTGATAAATTGAACTAGTAGAATATTTTTATTGCCAGTTGAGGAGGCCACTGGACCTTGTGAAATTTCTTTCTCTTTGGCTGTATATTATGTTAACAGAAATGATTAAGTGGACAATAAAATACATGTTTTAATCCAAATGCTCTTTTTGAAGAAAAATTACTGATGTTTCCCCAGTTACATGAACATGTGGTTTTCTCTTTATATTTTTCCTGTGCACAGGTGGTTGCTGGAGGAGATGTGAGCGTGGTCACAGGTCATCAGCAGGAGCCAGCCAGTTCCAGTCTTTCTTTCTCTGGGTTGACGTCAAGCAGTATATTTCAGGATGATTTAGGGTGAGCTCATATATTTTGGTTTGCATGTCCCTACTGCTCACATTAAGGTGAAATAGTAAGAGATGAGGTATGAAATATTAAAATCAGGTGTTTCTAAACTATGAAATAATTTAGAAACATTATTGGCATGGATTCAGTTTATCAAAGATAGATAGACATGCCACTACCCATTCCATACTTTCAGCTCTGAGTTTTTTGGGAGCACACTTTAGTCTTGATGTCTCTACCCAGTGTGACATGGAGCAAGTCAGATCTCTCCAACATTTCCTACTCGTTGATCATTTTTTTTATTAAAAAAAATCACAAGTATCCAGCACTTGAGTACAAAAGAATTAGAACATAGAAAGAAGAGAAGAAAGGAGCATATTAAAATTTTTAAATAATTTGATGCCACTTTTACAGTATTTATGACTGGTTTTCCCCTCCAGGTGTGGGAGAGCTGATGTGCATGAGCTGTTCCATGGCGGCCCTCTGCACTGTCGCGCTCCCACTCTAAATAAATTGGGGAAAGAATGGGGCTTCTCCATGCAGTGAACACATGCTGTGATTATGTTAGTTTAAGAGAACCCTAAATGAGTAATAGAATTAGGGTGTTAAGTAGAATTTCATTAGATTATGTAAATATAAAATACTGATCACAGTGTACACTGACTAACAATTTAAGCATGCCAAAGACCCATAATATACCCATTGTCAGTAACACAGACGTTGATACTCGTACTAGGTAAAGTGTTAGAAAATCCTTAACTTGCTCATTCACAGTTGTACATATGGATATATTTTTTAAATCCAAAAACTCTTTTTCTCTTCCTTTTGCTATAGACCTCCTCAGTGTAAGTCTATTACACTAGACCGAGGACCAGATGGCTTGGGCTTCAGCATAGTGGGAGGATATGGCAGCCCTCATGGAGACTTACCCATTTATGTTAAAACAGTATTTGCGAAGGTAAGATTGCAAATTTTAACCTCCCTCTTCCCCCTAAACATTCATTAATAGTGGTCAGCAGCTGGCTTATTAGTTTATGGCCTGAGGTAACACCAACTGGTTAACAGTTGATCATTCTCTTCTGGAGCTCCCTTCAGGAACAGCTCATTAAATATTTTTGTCCAATTTGAGGTTTAGTTATGTTTAAAGGAAAATAGGCTCAAATTGAGATTCCATGGGAACTCTTGACAATATGCATAAAAATATTAATGAACTGTAGACAGTAATACCTGATTTTATTATTTTAAAAATGAGTAGCATATGATTGAATGTCTTTTGAAAATAGGACATTTTAAATATGTGTGTTAGAAAGTGCTGGCATTTCTTTTTCTTTGTGTTTTTTGTTGTAAAATATAAAACAGGAACAGAAAAGTACATAAAATGAATATACAAATTAACTAATTGGACATTTATTTTACAGTTTAATGTCATTGAGTAAAAGAGAAAAATACTAACTAAAATAATTTGAAGAGTATCCAGAAGCTCTGTCACCTACAGTAAACCAGCATTTGCAATCAAGGGATTTAATTTTAAAAAAGGAAAACAATTAGTATATAGTTACAATTATATAGTAACCTATTCTATGTTAAGAATGTTTAGAATAAGAATGAAGTTATTGCAACATTGGTGAAGCTATTAGAATAATTTAAAGCCATATATCTATTGTTAATGTGTTGTTAAGGCATTTTTGAGGAACTACAAAATTGGACAAAATTTCCTGAGGTAGAAAATCCAGAATCTCAAAATTTTACAGTCCTAAGGAATAAAATACATCCAACCTATTAAAAGATTTGATACAGGGGCTTGAGATTAGTGCTATGGTTCTGTAAAGTGCCTACCAATGAAGGTTTCATTCTGTTTTGAAAATAATATTATTTGTAACCAATTTAAAGTACCGTATCTACAGCAATCAAGCTATAGCCTTAATTTATGAGATTTTTAGAAGCCACTCGTAGGTCCAAAAATACAAACAGCATTTGCCAATGAATAGAAAAGTCATGCAGTCATTTCCTCAGCCTTGGAACAATTTATTTAAGGCATGCTGGTTAGAACATATTTTAAGAACTTCATCATTATGGATTTCTCATTAACTTTTTTGTATTTTAATCTTATATTTAATTGCATGATTGCCTACCATCATCATGCCTTTGGATGGGATTCTTTTTTAAACAGCAATGTCTGTGTTTAAACTTGATCATTAGGGCCCACAAAAAACATGAAGACTCCATCTACCCCCTTGGGAAGTAAAAGAGCAACAAGCCTGAGCTGCCTTTAAGAAATCACAGAAAGAATTTGTGTTAGAATTTTCAGGATTTGTGCCATGCCCCACCCTTGTCAACATACATGTGAGGTTTTACTTCTGCAAACCTTGGGCTTCATGGTCCTCATGCCCTTGGCCTGTAAAACTGCTTTTGTTCCTATCTAATCCTTTGTTTCCTTTCTGTAGGTCTTGTTTATAGGATCAGAAATCCTGGATTCTACAAAATCATTTCACTAGGCAAATACCCAAATATTCTTTATTAATTTGGGTTCCCACCTGCTATGCTGAGCAGCCAAAAAACCATTCAGCTAATCTATTGACTGCTAAATTCTCTCTCAAATAGGAATTTCATTGCTAAAATCATTTAGGAGAAAGACCTCCTTTGTGTATGTTCATCATTGCTTAATGGCTGCGGAGCACCCATGGAGCCCTGAGAGCCATGTGCATGCACATGCAAAGCAATTTAAGCTCTTGTTTAGATCTTTTTCTGTTGTGCAGCATTTTTTGAGAAATAAACAAGCCTACTTTATAATTGCAGGGAGCAGCCTCCGAAGATGGGCGTCTAAAAAGGGGTGATCAGATCATTGCTGTCAATGGGCAGAGCCTGGAAGGGGTGACCCACGAAGAAGCTGTTGCCATCCTTAAGCGGACAAAAGGCACTGTCACGCTGATGGTTCTCTCCTGAAGTGGCTGTGGGAATTGAGCCAGTTCAACCAGCCCCCTCTGCTCCCCCTGACATGTCACACTGTAAAGAGAAAGGGACTGGTCTTGTGGTGACTTCCAGTGTTGTGTTCATTCTGCTCCTCAAAACTGTAGGGGAAAAATACCAGTTGCGTTTATGACACTCATATGGAAATGATTTTCTGACAGCCTAGTGTCATTTTTCCCTCTCTCCTTGCACATTGTGAACGTAAACTCAAAGGTAGAACTGTTTGTGTGGTTAAATTATTCTTTCTTCATGAAGCTACCTGGCATTTTATAGTTAATGGGGAAAAATTATGTGCTAAACTGGTTAGTAGAGGAAGAAAAAATAATTCTAAAGCCAACCTAAAGAGAAATGGCTTCAGTTAAGTTAGGGTGAAAATGAAAATATAAAATAAAGAAGAAAATGTCAAGTTTTATAAAAAATGTCTTAATTTTGTCAATCCACCACCGCCTCCTTATTACTAACCTAAAAAAAATTTATTGAAAATCTTTAAAAATACTCAGTGTTTAAAATTTTTGACTATTATAAAAAGTTGCATCTCCCACCTTTAATATACACCTATGTTTTCTTCCTAGAGTGGGTTTTTAGTATGGTATGGAAAGCAGGTATCTAAAGCAATGTCCCTAAGTTTGTGAAGAAAGCTTTTAATGCACACCTTCATGTTCATTTTCACTTTCGACCTGTTAGAATTATTTCTGGGATGCTACAAGTAAAATGATGATGCCACCCTGCCTTTACTGTCGTTTCTCTAGAAAGCAGCTGTGCTAACTGTGCAGGAGCGTAGAAAGCGCTCAGAACCTTTAGTGCTGGTTTTAACTGATGCAACACTAAAAACGTGTCAGCGCGCTGTGCAGTTGGTTTTCAGTTAGTATTAATCTTAATGACAGGGAAAAAAGCAATGTGTTAGTAATTATTTTGGTTGTATGCCATTAGAAAATTGATAGAAAAATTAAGCAGATTAACATAACTTCATTTCATTGCTTTATATTAACATCTTATAATACAATAGTTTAAGACTAAGGGAAACAGATGGAGCTGTTTATTGAGACAACTGGTGAGAAATTATCATGTGTTCATTCCCATTTTAGAGCGTGAAACTCCTACATTAGAATATATAAAGTCACTTTAAATATTATCTATATTTGTAACAGAAGTAGTGTACAGATATTTTATTACAGTACTTTTCTGTGAATGCAAAATTGAAGTGAATAAAGAATAAGTTTCATGGTGCACGAATAAAGAAGCAGACATATTTTTTGTTTGTTCTTTTTATTGGGGGAAAGCTGTATTGTTCAAGGCTTATGATTTAAAATTGTTTTTCATCATGTCTAACTGAACATGTGGTGTCCATAGTTACAATGAGAGGAACTTTGGACGACATTATTATGAAAAGCTCAAAATTCTTCACGTTACACTTGAGTTTTTACTGATGCTCTCCCATGGTCTCCTTGTGAAGCAGAAGATGACAAGCATCGTTGTACAGAGAGAGGTATCCTTCCTGTCTGTATGTTTTTCAGAGATGCTATTAATGCAGTAATATTATGTTATTCTTTAGAGTAGTCAGAGTTGAAATGTGTTCAGATGGAAGAGTCATAATAGAAATTATTTATATTCATAAGCCTGAAAAGTCTTGATTTGAACTCTGAGCATGAATGGGAACCCTTTGTCCTGCTGAGTCCACCCTTAATTAGGTAATGAACATGTGCATTTCCTCTTGTTCATCTCATCAGTAAAAGGTTATGTTATCTCAAAACTTGTATCTAGTTTTTTTTTAAATAAAAGAATTCTGTGATTACAGGTGGCAACTTGGGAGATACTCCCCTTAAGCAGTAATTGCACACCAAGGTACTCAATGTAACAAAATCCACTTTATTTTCCCAGTGACACATCCAGCTCCTTAGTCATTGCTTAATGGTCTGCCCTCATGAAGGTATGCCAGGTAGGCCACTGGAAGCTGAGCTGTCCTCTTTTGTAAGTTTTAACTAGCAAAGATTTTTATGAAGGACACCATGGTGTAGAGAGAAAAGTTAACCAACCAAATTAAAGTTTGAGTAAATATGAGAGAGTGTCCCAAAGAGAACAGCTTGGTGGGTATCTGTACTAGTCTGAACAGCATCCCCCAAATTCATGTCCACCAGGAATCTCAGACTGACCTTATTTGGAAATAGGGTCTTTGCAGATAGAATAGTTAAGGTGAGATCATACTGTATTACAGTGGGCCTTATCCATGTAAAGATGAGGAGAAAAAACTGCTGGGACCACTAGCTGCTGGATAGAAGCAAGGAAGGATTTTTCTCTTAAGGTCTTCAGACAGAGCTTGGCTCTGCATCTTGATTTCAGACTTCTGGCCCCCAGAACTTTGAAAGAGTAAGTTTCTGTTGTTATAAATTTGTCTAGTTTGTGACATTCTGTTATGGGAGCCCTGGGAAACTACACATAATACAGTATTTTAAATATTTTTAAATCCTTAGCTGCTGTCATTGTGTCTGGCTAATAGAGACTCTATACATTTTTGTTGAATGTATGATTGAATTATAGATCATGATTAATTTCATTGTATTACCTTGCTTAAGTTAGCTAGCTGCAGACTGCATACTAAATGCAAAAAAAGGAACAGTGGAATGCTACTGTAGGAATATAAAAACACTTAACAGAAAACTCCCCTCCTGAATTTCTTTTAATTAACAAAATTGAAGCACATGAAACAAAGAAAAAGATTGAGAGGAAAAGAATATAAATTCATCAGCATTGGAAAGATGTGACAAAAGCTTATGCTTCCTGTATTATTTTTTCTGGAAATAACAAGAGTTCTGTGTAGTGAAGGAAAAACGTTAGAGTAAAGAGATTGAAGACATGAACATTATAATGTTCATGTCATGTACAACTCTAAAAACAGTGGATTGACCACAGTTGGTTCCATATAATTGAGTGTGCAATTATATCACAATGGAGAATACCACACGTTTCTGGTGGTTTTTGTGACCACTCCAAAAAGATGATGATTATGTGTTAAACTTCAGCACTAACTGATATGTAACAGCCATAGTAGCAGTGAGGTACAGCCACTCAGTACAATTCATATATCAAAACAAAGATTGAGTTGGAAGCATAGAAAGATTAAAAGTTATGAAGAATAAAACAAGCTTAAGGGGAGTTTTTGGTGTTTTTTTGTTTTGTTTTTAAGAATCTTGATAAAGCAGATTTTGATAGATTAGGAGAGGTAAAGAAAGCGTGTCCCTGCTCTGAAATGTTCTGTTCGATCTGGTCAGCTAGCTTATTGTCTGAGGATAAATGCTTTGCAGTGATTTAGAATCTTTCTTCAGATCTCCTGTCAGAGTGAATGGAGCAGTTGAAAGGATGCCTGCAGGGAGACAGGAGTAAATAGGCTTTTTTTTTTTTGGCCTAAGTGTGGGAATGTCAAAACTATCATCACCTGCTTTCAGCAGCCCTGGTGTGTTGTTTCATGTCAGCAACGAGTATTCTGGAATGCATTTGATTTGTGCAAAGATGTTCCTCCACTTTGTCTACTAAGAATTAATGTTTAACTTTACCGCTTTCTAAAGGGACTTTTTTTGTAAGGCGGGGTAGGCCTGTTACCTCAAGAGGTAAAAAAGAGTTGGCAGCAAGATAATTTCTAAATGAAAGATCATGAAAACTAAGCATAGCGAATGTTCTTAGAATGATTTTTTTGTATACTTTGACATTACAGCTTCATTTTTTTTTCCCTTCAAAATACAGGTATTCCATATTGTCCACTTTTGATGTAAATTAGAAAACTATTGTATTATATTGTTTGTCTAAGAATTATACTTACCAGTCAAGCAACGACAGTTCAATAGTAGGCACTTAGAATCTGTCAAGGAGGAAAATCTATGATTATGATCTCAGAATTCTCCACTGAAAATGTTTCTTGTAGTTTCCAAAAATCATGAGTACTTTACACAGCTTCTAGGAGGGAGCTTCTACATGTTCATTTAACATTGGACATTTTTTCAGAAGGTTATTTTGTTTGCAAATACTTTGTGATCCTTTCTTCTTAACTTCCCCCATTCTCCTCCACCTTGTGTGCATATTTTCAGAAACAAACACAGTTACCCTGGGAAGACATACTTTTTCTCCCTCCTTTTGTTATCATTGCAGTAGAAATCAAGATTTTTTTACTTGAATCTACCTTGAAATACTTGGTATTCAAAGATCCACTCCCCTAAATTTTATTAAACTAAAGGTACATTGCTTTTACCTTGCTTTGGAAAATTATACTACTGTATATAGAGCATTAATACCATATACATGATAAGCTATCAGGAAATGGTAGTAATTGTGGTACCTAGTATGTCCTGGAAGACATAGAATAATATAAATTTAATAGCCTTCAATTTTCACTTTTGTGTGATTGTATCTTTTTCTTCTGAAGTTGAATGCAAATCAGCTTACACCAAAATTGCATTTGTATGCATCCTTCATGGTCCTATATCCTTATATAACTCTATTATTAATTATTAAATATTTTTATGTAAAATAGACTAATTTTTTAACTTAAATGTGCTTAAAAGAGACATTGTGTCTCACTACTGTAAGTGAAAAAGCAATACATTTGGAAAAGAATCGTGCCCCCAGCCAGAAACTCAGTTGGAGCATCATCCTATACACCAAAAGGTTGTGGATTCAATCCCAGGTCTAGGCCTATACAGGAAGCAGCTGATCAATCTCTCTCGCTCTCGCTCTCACTCTCCCTCTCCCTCTCTCTCTCCCTCTCCCTCTGCCCCCACCAACTTTCCTCTCCCCTGCCCCTTCTTTCTCCCTAAAATCAGTTAAAAAAAATATCCTCAGGTGAGGATTAAAAAAGTGATAAAAATTAAAAATCAATGTATTTGCATAAAGGTAAAGTGACTATGAGCAAAAACCATGTTCTTAAATTCTGTGAAGATGCTGTTGCCTAACAAAGATCAGAACTTTGTTACAAAGGGAAAAAGGCAAATGTTAGAATGGTACTAATGACTCAGTGGAGACTCTCCCCTGGACTTAAAGGAACTGAAATAACATACTTTCATCATTATGTGATTCAGTATTTTCTAGTGCCTTGTCAATGCCACCCAAAGTGATCACCTCATGATATACTCTCTCTTTGGAAAAACTCTATTATACCAAAATCAGAAAGGTTTTGTTTATGGACTCTTTAAAAAGTGAATCCAAGCTGGTCAATGTCTGTTCTTAAAAGTGTTCTTAGTTAATGAGGTTGTTTATGATTTTGTTTATAAGGCTTTCATTAAAACAAGAATTGGGCATCACCGTCAGTGCATTAGTTTTGGCAATCTGAGTTTGAAATAAAGGAGAAATGACATAAATTAATGGAGTAAAATTAATGTTGTGGTAATATTAAATAAAGCTAATGCCTCTTGCACCTGGAGGGCTATGCAGATGGCAGGCATACCTAATTATGCACCCTGCTGCCTTTAAGTGTACTGATAAAAATCTCTCAACTGAGTATAAAATATGTTCATTCACCAGCTCCAGACAGGTTTGCATAAGGCAGTAGTTTTTAACCTTTTTCATCTTATGGCACACATAAACTAATCATTAAAATTCTGCAGACCACCAAAAAATATATTTTGGGCCCATCTTACAAAATATATATATAATTTTGATTCACTCACAACAGACAGCTATTGTTCTGTTGGCTGCTGTCATTTTTTTGACAGTCTAAGGGAGAAGAGGTCAATGTCCCTGACTCAACAGTCAGGTATTGCATGTTTTAAAAACTCTTGCAGTACACCAGTTGAAAATCACAGGTGTAAACCAACACAATACACACAAACACAGCTTAGCACCCTAAATTTTTAGAGGAAGAAACCATGATGCTCTAAGTTAAATGGAATAAATACATGATTTTTAAAACAAGTCATTATTATTAACATGGTCTTTGTCCTTTTTGTGAACATTAAAATATGTCGGTCCCATTAGAAAAAGTTTATTTTCAAACTAATAAGTTTACTTAAGTTTATATTTTTACACATTAGTTAAAAAGGTAAATTTACTAATATAATCGTAAGTTAATTTGATTTCTTACTCTAGGTACAAACTGAATTGGCCAATTATCAGGTATTTATAAACTTGTTCAATTTTTTTAAGAAGTAGCTACTCTAGAAAACATGTTATAATTTTGCATATAGATAATGCATTTTTGCTACAGATATTTCAGAGATGTCACTGAACGTCTTAAAACTTCACAAGTTCCCTTCATGTAGGGAACGTGAATATCTATGAACTTCCTATTGTGCCCCTGGACTCCTATAGTGGTAAAAGCATATCCAGAAACCTCTTGTTTTAGCTTGAGGATGATTTTAAATTCTTTATAGTATTTGTTACACACAGCTATTGTTTTCCTCAGGTTTATATGTGTTGCTTAACATTTTAAAAACAAAGGAAAAGTTAAATATTCTTTTTCAGTTTCCATTGAAAAGAAGATCTGGTGCAGGTGTTCATTTTGTGATAAAAGATGCTGGCTCATTTTTGTAAACTTACTTGTTTTAAAAGGTAAGGCACATAGAATTTCTACATCCTTTCCACTTTAATCTCAGGGTTAATAAATTACATGTTTAAAATTTTGACATAATTTTTATTGTCATTTGGAGAACTAAAACTATGGGAATTATTTTCATCCCATTAATTTTCATTTATTTATAGGGACCTGACTATTTTTTCTTCTATTCAGTAGTTGATTTCTTTTCTAAAGCTTTCCTTTATGTACATTACAGGTATTTATGTAATGGAGTCATGAATGCCTCAACACACACGTTGACTACCTTGGATGAATGTAAGTCATAGCCAATTAATGTCTTATGCTAAAGGAACTCTAGATTTTTTTTTGAAATGTAGAGTAAGCAGAATGGACTTCTGAATCTCAGGGCCCTGGGTTCCTAGCCTGGCTTGGCTCTTGACTAGAAAGCAGTTGACCTCTCTGGGCCTCTGCCTCCTTGGCCATAAAATGAGATTGAGAACATCATGCTCACAGCTCTATTAATATCAAATGAGATGAAGTATCTGCACGGTGATGCTTGATAAATGGCAGAAATATTGTTAATATAGTGAAGTCAACATAACTTAAGGTCTGTGATGGTCCACATAGTAGAACCGTGGAGATCATCTTGAGTGTGCTATCCCTAGTGTTAATATTCATCCTGACTTTAAGAATAAACTTGTAAAGTGCCCTCTTTTTTCTCATTTTAGAAACTTCCTCAATTTCTCCTATAACACAAGGCAAAAATGATCCCAGGAGAACCGAGAACTGCAGAATCTCATTGGTTATTGAAGTGAATGTGCCACTCCTCAATTTTTTAAATAAGATATGTTTGGAATGGGAGTTATTAAACCTAGTAGGAGGTTTTATAGTCAATCTAAAAGCCCCATTGCTTACATAATAAGCCAAGTATCTAGTTTTTAAAGTAAACAGGAAATTACACAATATCCATCACCCTTATAAGATCTCCTCCCCAGTTCTCTGTGTTAGGATAAATATTATTTTCACCCTTCTTTTTAAGTACAATCCCTTTTCAGAAGCCAGTGAAAAAAGAAGTTTGGTAGATTTAATAGTCTTTTAGGAGAAAGTTGGTGAGATTAGACAGCCAGGTTTTTTTTGTTCTTCCATATTACATATTATTTCTCAAGCAATTCATATGAAATAAGTTGGAGAAACATAAGGTAGATATTGTATGTACTACTAGTGATTAAACTTTATTACTTTTTTTTATTTCTAAGGAGTGAAGAATAGGGAATTTTCTTTTAAAGAGGACTTTGGCCAAGCAATGATTACATATGACTATAAAATAGGCTTCAAGGTCTTCGAATATGTGGCTCTGAAAGTTCAGTTTGAGATTTTGGTTAGAGTTCGGAGAATAGAAGTTTCTATTTGGGATACTGTATCATGTTTTTCTTTTGTATAATGGAGGATAGTGTTTTTTGTTTGTTTGTTTTTCCTCACCAGAGGAAATGCTTATTGATTTTAGAGAGAAGGGAAGAGAGGGAGAGAATCATCAGTTAGTTGCCTCTCATATGCATCCCAACCAGGGACCAAACCCGCAACCTGGGCATGTGCCCTGACTGGGATTCAAGCTTGTGACCTTTTGGTTTATGGAACAACCCTCCAACCAACTGAGCCACACTGGCCAGGGCAAGCATAGTGTTTTTTGTTTTGGAGTTTTGTTTTGTTTTTTTTGTTTTGTTTTAACTAGACAACTAGAACATGTAAACCCAATTTGTAGGTTTGTACATTGGATAGGATAAGCTTATAAAACATTCTTAGTCCCCACTTGCTAATAAAATATTTTGTGGGTATTTTAAAAGAAATCTTTTCAATGACCTAAATATTGGGAGCTAGCAAAGGGTCAAGAATCTATCACCCTTAAACATTTAAGAATTGAGATCCCAAATAATGTGTTTATAACCACATGTGCATTAGTTATCATTTGCAGACAGATGCACTCTTGGGAAAGTTGAGATGGGAAGCCCTAAAGTGGGAAAATCTTTGATATGTTTTCATTTATGACTATGGAGCTAATTTTTTATGATACACTTATCATGATGTTGCTGCTTAGAGAGGTTACCTATTTTTTAACTTGTACAAATTTTAAAAAAGTCACTAATTATAATACCTTAACTTTTCACATGAGGATTCTGAATACTGGACAGACTAGAAATTTTGTTACTAAAAAATTTGAATGGGATTGCAGAAAATGTTCCAAATTTGAAGGAGGAAAAAATACGTGAGTGCCGCAATGAACCTTTCCTGTACTAGGGCCAGATATTTAGTTTCTCTAAATATGCACGGTCCGGCAGAAGTAACGCCTGCTTGAGTGTGGTGGTAGGGTAATAATATGGGTATAATAATTTATAGTTTTAATTTGAACATTTCACCTAGAACATCATAGTGTGATTGACTGCAATATTGTTATGTTACAGAATTACATGCTTCTGATTTTGTAGTCAAAGTTTTTATAATAAAAAGGGGCATTATTTGTGCCATAGCTTGTATTTCTTCATGGGGATAATATCTTCCCCACGTTGTCAAAAGTCAAAATATTTAATGAACGTGAATGTTTTTAAAGTTTTAAAGCATAGACCATTGTTATTATATGTTGGATAAACGATGTATTTATGGCTATTTGATTAAAAGTTATTGAATTGACCGATACTGTCTAAACATACTCTGTCGTGTTCCTGGTATATAACCCTGGAAATGAATCATTTTTACTAATCCAAGACTTTATTAATGAATAACATATATCCAATTTTCCCAAAAGCATGAGATATATGATTTTTTATTTTAAGGTGCATAATTTTAATATATACACAATAGCCTTGGCTAAACTGGTTAGAGCATCATCCCGATAGGCCAAGTGTGTGGGTCGATCACAACCTTAGGGCACATACAAGTATCAACCAATGAATGCATAAATAAGTGGGGCAACAAATTGATGTATTTATGTATGTATATATCTATATACCTTTCTATCTCTCTCTCCTGCCCACTTCTTCTCTCTCTAAAAAATCAATAAATTTTTTAAAATTTAAAATATACACAATAGAGTCATTAAAGAATATTTTCACACTCATTTCCAAGTATGATCTTTCCACCATTTGATGATATCCACCAAGATATCATCACTGTATCTTGGACCTACCCATTTTATAGAAGATGGTGGCACTATTAAAATATCATTTTATTTTGTTTACATTATGGGTTCTGTTACTATGCTGAAAATAATATCAGCACAGGAGTTTTGTTAGTGGCGATGTGAGTAATGGAAGGAAAGGAGAAGGAAGGGATAAAGAAGGGAAAAAGTTAGTTTAAAGGAAGTCTATTCTAATAAATTTATACCATTGCATATGAAAGCTAAATATGGGCTTCCTCATGCATGTACTTGTCCAAACATGATTGACATGTATTGCATTCCATGTTTCTCTGTATACTTACCTTTTCCTGGAATGTCCTTTTCTCCAGCATGTCCCTAGGTTTTTCAGCCTGCAAGGCCTAGCTCAAATCCTTTATTCTTCACATAGTTTTCTGTTTAATGAGCTAATATGTGTTAAAGTGCCTCTCATGGAAAATACCTAAAACACTCAGAAAATAGTAACTATTATTAGTCAGAACTCATCTTCTAATGCTTATAAACATTTTTATCTCTAGCACAGCATTTTTCAAATGTTATGTATTGTTAAAAAGCTAAAACTTTCTGTAGTCTAAAAGTAAGTTATTAGAACATGGGCTAAACACAGTTAAAGTGATTCATGATATGTCAGACTTATCAGAATGATCAAAGACAGCAATATATTATACATCTTCACTGAGTATAGAATACTGTTTTCCAAACCCAATTCAAAAATACCTGGTGAGACTCAAGTTCCAAGGAATACATTTTCAGGAAACATGCCTCCACCATTCCAGATTTTGATCTGAGAAAGTCAATTAGCTATATATTTTTCTCCCCAACAGATTTTGAGCTTCTGGACAGAAGGATTGGGCTTTGTTTAGCTTTTTAGCCCCATAGGATATAGAAGATATATCACACAGAAGGTCATTATATGCTTTATTTTTCTTATTGAGAGAGAAAGTTTTGGGTTTTTTTCCACTAAAGGAACTGGATAGGAGTTGAAAGCAAGGAAGGTAAAGGGGGAGTATTTTATTATTTTTGAAGAATTACCTGAGCTGTGAGTGGTAGAATAGAAACCCTCTGTGCCTCTCCCACTCTGCAGGAAGTGTGGACCTGGAGAAGGAAATATTGGGCCAGCTTTTGGCACACCCACTGTGTTGCAACAAAATAAGTTAGCTGATATTGCAGGGTTAGGGTGTAGAGGAGAAGCTAGTCCTTTAATGGTCAAGTATGTTTCCAAGTTGGCTGTTCTCATTTGGAAAGTACTTGTACATGGACATAGTTTAGTATTCCAATAACCTACCGTCCCTCTAGCTCATTATATTTGATCAAACCCTGTTCATCTACTGTGAGTGTGACATGGTATCATTCCAAAAACAATACTAAATAAGTCTGAAAATTCTTAATTTTCTTTTTTTTAATTTTTAAGTATATTTTATTGATTATGCCATTAGAGTTTACCCATTTTTTCTCCCCTTTATCTGCCCTGCACTCTCATTCCCACCAGAATTCCACCCTCGCCTCAGTTCATGTCCATGGGTCATACATATAAGTTATTTTGTTTCTCCATTTCGTATACTATTCTTAACTTCTTCCTGTCTATTTTGTACCTATACCCCCATTCTCTCCCCTCCCCACTGATAATCCTCCATGTGGTCTCCATTTCCATCATTCTGTTCCTTTTCTAGTTGTTTGCTTTATTTGTTTTTTGTTTTTGTTTTTATGTTCAGTTGTTGATAGTTGTGAGCTTGTTGTCATTTTACTGTTCATAGTTTTGATCTTCTTTTTTTAGATAAGTCCCTTTAATATTTCATGTAATAAGAGCTAGGTGATGATGAACTCCTTTAACTTGGCCTTATCTGGGAAGCACTTTATCTGCCCTTCCATTCTAACTGATAGCTTTGCTGGATAGAGTCATCTTGGATGTAGGTCCTTGTCTTTCATGACTTCGAACACTTCTTCCTAGCCCCTTCTTGCCTGCAAGCTTTCTTTTGATAAATCAACTGATAGTCCTATGGGGACTCTTTTGTAGGTAACTCTCTCTTTTTCTCTCTTTTTGCTGCTTTTAAGATTCTCTCCTTATCTTTAATCTTGGGTAATGTAATTATGATGTGCCTTGGTGTGTGCTTCCTTGGGTCCAACTTCTTTGGGACCCTCTGAGCTTCCTGGACTTTCTGGAAGTCTATTTCCTTTGCCAGATTGGGGAAGTTCTCTTTCCTTACTTTTCAAATAAGTTTTCAATTTCTAGCTCTTCCTCTTCTTCTGGCAGCCCTATGATTTGGACGTTGGGACATTTAGAGTTGTCCTGGAGGTTCCTAAGCCTCTACTCATTTTTTTTGCATTCTTCTTTCTTCATTCTGTTGTGGTTGAATGTTTATCTCTTCCTTCTGCTCCAAATTGTTGATTTGAGTCCTGGTTTCCTTCCCTTCACTGTTGGTTCCCTATATAGTTGTCTTTATTTTGCTTTGTATTGCCTTTACCTTTTCCTCTGTTTTGCAACCATACCACCATTTCTGTGAGCATTGTAATTATATCACCAAGGTTTTGAACTCTGCATCTGATAGGTTAGCTCTCTCTTCATCGCTTAGTTGTATTTTTTCTGGAGTTTTGATCTGTTCTTTCATTTTGGCCATATTTCTTTGTCGTGGCACTCC